GACGTCCGAGCTTACTGTTCACATGTTAAAGTATTGTAAAGAGGGCACGTCTGTTGTCCTCTCATCCACGACTCGTCTTCTCCTCTTCTTCTAGGATTTCGGTCTCTAAGTCTTTAGGACTTTAGCTTCGAGCATCCATTTTTCAAGCCCTTTCTTTGTCTTCTATTAGATTACTTATTGCACTCTGGTGCTCGGCCAAAACACGTAAAATAAACCTAATGGTTCATTATGTGCTCTGTCTGTTGCGTAGTGAAGCTGAAATGCGACTCAGTCATAAGCGGAATCGGAAGAAATGGAAACGTTCTGATTCTTCTGACTCCGATTACGTCGCGCTTATGACTCTGCTTACGACTCCAATTTTGATTTTCACCAGGTCATAAGCGCTCTTACGACTCCGCTAATGACTCCTATTCAGACTCTGTCGCTAGTGAAAACCAGCCTTTAACCTTTTTTCCTTTCTTTTTCAGCACTTTGACGATTGCATTCAATTTGAAGGTCAATATAAATCCCTGAGCATTTATCTTGCTGTATTAGACCTGATAGGATATTATCTTACTTGAAATAAAACATTTTAAATACCGAGAAAATAAACTGTTTCTTCTATTCAATCAAGAGGTATATTTGCAGTACAAATTGACATTATAATATTAAACAAACTCTGATCTCAGGTCATACAGAGAACAGTGAATTCACCCCCTGGTTTAGTCTTTTTATTCATTTTGAATACCTATACTGATTCTAGTATTTTAAAACAATCATGATTTTGCCTCGTTTATTGAAAAAAGAAACCATTTCTTACACAGATAACAAATTACAATATCTACACTACAACTATGATACCTACTGCTATGCAAAAATCTAGTCACCAAAATTAATTAAAAGACGAACCACTAAGATAGCCAACACTTTAACAATTTTATGGATTACCACTCCCCTGATAAGGACACAGCCCCGTTAAAAGGTTTTTGACGATAAGTATAGAAGTGTGCTGAGAACAACCTGACAGACTGACCTGTCATTGTCTCTAACAATGCCATCAGAATAAGACAAAGATACTGAGTTTCGGTGTTGCACTTACGACACAGTTATGTTAGGTATTTGCAGAAGACGTCATGTCAGATGTAACTGCAACTGCTTGTAGTTAAAATAGAGATTTTGATTGTGCTGAACATTACTCCGGATGTCGGGCTTTGTGAACTTGACCCTACTGTTTTAGGCATGAGCTCAAAACTTGCCCTCTTGCTTCCAGACCATAAAGGCACTCTAAATTAGTACCAGATAGAAAAGACCAGGCAAATCCATAAGGAAAAAAGTCCAAATTTAAAACTGGAAAAGTCGTATGACATGCCCCCCCCAAAAATCTTTCAGTGTTGCTTACATTCCAGGGCTCCAAGATTAATGACAATTTTAAACATTTTATTGTCTTTATTGGAAAGTATACACTGAGCCAAATCTTCCCCAGGGGCTAAAAAATCTCACCCTATAAACCATTCAGTGGTCAAAAGTTACACTTCTTCCCTGAAAAGTGTTACAATAACTTTACTACGCTAGGTCTGGATTTCTTATGGTGTAAAACCAAATTTACTCGCTTAAAAACCGCGAAATTTACTAAAGTTTTTAGCGTCTCTAATTCGGCCTTAATTCAAGGGAAGCGTTTTCTACAAAAATACATTTCTTAAATCACTGTCAACAATCAGGGTAAAGTCATTTATCAAGATTATGTGAAACAGAAAAGGGAACATAGATAGATACAAAGTCTCGCTTTTTAGCTGAGATAGAATTTGGATGATTTAGATTACCGAGTTGTACCAAGTTTTCTTTCCTAAAATCCTCGTAGATGAATGCAGCGTTTATTAGTAATTTTAGGGCGTTTAATCGAGTAAACAGGATATACATGTGCAAATTGTTTCTGCTAGAAACACTGGATTGCTTTCATTTCCTGTTAAGGTAAATCAAGGTTGTATTCCATAAAAAGAATAATGCTCAATGTATCATGATATTACATTACGGGGTAATTCATTAGAAACTTAAAGAAAGATGAAATTAGAGTTTGAAAAACGTCTACTATCTAATTAATTATGAACAACCCAATTTAAACATCTCCATCGAAATTACACGGTAACCCTTGAGATATGTGATTTCACCAAAGTTATTTTTAGGCCAATTGAACGCTTGAAAATAATCGGAAGTTGGTTTGCGGAGAGGTCCGCAAACTTTTATTCAATGGTGTCAAGAAAGAATAATGGGTCAGTAAGCTGTCTTGGTGTGCTGTCGCCATTATAATATTCTGCATTCTTTACTTTGAGGCAGTTGCGCAAGAAATTAGAGTTCCATTTAATTAAAACCTCTAAAAATAACTGAGGTGAAATCCCCATATCCTGGCCAACGCCCTACGATTCTCTCTCTGTCCATTTAACATTTCCATTCCAATACAGCTCCAGAAAGGAGCCTCTTAGCTCAGTTTTGAAAATCAACTTGGTGGTCTAACTACAATAAAAATTTTTCATTCAAAATATTTCTCTGATTCTGATTGGCTCAAATCCCCCGGCTAATTCTTCATAACTAGCTGGCAATAACCAAATTTGGAACACATTTGCGAATCCAGCAAAAAGACGACAAAACGGCAGAATCTCACCTTCTTACGAACATTACAATAAAAATGATTCATTTAAAATATTTCTGATTCTGATTGGCTCAAATCCCCTTGCTAATTCTTCATAACAAGCTGGCAATAACCACATTTGGTCCACATTTGCGACATCCAACAAAAAGACGACAGAACTGGAGAATCTCGCCAGAAAAAGGCATGGCAACCGGACATCTCTGGGAAAGAGGTTGTGTTTGCTCAGCTGTTTTGGTACAGCTGGAGAAAATGGCAGAAACATTTAAACGTTTTCCAAACAAGAAATATAGCAGAATTGAAAGAATAACTGCTGGACTAGGTAATCTCTTCGTATCCTGAATTTGCTGAGGAACATTGATCAAGGTAAGCAGGCATGTTTTCAAAGTAAGAATTATTGTTGTGAATGAATAATAAAACACATTATTGGATTTGGCTATCGTATGATCTAAAGAATTGTGCAGATCTTGGATGGTATTATCCACCTTGGCCTGACAGCACTCAGCCTCATTCAATAACAAAATTATTGCTAACTAAAGTATGTCCTGATAAAGTTCAACTCAACAAGCTAAACATTGCACTGCACTTACTTGTCTCCATCAAAAGAAGAGTTATCATTATTAATTTTATGGCTAATCAAATGCCTACATATTATCTGCTGCACAGACTTCATTTTTTGAACTTAGAAACTAGCAAAACTACTAATTGTCAGTTGCATGTCTGACGACTCTTTGCCCATAGAAAGAATTATTCAAGCAATGGTTTAAATACTCATGGCCTCTCTGGATGCCAGCAAATATTAATTTTGTTAATAACAATTATTAATATGTTATTGATATTTCATATACTGAAGAAAAGCAACTGAATACACAAATCAATACAAATATTGCCATTTAACTGGTAAGTTAATAATAAACCCTGTTTGTGGTATGATAAAACGATCAGCCGGCAGCTGGGCACACAACACCAGCTGTCAATCTGCAATACCATGAATAATTATTATAAAATAGAATGAGACTTTGTGACATGTCCTTCATAAAGATTTGAGGAATGGTTTGACTTTAGCAACAAGGAATCCAATTCCCACTGCACTATACTTCACAAAGAGATATCTACATCCTGATGGTGATTATTGCTGATAAAGACCAACATATCATAAAAATGTTCCACCATTCCTGCAGGTCATAGGCCAAACATTTCTTGAGAAGCGTAAACCATGTATAGGAATCCATCTTCATCCTTTTCCTCCTTGTAAACTTCAGCCATTGTCATGGACATACTTGCTAAACTTTTGTTGTTGACAATAAGGTAAAATGCTTGTGTTGATGATAATGACATGCGATTCCTGATGACCAAAAAAAAATTGTTGTGTATAACCATAAAGTAGAAAATATTATTTTAACATTCCCTCGTATTAAGGTCATCACTAAATGCATGGTGGGCTGTTCAAGATTATTTTTATTTCCCATTTAAGTAAATGTAAGGAAGGTTAAATTGCACCAGAAGATAAATCACACATGGAGCTAAGTTCACTGACACAAATTGAAAATCCCCGGATGTGGAGCATTGCAGGGTTATTGACAAAAATGAGAATTGTGTGACTTTGAGAATACTACTTCACGGTTTATTCAAAATGGCATGAAACCAAACCCAGATAAATATCAGGCTACAGTACTTGGCAACTGAACTTTAAATTAGCTGATATTGACATTAAAATCACAGACTTGTCTTCTGGGGGTTGTCCTTGATAATGAATTAAAATTTGACGATCACATTTCAAGTATTTGTCGCAAAGTAAGTGCTCAGATAAGTGCTCTGAACAGATTGAAGAACATTTTGCCACTTACAACCAACAAATCACTTTATCGCTCATTTATAATGCCATATTGTAACCAAGTCTGGCACCACTACAGAAAAAGAAACACTGCCAAAATCGAGCAAGTCAACGAAAGAACTTTGAGGTACATCTTCTAAGATAAAAGTGCATCTTATCAAGATCTCTTGGAAAGAATATACTCCCATCCCTTGAAACTCAAAGAATCCAAGACATGCTATCGACAACAAAAAGTAGTACCATAAAATTTCAAACATAAGCCCTGGGGATTATATTTTTTAAACGCCCTTTTTGAGGGACTTATTTTTCGCGGGGCTTATGTATGGAGGGTAATTTGTGTTTCAAAGTCGATTGGGCTACAATAGCTGGTAGTGGGAAGGAAATTTACTATTTTTGCTTTGTTTTACTTTGTATTTGAGAGCAAATTCCAAGTACAAGCCTCCTGGGGGGCTTATATTCGGAGGGGCGATTTAACAGAAGGTTTTTTGCATTACAATTTTGACTGGCTTATACATGGAGGGGCTTATTTTTGGAATTTTATGGTACAGTCGACTCCTGATAACTCAAACCCTTGCTAACTCGAACCTCGTGCTAACTCGAACCAAAATCGACTTCCCCTGGATTTCCGTCATACATTTACTGTAATTTTACCCTCAGTAACTCGGACCCCGGATAACTCGAAGTCACGCTAACTCAAACCAATTTTCGTTTCCCCTCAGGTCATTTTCTATATAATTTTACCCTCAATAACTTGAACCACGTTTTGAGCCCTTAAAAAGTCGGGAAAAAAGCCGTCTACTGGCGTCCGAAACATTGAATTGTGGATTTCCTATTAACGTGTTGTAGGAGTGTAGTTTACTAATGGAGGCTCATGTTGATTGTCACAGGTTAACGTGAAGCAGCTTTACTTCTCAAAACAGTAAAACGCATGCTCTATTTAGGCTATGTTTTGTTACGTTACGTTCTGATTTAAAATCTAGAAGTATCTTTAAATGTGATTAAAATGTTCACTGTGCAGTAAAAACCGTTTTGTACCTTACTCTTGGCTATTTTCTTCGAGCTCCCGATAACTCGAACTTTTTTCGATTTCCCTTGAAGGTTCGAGTTATCAGGAGTCGACTGTATTTCAGACAAAGCTCCACCCGCAAATTAGAGATCTTGTCACCTAACACTCATACAGGTACAATCTTTGACATGATTATATCCTTTCATTGCCTAAAGTTAACACAACTAAATAAATTCTGGTCTCAAATCAGGGAGACTTAGAGCCAGGCACACAGGGTAAAAATGAGCATAATGACCCCATCTTTTTACCGCAGATTTTCAATGTCTGTTACATGGCTGTCACTTGTCATTTAGTGGAAACAAAAACTATATTTCGACACTGGAATGCAACATATTCCAGTTCCATAGATGCAACTGCATTTTCTGGTCAGTTCAAAATGTTAAGATTGGTTTAAGATTAAGATTTTGATTATAATGCTACGATTTGATTAAAAAGTGAAGAAGTTATGACAGTTTTAATTTTAAAATGTATGAGAAAATGAGAACTATAACTACTAAGTGGGTTATTTTGAATGACTTCACAAACAGCGAATTCAAACTGATGGCAAGTGCCCGTGCAGATTGTGTGGTTCCAGAAAATATCCATGCCCCCCTCCACGGAAGATCGTTGGAAATTCTGAAGAGGAGGGTTCAAAGGCAGTAAATATTTCTGCGGAGTACAGGGGTTTGTGAGAAACTACTTTTCCAAATGGTGACGAACCACTCACAAAACATTGAAAGCAATGTATGAGCGATCTGAAGAACCAAAACATACTTATGTACATTGTTATGAAACAAAAGTCGGTACTCAGGGCCATAGAGATGAGCTTTAACGTTTCTGCTTTTTTTTTTAGTTAGCTAGCGCTACAATCTCCAGAAGAACAATGTGTCTTTGGAACAAAGTCAAAACGATTTAAAATGGCGGACATAACTGGAGTCTTGTCTTCATCTCGTTTTCGTCTGACCAGCACTAAAGTGCTTTCACTTCTGTTCACTGAGTATCCCTTTTTGCCACATTCACATGCAGGAAACACATTTTTGATAGGTTTCATGTTTTATCCATGTTTATTGGGGGTAGTAACTCATAAACAATACGATAAGACAAGAGTACTTTCGTTCCCATTTCTTTCTTGACCTTCACAAGGCCCGGCTACCTGGCTAGTAAAATTACTTCTGCAATCGTGACAATGTTCACGAAACCTACCGTGTTGGCATGTGTTAGTGAAGTTTTCGGCCCTTAAATAAGAATCACCCGGAAGAAACTGACAAAATGTGTAGAAAAATACACAGCCAGAAAGGAACCTTGTAAGTTTCTGGGTTTTCTTGTTATGGTTTGCGAAGTTGTTTAAGCAGGTGAAACTTAAGTTCTCTTCACAGCCTTCGTGTCAGAGTAAGCACAAAAACCTGGAACAATCGACATTTAAACTTTGCAACCACATGTTTAAGCTTATAAGCTTACATAAAAACAACACAGACATAGTTTGCAAACGTGATGGCGAAGAAGATAAAAGTTTGGCTGAATAATAAGCTTAACAAAAGTTTACACTGCACTATTGTAATAAAATTCTACCGTATTTTCGTAACTGAGTTAGTATTCACTTTCTTTGTTTTTAAGTGCCCAAACCACTTTGAATTTCTAAAGGGTGGTAAGCGAAGTTCCCGTTTAAAAATTCCGTAAATTCCTGGGGGGAGGAAGGGTCATCAAGGACCCCTGGAACGGGAAAATCATGAGGGGGGTGTTAAGGTATGGAAGCAGTCCACACTACAGTATGGATATTTTCTGGAATTGTCCAGTAGAGGCAGGCAGAGGGATATTGCCCGCATTAGAGCAAGTAGAGCTATTGTTATCGTTTCTGCTAGTAGAACCACCAGCTCATTAACATTTAAGTTGTTCACTTCAGGGCTCAAAGTTAACACTTGCAAACTTGCAAAATGCGAGTGATTTTGATAATCTGCGAGTGAAAATATATCTAGAATATCCACTAGCAAAACGTTCTTGTGTTAGAATCATCCATGTCTCCCAAGAAAAAAATTGCTAGTTGTCTTACCAGTTTGCTTGTGGAAAGAATCGTACTAGCACAACTTTGCAAGTGCACTAAAAAGTTAACTTCAAGCCCTGCACTGGGAAGGGCTGAGAAGATGTTTCCACAGGACTTATTGTGGAATATTTCTCACAAGCATCCTCATATTACACACATGCCATTTTCCTACAGTCCACAGTCTCCCTCATCCAAACACAAAAGATCTAAGGATTTAAACTGTGTATGAGGTGGCAATTAGAGTTGACAATTTTCACTAAATATCCCAATACTGTTACTTTTCACAAACAAAGGTAAAATAATACAGAGGTATTGTTCAGTTTTGGACTTCTTGCCAATGATAATAATAATTTTGTCTGACAGGTCATCAAGCCCAAACCTGATCAATGCAGAATGAGTTATGCCCAAAGAAGACAAATAACATTTTCAAAGTAAAACCAAACACAGATTAGTTAATTTGGTCTAGCAGTGAAAGGGTTAATCAATTCAACAACAGAGTGGAGTCAGTATTTTTAAATGCACATTTTACCAAACTTTTATGGTACACTAGGCACCTGGTGTAGCTGGGGTTGGAAGTTGATATTTCAGTGACTTGAGGATTCACCTTCACGTTTAATTTCTTTCTAGTTTTTTAAAGCCAGAAATTTGCATTGCTGGCTGGCAAGTTGCAAGTTAAATAAGACTGCTATAATCACACAAGAACCTGCAAACCAAGAATCGGCTCGAGCAAGTTTTTCAGTTAAACAATGGCTTTTAAACTCCTCACCTTATAATAGTGACGAACTGGCTCATTGTCAGCTCTTGTGGGACGAGAAATTTTGTCTTGTCGAGTAATGGGAGATCTTTTTCTTTGTGATATCTTTCAACTATAACCTACAGTGAGATAAGGATATTCTTTTTATTTTTACATGAACATTTTGTATTAATTGAGAAAAGACAACAAACTTGGACCAAATATAAGTTAAGTACATTGCAACAGAAATAGACAATGTTTGCTTAAGTAGTGGAAATAACAAAGCACAATTCTTACTGGTATTTTCGATGGAAACTTTGCTCTAATCCCTGCCACCTCATCTCTTCTACTTACTGAAATGACAGAAAGAGCAGCGTTCATGAACGTGCTTTCGTACGCAACAACAACAAAGCTGCCATATGTAAATAAGTCTTATAACGCTTTTTCACAACACAATGGCTCACCAAAGCTTTTTCGCTGTTTGAACGGTTTTGCAGATTTTGCGTCGTTATCACCCATATTCATGGAATAAGTCACACTGGAATAAGCCTAAAATTAATTTGTTAACCACGTCCGTACACGATCACACTTCAGCAGACGAAAAAAGATTCCTCTTTCGCAACTATGCAGTTGGCAACTAACCAATCACAAGCCTTGTTAGATCGCCAGCGGAGGAAAACAATTGTGACCACGTCCCATGGTGACTGCTCTGGCGATGGTTTATGTTTTGATATGTTTATATTAGCAGGTTTGTCGACCGCGCAGCTTTTCGACAGAAAACAATTTTTTTTTGGGCCGGGGGGGGCGGGGGACATGCTTGTGGATTTCTATTCAATTTCTCTAAAGACGTCACGTTACCATGGTAGCACTGTTTCTGGAAATACCAAACGACGACGGCGATGAAGGAGATCGGCAAAAAATGATATGTTTTTCATATCATACGAAAGCCGAGTTCATATGTTTTCAAAATATTTACACGGCAAAACATAACGGTAACTGAAAATAATTTAGTGAATGAAAATTCAACAAAAAAGTAGCAAAAATTATGCAACAAGATAAAGAAGGTTTTCCATTTTGTTTGGAAAAGTAATCCATTACGTGCATCACGTCGTTCGTATTTTGAACCATTTCTTTCGTAATAACCGCCGGATTGTTTCCTTGTTGATGACAAAATGTTTTTATAAACAGACCGCGTTCAACAAAACTTGCAATTGGAATGCTCAACGACATGAAACATCCGGACTTCGCGCTGATCGAGCTAAAATCAGGACGCAGCCCAATAACTTCATGATCTTCCAAAAATCAAGGTTGAAACTCACAATTTGTTTGAGAATCGCCTTAGGCTGGTCCGCAGGACAAAAAGACGTTTACCTCTGCTAGGTTAGAAGCGAAAAAATATTTTACAATTCCCTTCCATTTTCCAAACTTTGTCTTTGCCAGTAACTCTGGTCATAACGTTTTTTGCTATTTTTCACCCCGTTAGATATGGTCCCAAAACTTTCCACGAAAAACATTTTTTTGCCGTTGTTGCACCACTTCGAAACTTCCTAATTTCACGAGCCAAGATTTTGTCCAAAACTTACTAGTAGATTCGTTAGATGGTTTTGCACTGCTCATCTCTTACTGCGCATAACAAGATGGCCACCGTAAATAACATTATTAAAATGAAGTTTACTGAAGAGAAAAGCTACTGGAATTTTTGCTTGCGGTCGTTTCTTGTGAGACTCAATGTGTTGGGAATGTCGATAACGGAAGCAGTACGCGTGTTGCTGAGTTCGACTTCCTGCTCACTTTGATCATCATTTAAACGCTCTTCATCACATTGTGCCCTAATGTGATATATCGATGTAAAATCTGTAAAAATGGATTTTTTGATACTTTCTTCCCCTTTCACATAGATGCCATTTTTGAAACTCGCCCCAGTGCTCTCTCAAAAATCGGAGAAAATGCATTTGGTGCGCACTTCCTGCAGCTCGCTACCGGGAAAACGAGTACGGTGAACCTCATTTTTTATTTCATGATTTTACAGTAATAAGGACAGTGCTTCCTTTCGATGAGAACAAAAACTGCACAAATCTATGTTCAGTTTTACGGCAGTTTTACTAAATTGTACGGATTGAGCTATCACGGGTCGAATAGCACGTGTCCAATTTAATTTTAGTTTGGAGCGTAAAGTAAAAACAGGGGCATTACTGCGCTTTTCACAAACATGCGAACTCTCAAGTTCAAAAGCCGCCTTCACAATTGCGTTTTTCGCTACCGTCAATCGAGTATGTCTAAATGTCGCGGGTCGCGACTCGCGGGTAGAGGTCGCGGGTGCGGGTGCAGGTAAAGGTCGCGGGTGCGGGTAAGTGTCGCGGGTAAAAATAAATCACCAAATTTAACCAAAAGATAAAATAAACAACTTTTCTAACGAAGACTAGTCAGCAGCGCAAAGGAAGACTTCTTGTAGTTGTAAGCTTTTTCGTTTATTTCCGACACGTTTCGTCTCTTACTGAGACTTCTTCAGGTAATGAATACAACTAATAAAGAACTGCGTATAAAACACGTTTTCTGCGTAAGTAAAAATTCTGATAGAAGTGAATAATAACTTAACTATGCTGTAAACGGACGTTATAGGAAACACCTTAATACATATGTTATTGCGTGTTGTCGTATTTGGGGGCCCATGCGATCAGCGCTAATCGTATGGCCCCCAAAATGCAACGGAACTATCGACTCCATCAGTATAAAGAATCGATCGATCGAAGTAAAACTTGAAATATTCTTTCTTTTTCTCACTCTGTGAAATCAGAACTATGAATGAGAGTTTCACCCAAGTGCACTGGTATTGTTGCCGTGATCAAGCAGCCAGTAACGTGGGAAAAATTCGATTTACCAGGACGGCAAGTTCTTTCGTACAACCGCGCCAAAATTTAGCGCGAACGACGAATGACAACTATCGATTCATACTTTTTGCTGAGGAAGTAAGTACACGCAAGTCTCATAAAAAAATCAAAGCTGTATTTTCGATGAACCAAATTATGTCTTCATATATATACATAGAAAACCACTTCTTTTAAGTTGACATGTCATATAAGCTGACACTGCGGACGCTTACACTGAATAAAGAAGGGGTCAAGAAGGGGAGAGAAAACATAGGGGGTGGTCAAGAATGTGGTTCAAGAGGAGGGGAGATTGTTTTTGTCAAAGAAGTAGCCACCTTTGTAAGATCTTGCTGGAGGACTTAATCATTTCTTTTTGTTTAATTTTCAAGGGCTCGTTGTTGAAAAACAAAAACGTTCTAATTCAAGTATTATATCGTCTTCTGAAATGTAACAGCTATTTCTAACTCTTTCATGTCTAACCTATCACAGCGCTAAACCCTGGTTTCACTTGCCATTTTCTGGTCTTGGCCGGGGGGGAGGATTCTTGACGAAATTTTGATTTTTCCATTACTCGAAAATGAAGAGAGAAATGTTCTAGGCATGGAGGGAACATTATTTAAGGCTGACCACTCGCAACATGGTAATTATCAAAAACCAACTGGCAGATTACGCATTTATACCCCTACAATAATTTTATTTGTCTTGGGTTGCAGAAAAATGAAAAAAAAAGAAGCATTAGAAAAGAAAAAAGAAGTATTAATTAAAGTAAGTTTTTCAGTCCGATGGGGTTTCGGCTGTTTAAAGCGGGCACTGAATTTTTACATACCCTTTTCAATTCACTTCGCTGCTACATATAGGTAATATAGAGGTCAGCAAAGGGCCAACTATTGACTTTTGAAAAAGTCATGCAGTCTGCAAAACAGCTACATAAAATGACTACTTCAAGTTAAATTCAAGCTTTGGAGAGAACGTGAACCCGAAATACTTTTCTTTTTTCTATCAAAACTTGAACCTCCTCCCTTACAAATCCCAAACGCAGGTATCTCGGTTACTTGGTGCAAATTTAACTAGCCAATGTAGTTTTAAGCATGTGGATTTTTCTTTAGTGACTTTTTCCTTTGTATCGTCCTTAGTTAGCTTTAAATAACTAGACTTCCTCGTTAGGACCAGTGGACCAAAAAAAAAGTATTGCAAATCTTCTTTGAAACATAATCAAATTTTCTTTTATTTTATTGATAATTTAATATAATTTTTGGTGATTTATGTTTACCCGCGACCTGCACCCGCACCCGAACCCGCGGCCTCTACCCGCGAGTCGCGATCCGCGACATTTAGACATACTCCCGTCAATCATAGTTACGATCACAGGCAACGAACCTTGAAAAACACAAACACACAAAATGGATCGAAATCCACCAATCACAAATCACAAACCATGACCTTTTGAACCCGTTAAAATAAAGTTTTGTTTGCCTAAAGGTCCGTTAAGATGATTCACGGCAGCGAAAAACGCAGTTGTGAAGGCGGCTTTTGAACTTCAGAATTCGCATGTTTGTGAAAAGCGCAGTAAAAGGCATTTTTCTGGTATGTAAGTGGATAAACGATACATTAAAGTCAAATTCTGTGCGATACCACATGCATCATCCGAAAAACCTCTCTTTTTTGTCTAATTTTGGGCTGCGCGCGGTTTTTGTCAAAGGGTCCTAAATAGCTGCACGGTGACCCCCACTTTTTATTACTTTTTTTATCATATTTTTGACTTGTTACATCAGTGTACCAAGTTTCATCTACAATCTATGTTAGGTTCTTTTACTAAGGAATCACCTTGAATGAAATTGAATAAGATCGGTGAAGTTTGAAATAGTGCGAATGGACTTTTAAGTGACGTTTTCGGTTTTTTGTCATCCAAAAATTTTGCTACAATTCCAGCGTGACGTAACGACTTCTCTCTGTTAGTGTTGCCTATTGATAACAAAACAAACAAACAAAAAGAACCTTTTTGGTCTGCACCTGATGAAAAAAATCAGGCTTGAACGGGATTCAAACCAATTACATCTGGCAGTGTTTTATTATTCGCCACTTGCACATCTCCCATAATGCACCTTATTTGGCCTCCCAAATTTTGCATAAGCATTGTTTTCAATTTCTCATAGGACGTCTGTTATATCCAGGAGAAATGAAAAACAAAGGTCATGCAATTTTTTTTTTTGGCGGGGGGGGCGGGGGCAAATAACGTGCATTAAGGGAGATGTGCAAGTGGCGAATCTTATCAATAATCATCCAAGTTAGGGCTGGTCATATAGACCATATTACCTGATATGGTGTCAGATAAATGGCTATTTTTTCTCTCCAAATTGCAGGAACCAATATATTCATGAGCATCCACGAGGTGATTGCAAATGCCAAGTTTATGGCAGGTGAATAATTGCTTTAAAGTCTCTTCAGTCTCCGCGATAGAAAATGATTCAGTTTTTGGGCCGCATCTCAATGATCACCGTCAACCTGGTCGTTCAAATGTAAGCTGAGTTTGTCATTGGTTTTGCCCCAACTCGGAAAGCTTCCTTCTTGTATCTCAAAGGTTCCCCCCCTCCGACTGAAAGTAACACTGTTTCCAAACTCCATTTGCCCAGGGATTCGTGAGCAAAAATATAAACTAAATCCGGTTTTGACACATTACAGCCAACGGCGCGCGCGCGCGCGTGCACAAACCGTGAAAACAAACGAAAAAGGCCTTTTGAACTAATTTCACAGTTGATTTTCGAAAAAAAAGTGTAGTTTTCCCAGCCAAGATTACTTTTCAATCAACTCTTCTGTCCTTCCTTTGAACAAAAACAATTGTTAATTTGGAGCATTTTTTTTTTCACAAGAACCTAATTAATTAATTCGGGAGCTATTCAACAAATCGCAAACCGGTTAAAAAATATGAGAAGACTTATCAGTTCAAACGCAAACAAAAGAGACACTTGGGTATGCTATCAACTTTTATTTCAAAAATCTCCGCCAGAAATTGATGATACGTCACCAAACGTATCCTGATCAACAGAAAGATGACCGCCGCCGGCATCACTTACTAGCGAGCTCTCGTCATTTACACTGTAGTTATCAACAGATGGTAATGTCACACTTATTTTATGTTGAGGCTCATTTCCTTCTTGTTCTTGTTTAGCAGCCCCACTACTTTCTTCCCGGATGTACATTCTGTTTTGTTCGCTTGTTTCTGGCTCTTTCTCCTTACTAGCGACATTAAATACTAACGCTCCTTCGCGCTTTTCAACTGAGTAAGTGTTTTGAAAACTCGCCTCTCCTGATAGTTCACCTTCGCTTCTTTCAACGAGAATGGCTCCCGGTTTTGGGTGCTGTTGCTGTTGTTTTGCACTAGTGAAAGATGATAACTCTGTGCCAAACGTTCCCGGAAGTAGGTCGGAGGCGTGAAGAGAGCGGTCGTCGTGATTCGGCGCTCCGTCAAATGTTTTGTGAGCGTCGATTTGTGCGATTGTGCTATTGGTCTTTGTTAAACCCACAGGCCGGTCAACCGCTTGCAATTCGCCGGGAAAAGGAGCAGAAGACATTTTCATTGCACCTGGAGGCTCCCATGAAGCTACCTCACCTGGAGAGAGATTCCCAGGGACTGAAAATGAAAAAGACAAATTCGAGTGAAAAGAACATAAGCTAACAAATACCTGGATCTGGGTAGCAAAACCGCGCTTGTTCCTCAGACGTCATTTCGCGGGGAAACCAATGGCCGGTAGCGTCGGCTGTTTTCCCAGGCTTACATTTCGCTGCGGATCCTTCTCTCTGTTTACCCAGAGAGAAAAGCATAGTTCTAAGGAACAAGGTGTTTATCTGTACAAATTATTTGTAGCAGTTATCCTTTTTAAATACTAACCTATTTCACCAGGCTCCCTTTCACCGCCGTTTTTTTGACCTTGATAAGGCATGTGCTGATGCTCTGGTAACAACTCTCCTTCACTGGCGCTGTTGTCCGCCGCCGGCGGCCGATTAAAATTCTGAATGTGGCTCAAAAGTACAGCCATTGGATCCCGAGCGGATCGTATTTCGCCTGGTTCTCTGTCACTAAAGTCGGTGATGGAGTCCTAGGAATGAAACAGATAATTACTAACCCTTCTTCTCTAACACTTGAAAAGAGAACGAAACAAGAACGTTTTGCACTCAACCTCTTTAATATCCTCAGTGTCTCTCAAAGTGCTGGCAGAGCTGGCATGATACGGGGAATCACTGACACTGCTGCTACTGTCACCATGGTCACGTCTTCTCCCACCATCTCCTGGTTGTAACAATCCTTTCACTGCTTTTCTTACACGTTCGTTACGACTATCTGAGGACGGAGAGTCATTATTGGTTAGACATGATTGGATGGTCCGCTATCAAGTTGCATGAATTGAGGCTGCCTGCTTCAAGCACCAGATTATGATAGGCGAACCTTTGTTTACATTTTTTGCCTCATAAGCCAGCTCTCTCAACGTTTGGACCTAATTTCAATATGTGGCAACATCCTTTATGGCTACATCCTTTGGGTTATCTCTAAGGCGAATGGTCAAAAATGTAAACAATGACTATAGACGTTTCTGTATCCTACCGTGACGAACGGTTACGACATATTTTCAGGAGCAACAATCATTGAACTAAGTTGATCGGGTCAATTTATCACCGTAAAAGGATAGAAAAGCTGACGTTTGGAGTGCTAGCTCTTCGTCAGTTTTATAACAAGGGAAGGGTGGGTAACAGTTTGCATCGCAAGTCATCTCAAAACTGTTCCTGCCTTACCTTGGTCTTGTCCTAAAATTGTCAAGTCCCAGTCTCCTTGCAAAGGTAGTTTTCTCTGCACTGCCATTTTAACAATACTGGGCGAAATAGCAAACTCTCCTTCACTGTAGATTCCCGCGTGTGCATATGGCTTTATAACGAAAACAAACAAGTATTCATAGTCACACTAAGGATATTTTAGTTCATAGCAGAGTTCGTAGGAAATGAACAAAAAACGCGAAGCACAGTAAATGTGGTCCTTGGTCCGGACGAAAAAGACGTAAATGAGTATTTCGTATGTTAGAGGAAGAGTAGTGAGCTGAAATTTGTCCTGTAAGTTGCCGTAATATTGTACTAACTTGAGACGAACCGACAGCTTCTGAGCTTTGCCGAAAATCCTGCATCATCGAAAACGACTGCTCCGTTTGAAGTCCCCTGGTCCGGCCAGTGGTTCCTTGGTCCGGTAACTTTGGTGACTTTGTAAGTCGGCATCAAAAGTGCGCAAAACGAAACGTTCCAAGCACCATCTGATCTAAATGCCTGTATATTTTCTATAGGCATCCTTTAAACTTCCAAACCAAAATGAGATTTCTGTTTAAAAAGCTAAATTTTTGTCTCTTGAAAAAATTATTTTCGTTTCTGTGCCAATGTGTGTCGTGCAGTTACGATGCGACTTCTGCGAAATCGCCACCATTTTAAAAAAATTCAATTCACTTTAGAAAGAAAGAAAAATTTGTCGTCGCTTGTTTACGTCCTCAAGAAATTCGAAAAACTTCCCATCAGGAAATTTTATGTCTTATAGTCGTGCCGCGGCAGCAAAGTAATCCGACCGAAAAGCGTGCGTCATAAAGCACGTGCAGAGTAATGTTTTCATTTTCCTCTCCCTAATGAAACCAATCGGACGGATATAAGCTTCATCATTATAGCCTTTTATATCATTACTTAATAAATAAAGTGCATTGCTATTGGGAAAATCTCAAGCAATACATTTAACTTGAAGGCTGCAATCAGCACACGGATTTGATTATTTACTCCTATCATTGAAAGTGCTTTACTTAAAATGTGACTCAAAGATGAAAGATCCTCACTTCAATTCATGAATCTTAATTTACTAACAACTACACGAAAAGAAAACTGAACTTTCTAAGGCTTTCCCTTTTCAATCACTATTTGGCTGGTTTATGTATCGTCCACTGGCCCGACCAAGGACATTCTATGCAAAACTTACTTTGGAACATTATCTATAACTTTGGTTTTAAAATTCAAACTTTTGACCGAATTTTTTTGCAAGTCGAAAGAACATTTCTTGTACGCTGTGTACACCAAAAATTAGCTTTCTTAACGCACTTAATTGCATAAACATGACTTCAAAATATATATCCACGTAATTTAAGGCCCCATTAAGGTGGCTCGATATAGTTTTTCAAGATCAATACCTCCCAAGTTTGAGCGTAAACTGCGTCGCCATAAACAAGGATTTGGAAAAATTGACACCACAGTTGTATTAGATAAAGAAGAAAATTGGTTATGATCAGGGTTGCAATGACATCGGAGTTGTCATAGCAACGAAATGACGCCATTACCTATTTTACTTGCAGCAGTATTTCTCGGCACTGGGAACTGTTCTTCCAAAATCGTTTACTGGAGCTTTTACCTACGATAGCTGCCTCGATGTTCGTGAAGTTTAAGCGAAATCTGTAAGAGTGTTATCGAGATATTTTGAGATGAAGTTTTTTTGGTTAGAAATACGGTAAAAAATTGACAATCTTGATGTTCGACTGTTATCTGTACTAAACGAAGCGCTTTTGACATGCAATTTCACCTCATAGCAGTTTCAATCTTTTTAAAAACGTGTGTGAAAGATCATGGAGATACCTCCAGCCGATTGCTAGAAAGGAGGATTTGATTAGTATGTATTAAGGCGCTCTTGTTAGCCGTGATGTAAACATTTCGGTCTACTTTAACAAATTAGCGAATAATTTTTAAACCACTCGATAAATTTTTTACAAAATTTAAGAATCTGGAGATTAACCCTCCTTTTATATGACCTCTTAGTTTCAAGATTATTGATATATTGTAAGGCAGTAAAATAAGGGCTTGAATTCGCTAAAATTTTGTCAAAAATTTTGTGTTTACAAGTGAGAGCCTCTCATTATTCAGGGTATTGTCTCCAAGTTTCATATTTTCATGCATAACAATAGCTAGCAGTTTTGCATATGTCAAATGCACTGTTAGTTACTGCTGTTCACGTGAAAATGAAACTTTGAGACAATACCCCTGAATAATAAGAGGCTCTCACTACACAATTATTGGACGACGTGCTTTTGTTACATGTCGAATAATTAAATAATTTAGGTCACGCAGTGCTATCAGCAGATAACTTGTTTCAGTTGATCTGGACATAAAAAAAAACTGAATGTAATAAAGGTTTAGAAGAAAATAACGACAAACGCACTGCCGCACGCACGGGGAACAGTTTATTGTTTTTCGGGAAAAAAGAAAAAAAAAAAAAAGACCTTGGAAGTCCTGGTTAGCAGATCTGATTAACCTGTGGAGGCTCCTAGCCAGTGAGAAGGCAGATAGTGATTACAACGTATAATAAACTGGTTTAACCGAATGTTGTTCAATTTCATCTTCGAGTTGGAGAAATCAAACGAAGGAAGCGATTCGAGAAGTAAAGAACACAAAACATTTTCCCAAAGAACAGAAGTCTAAAGTAGACTGAACATATAACGCGCAGTGACTCTTATAGCCTGCGTAGCAAGCGTTTCCTCGCGAGGTTCGTCTAGAAAGCTGGGAGAAGAGCAAAAAAAAAATGAATGACGGGGGAGGGGGAGGGGAAAGAAGGAACCGCTTGCCCGAAAACCCCACGATTTTGAAAAACTGCGTTCGCCCACGAACGCAGCTTCTGATTGGCGCGGTGCGGGTGGTGTTGATTACTTAGCATTCGAAACATCAATCAAACCAGGTATGCTTTGTTTTCGTGCGTCACAGATCAGGTCTCATCTGATTTGTGGTCGCAGATTACAAATGCTTTGGACTGATATTTATTGGAATCGTGTTTGTGCGAAGGTTTATGAGATCAGAGTCTTCAAAGTATAATCGAGCAGTGGAGACTAGGGAAGTCCAATTTATTGAGAATCACGGCGTGCGGATCTGACTGAAAAAAATGGACTGTTTGTTGGAGACAACATCAACATAAATCAGAACATCGGTACTCGACACTAGCTAAAGCCGCCATGGACAAGCGATTTGTCAGCTTTTTGAAATGAAAAGATTCTTTTTGTTTATTGGAAATTTAGCGGCATCTATTTTAGAGAACGTTTCGACACAGGCTGAAAAGCAGCCGCTCTGCAAAACTTATACCCGACGGAGTGAATTGTTCTTGACGTGTCGAAAGGTTTCAGACGAGATAAAGCCACACAATAAAAAACAAGAAATTCCGCATCAATGGTTTTAACTTTTCTTTTATCGGTTTGCGGCAAGCGTTTCCTCTTCTCCCCTCCCCCTCCCCCTTCAACCTTTTTTTTTGCTTCCGCTCTAACTTTCGCGCAATAACTCGATTGGAAACGCTTGCTACGCAGGCTATGACTCTTACTGTGATTGGCTCCTCTTCAAGGTGCTGGTTTAATTTTAAATAGACTGAGATGCTTCAAGCTCTATAGCAACGGAAGATGTGCTACAGGGACCGCGGAGGGGGAGGGGCTGGTAGGGCCGCGGCCCCACCACTTTTTTGCGCCCCCGCCCCCACTTTTTGCGCTGAAAAGAAAAATAATTAAAATTAAAAAAAGGACTTGAAACATGTTTTTTTCCGTCTGTATTCCGCTATATTCTCTGCATTTTCTTTAATTTCAAACGCCAGGCATTTTGTGGGGCTCTTGTACTTTTCGCCGTAATTGTGCCCTGGGGCCGACTTGCCCCTTGATCACACGCCATGCCTTGGCCAACGGGCTTCGCTTCGTTCGGCAGCGTGTTTTGTACTTCCAGCTCCGGCAGAGTTTTTTTATCAGTTTTATCAGACGAAATGAAGAATATTACTAGCTTTTTCAAGCCAAACGAAGGTGAGTAGTTGTTTTGAGTTGATAAAAGTTTTATATTTTGTCTTTCTCCTTTTGAATCAATGAAATATTCGATGGCAAGAAGAATTACATCACTTGAACAGTGAACGGCCATAGTAAGAAATTTTTCAGATCCTTTCAGTGTAGTATTTTCTATACTAAAATTGTAATCGCGTCTTTTCTTGCATTGAATCTGAACTGACCGTGTATGTTGGTCGTTTATTAGAGTTAGCTGGGACTTCGTCAAAGTCTGTAAGCTCTGCAGAAAAGACGACAACTACTTGCAGTGAAAATGGTGAGTTTGAGTTTGACCAGTAAACATTTCAATATATTGTTAAAAGTTTCATTTTTTGGAAGTGCGAGTTGTTTCTGACTAATATTCGTTAAGTGTAATTGGATTTTTGGTGATGGGTTATATATTTATTCTATTTATAATATTCTACCTATTGTCAGCAATCCTATAATTTAGTATACACATTTACTGGACGGAATGAAAATCGTATGAAGAATTTCGGTATCTTCACTAATGCCGACCTATAAAGAGCAAAAAATACTGGATAAAGTATGCAAAGTCACGCGACAGAAACAAACCAAATACTATGATTTTATTCCTTTCTTCGATTTTCAATATGAAAAAATCATTTTCAATTGTCAGCCCTCCCACTTTTCACCTTGCTCCGCGGTCCCTGTGCTAAACGCTTTGCTTTTAAGACTGACAAAAGTTACTTTAGTTGAGAAACTATCCAACAATAATAACATGGGATGAGAGGGGGGGGGGGGGACTTTTACCTGTATCATTTCTCCTTCAGACATCTCCTCCTCAGTAGTTATTGTCGTTGTTCCAAGGGTGGTAGATGACAAGCTGGATGGACTGCTGACCGACGGTTTGGCGGACTTGGGTGGTGTTTGTTTCTTTTGGCTAATTGAGGGTTCTTTAGGTTGACTGGGTTCCTCAACTCTGAAGCGTTGTTCGGAAAAAATAGAAAAAACACAGTTTATTATAATTAAAAATCAGAAACCAGCACAGCTAGATCGCCTGTTAACATACAAAACCAAAACTACAGAAAAAGGGCATTTGCCTCCCAAATTCTTACGATAATCACCCTCAACTGTTACGGTCAATATACAGGAATGCGGGGATCCCCACTCGCAACCTTGAGCACCCAAATTTAAATAAGCACTCAGCTGACCGTGTTTGAAATGAACTCACGTTCTCTTTCATGTATAATTCAGCGGCATATTACAGGTTATAACAAAAGGATATAACAACAGAATTAAGAAAAAAACTGAGCATGACCAGGTTAAAAAAATTGGAAAAATTTTACTAGCCTGACTCTTGTTGGTATTGGGAAGATGTAGTTGGGCGTGCTGTCCGGGAAAGCGCGCATGCCTAACTTCACTTACCTTACATCACAGCCTCATTGTTAAACTTTAAACAGCCTCACGCAAATCATTTAACTTTAGTCGTCGAGTAAAAAAGTTTCAACAAGGATGTGATTAAACACTTCTGGTACTTACACGCTCAGCTCAGGATCAGGTTCGGGTTCAGGCTCCGGCGTTGGCGTTTTCACTGAAATTGAAGGAGTAGGAGTGGGAACCAGTGTATCTTGAGATACAACATGTACCTCTGCCTCTTGTATTGACGGCTCAGGTGTGGATATACTCGCGGGAGGAGACTGAGCACGAGGTGGTGTTGCGACTGGGGTGCATATCGGAGTTTTTGCTTCAGATACCTGCAGTGAGAGGATAGGAACTAAACCTAATTAACCTGCACTGCAACGGAAGCCTTCTTTTTCCAAAAAGGTAACAAACCTGTTCACCAGTCTCCTCCTCTTTATTCTGCTCTCCCCTGATAGGTTCAAATACTTTTTCTTCATCACCGCTACCTGACAGGGTAGGCTCTTCACTTGATACTGAGGGGGTGGGAGTGCGTATAGGCGTTGCAATCACTGGTGAGTCATGAGCACTTTCCTCTGATTCTGGAGGTGTGTATTCCGGGGTTGGGGTGGGGGTGGAAAGTGGTGTTTCCCTGTGGGAAGGGGTGCGTGAATGCTCTTCTTCCTCCTGTGAGATAAAGCACTGGATAGTCAGCATATGCTTTCAATGGTCAGCAGTGAGCTAGCATGATGCATGTTTGAATTTAGCTCCGCCGTCTTGAGTGCTTTAAAGACACTTTGACTTATAACTTATTCTAGGCTTTTTATGACTTGATGTCAATGCTCGCCGCAATTAGCCTGCGCTATTTGCGGGTATTGACAATCAAGTTAAATGGTATTATAATTAATTGTAATCATCCCTTTGTTTAGTAGTTAGCTATAGTATGTTAATTTCAGTTTGTAAACCGCCCACAAGTAATAATAATAATGGAAAAATACTTTATCAAAATCTTATAAAAACTACACACAAAACTTCAGTAAAATATTAATAAAAAGAAAACGCCCATATCAATACAAACTTCCGGCAAAACCCCTTCATAATTCAAAGAAATCACATAGAGTTATAAAAAATCAAGTCAAAAGTCCCAGTGCATGGCATAAACGTAAATGCGCTGATTTTAATAATACGGTTAAGGTTCTGATCCATGAGGCGAGATATAAATTTTCCGTTCCAATTTCCCGACAATAATTACAATAATAATAACAATAATAGTAATCAAGTTAAATGAGAAAAGAGAAACCGTAAATGCTCGAGTTAGTGCTCGGGCGCGCTTAATTCATTTTCTGAGTCAAGAGGAGGGTGCTTATTTTAAGGGGGCGCTTATTTTGTTTTTCAAATTTCGGCCTTAACATAACAACCGTAACACAAACTGTAATAGTCAACTGAAACGCATCTGTAAAAATAAACAGAAATCTTTGTGTAGGAAGGAAGGGGGGGGCTTACTCGAAAAAGGGCGTTAATTTGTGCATTTATGATACTTAAAGCAACACCAGTTTCATTATAAACTTCTTAAAGAAAAAATACACGAAGATGAAAATGAAAATGAAAATGTTTAATTTTACTTACTTTAGAAGAGAGAGGCATGGCTTTTGGTCTGGGGTGTCCAAGAATTGTAGAAATGTTTTCTGCAATTACTTCCCGGATCAAATTAGAGACAAGGTCTCGGTCCACTGGTATTCCTGCGTCAACAAACAACTGAACTCCACCCAAGCCTATCGTGGCAGCTAAAACCGAAAGAAGAAATAAGCTAATTGGAACGTGACCAAGGTCTAAACACTTCCCTTGCTAGAACTGATTTTCATTACTTTAAAATAAGTTATTTGATGGAATCATTTATTTGTAGGTTGTTAGAAAAAACAATGACAATCAACAACTCACAAAGCATATCAGCATCGTCACTTTCAGAATCAGGTTCAGTGTTACTTTCGGGGGTAGTCTGAAGAATTGTCAGGGCTGTGGGGTCAGGCACTGGTTGGTTCATTTCACTCACAATGCGGGCCAAGAGTTCTTGCTCAACCCTAACAACAAAAAGGTATTATCCAAACGTTTATAAGTGACATGCATCAATAATAGGGTAAAACCTTCTGAAGGTCTAGCGTGAGAAAGCAGCCGACATTTCGCAAAGCGACCAACAGTTTCCCCGCAAAATGATGTCTGAGGAACAAGCAAAGAAATTTCATACTGGTAACGTGTCACTACCCAGATCTGGGTAGTACTTCTAATAGGTTCACCGTTGAATAATCAGAAGCACTACCTAAATCAGGAAGTTACACGTCATCAGTATGGAATTTCTACCCTTTTGTCAGGCTACTTAGGGTCCTGCCATCCAATAAAGAAATCCACTTAAAGTGGAAACTACCATTAGAAAAGATTATAGTGATCAAATTTCATTGACTCGCTCTTTAAGGTTAACCTAGCTACGTACTAGAGGAACTGTAGTATCACCCCTGTTGCACTAATTAAATGGCTTGTATTTTGTGACAGTGTAGACTAACCATTCCATAGCTCTTTCCTGCAGGGCCTTTTCTTGTCGAGTGTCAGCTTCAAGAACTCCACCTGCTTGCTGCACAGAAACTGGGGGATGAACAGGTGGAAAAGCCGGTCCATTGTATGGCTGATTCTCAAGTCCTGTCACACCCTCCAGTGTTAAAGGATGCTGAGGAGTTGGAATTCTAAGAAAGTCGTCATCAGTGTCAACCTGAGCCTAGAAAGAAATGACACCTGTCATATATCTTTTTAAACTCCAGTTGTTTGCTGTCATTTAGCGGGAGGGGTGGGTGGGGGGGGGGGCCTAATGCTTAAAGCCTACTGCCGTTTGGAGACCTGGAGCAAAAAAAAATTGGTTTCCTGAAATAGCAGTTCATACGTACAAGTTTATTATTATATTCTCTTAATATCATTATTTTGGACTGAGAATTTAAGTGACTTTTTTGTCTCCCCCTATAAATAATTTTTTCACATACATTTAGAATATCTCTTGAATCTTGATTTTGACCCCACTATAAAGGTAGACATCAAACAGCCGAGCCGCAAAAGGCTTCATTATTTAGAAGTTTTCTTTTGCTGTCCAAATAACTTTAATTTCATTTCAATTTCTTACCTGTTCTTCTTTCTTTTCCTGGGTCCCAGTTTCTTTTACTGCCAAAAAAGTTCGGAATTCCTGGTACTCGGAATCATCAGGACGAGAAACAGGTTCAGGAATGCAGTCCTGCAATACATAAAACTGCCTTGTTATACTAAAACACATGGAAAACATTCTTCATTCATTGAAAGGTCAATGTTTTTACATTTGATGGATATCTACAAAAGGCAAAATTTTCATCAAGAAATAAAAAGTGTATTTTTTAAGGGATGAAATAATGTGCACACGTTCACGTGGGTTTTATTTCATCAAGCTAGAGAATTGATCTAGGGTGTAAAATGTAAATCCTTTAACCAATGTTTAGAAAGAAGTTTTCCGACATAGACAGATAATCATGATCCTACAAATTTTATGTTACGTTTAATGGAAGTAACTTACTTTAATAAGTGGGGAACTTGGTGAAGAGGACACTGTGTCTGAAAAACTGTCAATATCCACTGTGGGTAGGACCTGCAGGAAGAAGTAAAAGAACTTGCAGAATTAAACTATCGCACAAAATACTATGGTTTAGATTTAAAGTATTCCGTATGTGTTGATTCGGTCGCTGCATTCCATTCAAGTATTTGCAATGATATTATCTATTGACGATTTTTGTCCAAACAATGATCGCCCATGACAATGATCACCCAGTTTTCCACCATGACTTACAATTAACTGGAACTTCAACAACTAGCAAGTTGAACCCTTCTTCAAACTTTGTTATGGATTAATTTTTCACACTAACAATAATTATTAATTCAATCAGAAGCTGTTACCTAAAGAAAAGAAATTGGCAAGCTACTTTAATTCAAATGTACCTGTACTTCCAGCTGTTTTTTTTTCTTCTTCTTCTGGGATAACTTCTTAACATGTTGTTTGTTTTGATGTGTTGTGCCTGGCACCGGTTCTTTTTCATACATGGTGATCACTGCAACATTTGGCCACGCAGGCTTAAAAGGCCTCACAGGACTAGGGACTGGTGTCGTCTTGGTGTCATAGACATCAGATACCATGGTATCGTTAGGGGAGGGGCTGTCAGCTTTAACTATGGATTTCAAGAAAGAAAATATGATCACCTTCATAAGTATTTTAAATGCACTAAAGTAAAAACAAGCGTATAAAAACCTAGATTTTTCCAAATTAGGCTAAATAGGACCTTATAGAAATGGTGTTTAGTGGGATTTTAGGCTACTTATATTAGGTTCTTAATTTGATAGGGGCACTAATGATCAGCACAGATAACCACTACAGGGCATACGTGATATGAAATATTTTGTACAGTATTAAATAATTATATAGAATACAGTTTAGATGATAACCATACAGTAAATGTACCTTCCAAAGTACTAGAATGCATATCTTTCATGCTGCAGTGTTCATAAAATGCTGTGTTGGCAAAGACAAGATATGGTTTTCATTTAAGTTCATTCTTTGAATCTTACTGATTGAAACCTTGACTAGAATTTTTTTTCTGTATTTTCATCTGTGCCTTAATTTTTGTAAAATAAGAACCCCTTGAAAGTCTTAGGCTAAATAGGTTCTTACATTACGAAAAGGTTTAAAATGAAAATTTTAGCCTAATAGGTTCTTATACGTGGATTTTAACTGTATTGCATGTACATCCCAAAAAGACAAAGTGAATACCGGTAATATATTTATAGTTCATGCTTGAAACCAAGTTTAGGCAATACAGACAAAGAGGAAAAATTAAATTCAAATTAATAATATCTATCATTATTAAGTAAGAGAAAATCATTATTGATTCAATGACAGTACCTTCTATTTCAGTTGAGATATACTTTGATTCTTGAGTAGGAATAGAAGGTCGTAATGCTGGGTCAGTTTTAGGTTTCCCAAGAGGAATAGCCATAGGTACCAACTGTCCTTCTAAAGGTGTAATAGCCTTTCCGTCATCAGGAGGAAAGTATGATGCAGCAACTTGGGGTTGAAAATAATACTTTGGTTTATCTGTGCCATAAGGATTACTATGAGGTTTAGCAGCTTCCACCTTGTTCTTTCTCGGTTTTGCAACTTCTTTTTCTTTTTCTGACACCAGTGTTAGATCCTGTGAAAATGGTTTACTTAACACTGTTCCTCTCTCACAACCTGGTTTGAGTCCAGCCATGATAGCAGCTGTTTTGGGGTTCACAGGAGACTGGTAATGTAGGTATGGTGCTTTGGAGGTTGTTCTTTGTGGATGATAGGGTTGGCGGCCATAAACACTTGACAGGTACACTTGTTTCTGTGTTGGAGTTACTGATGCAGCACGGTTTGAAAACACTTGAGTCTTTGTGGACTACAAAATTATTATTTATTTTAAAAAGATAAATTTTAATTTTAAAAGAAAAATTGCCCAGTTTTATCCAGTATCCAGTATCCTCCTTTCTTGCAAGAGAATGAGTATCTAGGAATTGACTGAATGGATATTAGCAAACAGAGGAGATGGAAAGATGTATGGACCATAAGATACAGTCAAACTCCCATAACTGACCACCCAAAATGCGAATATTTTTAAAATTAGTGGATGCTTTCAAGGTTGATACAGGATATGTGTAGTTCCACGTTGTCGCTAAAAGTTTTTGCCATACTGTGAGTAGCTAACAGTGTAGTAATTACAGCAAATAAAGAGATTAGACCATAAACCAAGTGGTTGCTGACAAGAGGTTAAAAACAGTGGAAACTGATCTTATCCCAAAAGAGGTTATGGTCCTTTACCAGGGATCATGACCACTTTCAAAAAAGAGGTTTCCAACAATAGGGCTTTAACTGGAAATAATTTATTCATTTGGTGTTTTGAATAGGTGATAGCTTATGTGAGGTGGTCACTTACTGGAAGTGGTCGCACGTGAAGGTTTACTGATATCATTGAACTTTAAAACAATTAGATAGTTAAGTTGGTCACCTTGTTTCTCTTGACATCCTTTTTCACTGACAAATTTTCTTTGCTCGTGAGTTTCTTCTCAGGCAGATTTTCCTTGCCTGTTGGTTTCTTTAACGTCTTTTTTCCAAGAAGTGACTGTTGGTTTTGATTTGAGTTTTCCTTAACAACCTCTACTAAACTAGAAGTCTCTTGATCTATTTCTCTCTAAGACAAACAATACTTCAGCCTGTTAATTTTTTTCATTAGTTATTAAAACAACAATCAAACTGCAAGCAATTCACTACAAAATGACACACTAGATCAAGATGTACCTGCACTAGACCAGTGATTTCTTCTATTTTTTTATCTACTTCTCTTCGTATTCTCAGCATATCACCAAACTCACTAAAAACATCCAATTAAACAACATAAGAGAGAATTCTAACAAAATTCATTTGATATTAGCCACATGACTCCTGACTTCTCATTTATTTCTGACTCTATTAAAAAATCGTTGTTACATATTAATTACCCAGTCAGTAAGGACATGTTATCCACCAGGTGATATAAACCTTGTTCCTCTCTCTGTCGTGTTACTGCCTCAAAATTCCTCTCAAGATTTTCTCTGCGATTTTGAACATCTTGAAGGATGTGCTCTGCATCAGCAAGGTGTGTAAGATGAATTGGCATAGCTGGGAAAATACCTGAAGAAAAAAAAATTCTGAACTTGCCTGCTAAGAAGCTTCAGGTTTTTTCAAACTAGTGACAGTTGACACTACAGCTGCCCCCCTCGTTCAACAGTATTCTTGGTTTCTGTGTAGCTCTTTGAAATATACCGAATTTTATAATTGAAGACTTTCACACATTTCTCACATAACAGGAAATGCAAGGTACGATGCACTGAGTCAGGCCTGGGGTGGGGGGGTGAGGGGGGCTGGCAGGGAATAGTCAACGTGAAAACCAGACCCTGTTTAGGACAAAAAAATTCTAAAATACATACCCTGTTTAGGACAACACCCTTAATGTTATTACCATCGTTTGAACAAAGAACAAAATGCACACAGTCCTGTTTTTAAAGCCATTTATATTTGGCAATTGCAAAAGAGCAAATTCACGTTTTAATCATTGTTTTTGTATACAAAATTCATCTAGGAAATCAAATCAATCCTGCAGGATATACTTTTTAACAGACTCGCACAAAATTACATAGTTACTCTGTTAGGACAGAGGAGTCAAAAACCGTACCCTGTACTTTCAAAACAGCTGCTCCACAGAATGTCACTGAACACACGTAACACAAAAGAGTATCGAAATATGACTGTACAATAAGTGTCACAAAATCAACATAACGCAGTCCCTTCTGTGGCATATTTTGTTTTACATCATCCTAACCATTTCCTAGTTGTGGTGTGAACAGTAGAAACATGATTAAGTACTTTTCTACATATGTGCGAGCTACCAAGACGCCTCCTCAGGATTTCGCCTTTTGGGTGAAATCCCTGTGGGGGCAATTACAGGGTTTTATAATAAAATTTACATGGTGCATTCCTTTCTGTTTATTGGAATACTGGAATTGCACTAATAAAATGCTGACAGGCTGTGTACTCAATAGGCCCATATCCAAGAAGCACTTTCCTGTGTAGTACCTTCCCCATATATTATATTACCCTTACAAAAAATTGTGTAATAAAACCTGTTGATCTGGGTGGAGAGACTGGGACTGCTGTTGTCCTGGTAGCAACCTGTGAATTATTAAAAAGTATAATGTTCAAAATATATGGCCAATACCATACTTTGATTAATGATTTTGCAGCAAATGATCATGAACAATAAGATAAAAAAGGAAAACTAGCTGAGGAAAAACCTGAAACACAAATATAAACCTTCCCTTACAGACAGGCTACCTATTCAAGTATGGTTAATAAATATGACATAGTCGCTGCTGTACTCCTTTTACTGCTTTGAACTGGCACCTTCTTACTTCCTCCTCTTGGAAAAAAAAACAACCATGGAGCCCCACAGGAATCAAAAGACAGCTAAATAGTCTATTAAGGTTAATTATTAGCATTTAAACAATAACACAGCAAATTCCATCAAACGAAAAGAGAAAATAGCAAGAATCCCATGAGAAAATGAGGTAGCAGCCATTGTTCTCACATACAGATGTTGTTGGTCAATAGTATTTGACTTGCTCTTCACGAATTAAGCTCTTTGAATTACACCAATTCATATTGATTCATATATACAAAATACCAGGAAACGCAAGGTTCCACGACTGATTCAAGTTGATTTACACAGCTTTGATCAAAACATTTTCAGTTTCGAGATTGATTAAAAGTGGTATGATTTTTCTCTACTTCTCTTTCACTTTTTAAATACAGTTAATTTTATTAGCCAGAAAGTATAAAAGCCTTAGAAATTAAAAGGTTTGATTAATTCATCCTCACATGTTCTAGCCATTTTTTTTTTAACTATTAAGACAATTAATACTTCAAGAAAAAACTTTCTTGAAGGACATCTGTGCACAGGATCAATACATCAGCACAGCATTGATCTGTGAATTTCTGCAATCGTCCAATTGCTCCCCCAGTGATAAGCTAGCCATTGATTGACCACAGGCTCGATTGCATAGGAAAACTTGCTTAGACTGAGTCTTACTCCCCCAAAGAGAGGTGCCTGGCAAATCGTTTCCAGTCTGGGATTTGTGACTGACACACTTGTGTCTGGCAAATTCTCCAAGTGTTTATTTATATACAGTCATACACCCCTTGTAACTTCATCCATGCTTAACGAGTGTCTTTTGGTCCATAACTTTCAAAACAGCTGTTCCACATAATGTCACTGAACAGATGTAATGCAAAAGAGTATCGAAATATGTGTCACAAAAACAACCTAAGCGGTCCCTTCGGGTATTTTCTGTTTTACGTCGTCCTAACCATCTCTTTAATACTTGCAGGCATGAACAATAGAAATGTCCTCATTACCCAACAATTCCACGCAGCCCCTATAATCAAGCAAATCAAGATTTTTTCTGGCATACTGACAGCATATTTCAACTGTAAGTACTTTTCATATATACACAAAATTACAAGCTACTAGCTAGGATGCCTCCTCGGGATTTCTCCTTCTGCGCGAAATCTTTGCAGGGGCAATAAAATAATAGAGTTTATGTTAAGTGGTATAAATAATTGTTTTGGGCCCGACTCAGACTCATCTTAGCCCGAGCCACTGAGCAACGGTTAAAATGAGCTCTGAGAAAGGCCCAAAACATATTTATGTCAGCAAGAACATATCATTAAAGTCTATTACTATTATTACCACTTTGGAGGGCACTGGAAAAACAAGGACGTCTCAAAATGACAATAAGACAGTCTGAATCAAATCACACGAGCATTTACTTTTTTTTTTCATTTCCAATACAACTTTATTGAACATACACACAAACAGTTAACATTGACAAAAGACAATCTGCAACAAAACGAAAACTACAACTTGAAGCTGACAAAAAAGAAACCTAACACAATAAAAACATTAGTGGTAACTAAAATTAAATGGGAGTGCAATCAGTTAAGTAAACAGAATTTCATACCATATTTAAAAGAGACGAAAAAACAGACCATTTATTTCTGAAATCTTTTTCGCGACCAGTCGTACAAGAAATATCTTTTTCTAGACTAATTTTATCACGAGCTAGGGAAACAAATTCATTAAAGATGTAAAATTTACTGTTAAGAGCTTTTACGTAAAGAAAATACTTTCCTAAAATGACTAATGATTGAGGGCTAAACAGAATTTAGAATCGTTATTAATAATGCCAAACATAATTTCTTTTATTGAAGGCGATAATTTTGAGTTCACCATGCACGAGGCCCAATCCAGAATCTCCTTCCAGAACAAAGTGGCTTGCCCGCACTCAGTGAAAAGATAAATGATGGTGTGATCTGCAGGACAAAAAGGGCAGCATGGGAAGTCGTCTTTCTTCATTTTAAATAATAGGCTCTTAGTGCACAGAATATTGTTAATAATTTTGTACTGGAACATTGAAAGCTTTACTTCTTTTGTTACTTCAAAAGGCAATAGATATAATTTTCTCAAATCATCCTTCTAGTAGCCAAAATTTAAGAATCTTTTCTCAAAAGTCGACGGAGGCTTTGATCAAAGAGACAGCAGCTTAGTATAAATTTTTTTGCAAGTCATTTCCTCTATTAATATTGGCGGTGTTGAGCTTTGTTCGAGGGAGCAATCAAGGAGTTTTTTCCAACTTTGAGGGATGGCGTTAACAAGGCAAAAGTACTGTATAAAAAAACGCATCTTACGTTAAATTTATTACGAAAAGAGTCGAAGGACGGAAAGCAGTTTTGCTGTGAATCAAAGAGGTCGTTAATTTTTAGAATTCCTGCATAAGGCCAATGCTACAAGTACATAGATTTCTTATCAGACTTAATAAACTTGTTATTCCAAACTATCTGTTCAAGAACATCATTTTTGCTTTTTGGGTTGGAAGCTATTACGTCTTGCCAACATGTGATTATTTCATGATAAAAAGCTGGAAGGCATTTGCTTAGATTAAGGTGACTGATGTCATAGTTACATTTGAAAAGCTCTGGGCCCCCAACATTCGCTAGGAGGGACTTCGGGATGTACTGCCACTGTGCGTCTGAGTTTGAGCAAAGTCGCTTAACCCAATTTAACCTTAAAGCCTTGTTAAATAAAGCAAAGTCTTTCATCTCTAAGCCTCCCTCTTGCCTTGTTTTGATGAGAGTAGTGTATTCTATCTTGGGTGGTTCGTGGCCCCAAATAAAATCTAAGACTATTTTGTTTACTTCATCAACAAAAAGTTTTGGAGTTTCCATTACACTGCAGATAAATACCAGTTTGGAGAGCGCGAGGGATTTCACTAGATTTATTTTGCCGTAAACAGAAATGTCCCTTTGAGACCTGCATATATGTTTAATTAAGTTTTTTTAAGGAAATTAACTTATCCCAGAAGTTCCTCTGTATAACTGTAGGGGTGGCAAATGGTACCTCGAAAAACGTGGTTCTCGGAAAATTTTGTCAGAATCTTGAAATCTCGGAAGTGTTTATGGTAAGTCTCGAAGTCTCGTTTTTTCATGTTTGTTTTTACTTTTTTGAGTCTCGAAACTTTTTACCAAAGAGTCTCGGGCTCGGATTTCTAACTTTTAGCGTCTCGGCGAGTCTTGGATTTTACCATTCGCCACCCCTAACCGTGTCACGTTCGTACGCAAAATGAACATCAAGCACGTAGACAGGCTCCTCACTAATTTGTAAATTTTAAATTTTATCTTCACTAGCATTTACATGTTGGTTGGCTTTCATTTTTGCCCAAATTAAACTAGCTAGAAATTACAATATTGTGCCATTTGCACTGCCTAAGAAAATTTTTAGGGAGCCCGAGCCACATTTCTAGGAGCCCAATTAACAAAGTTCAGTAACTTTATTAACCCTTTGGTGACAGGCAGCAACTAACAAAAAAACCCGCATTTTTCATCAATTCCTCTTCTTTGGACTAAGTTGCAGCTAATTAGCATAAGAATGGCTAAAAATGAGTTTTGCAAAAAAAAGCATATTTTCCAACTAATCTGATGTAATTGAACAGCTTTTTTGTTTTTCAGGCATGCGCAAAAGCCAAAATTTGGACTTTTTTTGCAAATCTGTTTCAATCTTTCTCTCTCGCTCTCTCTTTTTTCCTTTGCCTTTCTTGTTTATTAGCAGTTTTAAATGTTGCCCACTTTATCGTCTTTCTATTGCTTGGAATTGTGGATGGGTGGCTAAGTTTTTAGGAAAGGGACAAATTTAATCTTCAAAGGGTAGTAAGCAAACAGTGAAATTGGTAGCAGATTTTTCCCCAAAATTTTACCTTTTTTGTGAGTGTAACTCTGTCAGGATTGGTCAGAATATCCAAAACGAGGTATCGCTGGAAAGATCTGTCTTTAATTTGCTGACGTTTGTCACAAGCTTCACACATGAGCCCCCGGCTCGGATACTGAGGGCAACCTCAATCCCACGCAATGACTTTAAATAAATTGATTGACTGATTGAAATTGATGTTGCTTACCAAATGATACCCTGCAAGTAGAGGCCCTTCGATCCTCCTTATTTAAGTCGGGAAGCCTTATGGACTCGAACAAATCCAGTTTCAAAACACGAAAACCGAGTCTCGAGTTTCGAGAAACAAGCATTTTTTATATTCACCAATCGATAGGATTTCGTGAAACGATTTATTTCTGGTGAAACATAAGTATAACCTTCGCATGTTCAGCGAACGTACAGACCAACAGCACTTGCGTGTACACTTTTAAAAAAAGCAAAGTTAAGTTTAAGTTTTTAGGTGATAAAAAAGGACCAACGAAAGATTTTTTATCTGGGAGTTTGGAAAATTGATTCAGCATTTTTGTATCAAGTCTATCTTTTGAACTATCACAACACTGTTCTTATATTTCTGAAGGTTTGTATTTATGTGTGTCACACATGAGGACATAAATTAAAAAGAGATTGAAATATGATCTTGAATAGTCGCTGAGAATAATTTTAAAAAACTGGAATGTTTTTACGAACCTTTCAAAAGTTACCACAACTCAAGAGGTTTAAAGCCTGGGTCAAAAATGTGTTTGAAGCATGTGGATGTTTGGCAACATAATTATCATTCGCTAGGAGCCCTAGTTAGAACAAAAACTGAGGTTTTCTTGTGCCTTAACACTTAATTATGGTCATGTGACATGTCACGAGACCAAAAATTGAAAATAAAGGAAATTGGTGAATTGGTTTGAATACGTTTGGAATGAATGTACGCGAAGTTTAAAATCAAAGATTTAAATAATTAAAGCTTAAATTTGGGCATTTAAAATGATGTTTTCCCTCATCATTTTTTATTGAAGTGCTGGACGGTCATTCCAGTCGTGAAGTGTTAGAAATATTTAACATGAATTAGAAAAATGTTATTGCTAGATTTCTTTTTTTGAACAGGACACCAATTGGTCAACAATTTAAGATTTTTAGCAAAATGGTCAAGCGACATGTCATGTGACTTATTAACATTATATAGTATTTATACTTCCAAATATTAAGAACGATGAGTTCTTTATGTGTGCCAAATTTTGATTCAGCGCCATCATCTATCAGATCTATGGCGAAGTTATAGCCAATAAATCATTTTCCACACCCCTTAGTCCCACTCCTTAAACTACTTGAGAAAACGTACAGCAAAGAAAAAGAGGTGTAGATAACGCTGAATAAATGATACAAGAAACCTCCAAGTGTACCGTTCGTGTTCATAGCAAGATAGAAAACGCTACATAGTTGAAAAAGTTACCATATCCTATGTCAAGTGTAATTTGAAAGCTCTTGCTTTTCCACGGATCACGACGTTTTATCAGTTTCTAACACTGAAGGAAAGTCATGATTCTATTATCAAAGGTTTTTTGAAGACTATTAAATTCATTCAATGTCATTTTCAGACAAGAAACTTTAACAGCGGAAGTCACAGAAGCTAATTTCAAGACATAGTGCTTGTTTGTTTACCTTTTATCAGCGGAATATTTTTTTGCCAACGGCCAATGATTAAAAGTTTTCTGTTATCGTTTCAGAATTACGGAATGAGAAGGGAATTTTGTCGTCTGTTCACTGAAAGTTAAACTGAGAATCATAATTTTAAGGCACCCATCAGGGCTCCCAGATTGAAATTTTGGTTGCCAACAGGTTTTTAAAAACTATAATAAACTTGAAAGCTTAGCATGTAAGTGCTAAAATTAAATGTACATGCATGTGTACAGGGTTCGTACCCTTTTTCACAATTTCCAGGACTTTTCCAAGCTTATTCAGATTGATTTTTTCCAGGACTCCAAATTTCACAATTAACCCTTTCACTCTCAGAAGTGACAAATAATATTTATTTATTTCTACTTTCAATTTCATTACATTGCCAGCCATACAAATAAGGACAATAAAGAAAAAAAATAAAATATCAACAAATTGATTAAACACTAAATTCTCAGAGGTAACATAAGAAATCCATGGTTGATAGTTAGTAGAATTATTATCCAACTGCTCATCAATGCCTTTCCAGGCTGCCCTCTTTTCCATGGCAGATCTTCGCAAACTGTTTGATTTGGCAACCCAAGTAAGGTTTCTTGAATCTTCCGCCCTATCAGCAAATTCATCTACAGTAATCAGAAGGGCCTCTATATCAGTTTCAACTACCATTTCTTTTCCTTAAGCAAATCGATTTCATCCATTGTTGCCTTTCATTTAAGCAATTTTTCCTGGGAGGCTTAACTCTTCTGCTCTTCTAGATAGGAAAGGTAATTCTGTCAAGCTCCAAAAGATGACAAATGAAGTTGCTTTCAGATTTGGTAATTGACAAGGCTTCCAACTGATTCAATGTGACCATGAATGATCTTTCTGATGGGTTCTCAACTGCCACTTCTTTGTTTACAAAAAAACCTCAGTCTATTAACTGTGGATTGACCATGAGACATTAGCAGCAGTAATTTAACCACACTCCACTGACACTTTATAGCCAGTTGCTTATCACAAGCCACACATGCATGTGTTCATACAACAGCATGTCAACTCTTGAAATGGGTTCACTTGGGTCAAAATCTTCAGAGGTAGGATAACACCTGCACATTCATCCAGAAACTGTCCAGACTGATATATCTCCTCATCACACTCATTAGTCTTCAATCTGTGGCCTTCCACAAGAATTTCAAGAACTCTTTTCATTTTGCTGACACACATTTCTTTCTCTAATGCCATTAGCATATTTCTTACTAGCCGATAATTTATTGGTGGTTTGTCAAGAAGTTTAGAAGCTGCTTTTGCAAGAAAATCTTTACATTCCATTTTGAATTGAAGAACTTGCCTTTCACACAAATTTCTAACACTTTTCTTTCAGCATCTGTTGTGCCACAAAGCCAACATCAACTTTCTTGTAGTCTAACTGCGTGCTGTTATTTGTCGGTAGGCTTCAACTTCATGGATCTTCAAAGGAGATGTTGTGTTTCCATCAGATAAATATGCTTCTTTCCCCTTTCGTGGCTTTTCAGTGCTGATTCTCCCATGTTTGATACATCAAATGCCTTCCAACAAACTTTGCATTTTGCTTCAAAATATTGTCCATGTCACATTCCAACCACATTGTATAGGAAGAGTTTTTCAACCAACGGTCACCATCACTAAACGAACATTTACCAGGAATATTTAAGAATAAAAATGTTTAAAACTAAGGACAACCATCGACTGATGCATAAATCTCAAACTTATGAAATCATGCATATCTCCAGGTTACTAAGGGACTATGTACTGGGAAAAACATGAAAGAGAAATATTTTATGCAGTCAAAACCACAGACGCATAGCATGTTATAATAATAATTCTCAAAAACGTTTTCTCATTTGTTTTAAGGAAAACATTATTACTTTATTCAGTTTAACAGATTTCCAGGACTTTCCAGGACCAGCAATATTTTTCCAAACGTGACAATAAAATTCTAGGACTTTCCTGGATTTCCGGAACCGGTACGAACCCTATGTGTACAAAATGTTAAACTAACAGTTTGGCATTATTGCTTGAACTGAGTGTGCTTGGCTTGAAGAAACTTATCTTACTTTTGAAGATCTTCTTCCTCTAGCTGAGGAGCTTAAGAAGTTACAAACTGTTTGTTGTTTTCTGAGTTTTCAGCCATGGTTTGAACTTGGCATTGTGATTTCTTTGACAAACGATGCAAGAAAACAGCCTGAACATTGCAATGGCTTCTTAATTTTGATAGACTGCATATATGCTTATATCAGGGGGCTTAGGGAAAGTTCATTTAATATGACAAGGGGGGGGGATGAAGATATTGAGGGGGGGCTCCAAAAATTTTTAGACACCCGAAGGGGGGGCTCTGAAAAAATTGTTGCGCTAGGAGGGGGGGCTCCAAAAATTTGTATACTTCAAAACCAACACATGACATCATCATACAGATCGGATGGTTTTCAACTCAACAATTTAATGACCTGTGCAACTCAGCTATATCACGTGGTTTACAGATATAACAAATGTAGTCTCAGTAATTGTTACACTCTTGTTCATCCCAAAAATGCTTTAGAAAATTGTAACACAACTGTATCTCAAGTTTGTCATAGTATAAACCATTGAAGACAATAACGGTAAATATATTTAATACAGTCTAGCAATCTTTTTTCAGGGGAGCAAAGGAATTGAAGGAGGAGGGGGGGCTCTGAAATTTTTTTCGACTACCAAGGAGGGGGCTCCTAAAAAATTGAACCGCTAGCGAGGGTGGCTGCTAAAATTTCAAGCTTCGAGTTTCAATATCTTCATCCCCCCCCCCTTGTCATATTAAATGAACTTTCCCTTAATATTTAATTTAGCAAAGACAATGGTATCAGTTCTCCATTATAAAGAACTAGAATACAAAGTGGAAAAGCTCAAGTACAAGAAGTTGGAGGTCATGCAGCCAAGAATGAAGAACAAATCCGTGAATTGAACTTCCATTTGGTGAATAAACCATCCCAGATTAGTCAACACAAAGTTTTAGTCATGATTGATTAATGCAGTCTATCATTCATTAGAGAATAATAAGAAGGGGGAGGGGAGGGGCTTATTAACTTTCTTCCCCTGACAAGGGGGAGGTGGGGGGGGGTCTATTAGAGAGAGGTGGCTTATTTGAGGGGAGGGCTTAATAGAGGATTTACAGTGGGATATCAAAAAATAGTCATCAGGACTACGGGATAGACTGAAATTCTGGGTCGAAAAGAAGGGAAAGAAGAACTCTTCACTATTGGGAACCCTCATAACTGTTATGAGAGCCAACGCACCCTTTCACTTTATCTAGGGGATAATGTTTTTATTTAAATATAAACTCACCAGATATTCATCAAGGGGAGATGGACCAACAGGTCTAAAATCTGATGTACTGGAATTACTAGGAACATTATCCTATTGAAAAAAGAATATAAGAAATAGTTTCTTCAAATCCTTTCTCGAGACACTTTTATGGTCCTAATTTACAGCTTTTTGTGGTCTTTAAAGAGGCAAGTAAATTTATTGTCATTTTCATTTTTTACAAACTTGAGTTAAAACTTTCACTACTACTGGGTACTTTCACCTTTATTTAGGACTGCTTCATGGCTGGAGTAAGCATGAAGATTAACAATAATGATCATCAATCTCATTCATGTAAAGAAGGGCATTTGACCCTGACCTGATCTAGTGAGTAATTTTCCTATAATGCATCTAGATTTGTTTTGAACATCAAGATCTGCCAGGATTTTGTCATGGTCATTTTTTTAAGATGGATTGGAGGACTAGAACCATCAGAAGCTACTTAACAGCATTATCAAAATTATTAATGTACCTTATGGAGCTGATGGTCAATAAGTTCTTGTTTGAGGCTTTTCATCTCCTGTACCCAACAAATGAATTAGAATCAGTAAACACAGGGTCTGAAATTGCGACCAGCTGGTTGCCAAGGCAACTGAAAATATAGCACTGGCGATTAGAATTTCAGGGCTAGTCGCCAGCAGGCGACTAACTGTCATTGCCTTGTCAATGTTTAGAAGCGTGGGTGCTCAAGGAATTAATTTTCTTTTAAATGGAAAATGATTGCATTTGATTCCAGATGAAAGTTCCCCCTTGTCTTGTCAAAGATTTTAATCTCCATAGAAAACAATTTAGGGTAAGAAAATACAAAAAGCATTTATCTCTTTACGGGCAAACGAAATCACAGAAGGTGGGAGACTGGTACGATCCATACGAACATTTATTATTTTTGTTCCGAAGTGAAATAGTACAAGCAACATGGTGCACAAGTACTTGGAAAGGCAGTCTTTAAACCAAGAGCGCTATCTATTTAATGAAAAGTCCTAAGCCTAAGCTACACAATCATATAATGCCTTTTTGTACATGGCAGTCTGACTTTTGCATTCGTTCACGATTATTAAAATAATGTTTTAAGCGTGTTTCCCTGTTAAGCAAAAATTTTATGGGCACTTGCTGGCAAGTAGAATTCTGCATCTGGCAACTAAAAAATAAATTTTCAGTCACCACTTGGCATCTGCATAAAAATGGTTAATTTCGGACCCTGTTAAACAACTGGAAACAATAAGAGAGAAAATTTTTTTTTTATTTAACACTAGTCAGATTCTCAGCCATTACACTTCCTGAAAATCACTTACATTGCCTATAGCTATGTCTTTTAACTTAATACAAAATGTATTAATTATACTAATTATTGATAAAAAAAAGCTTTGCCAACAAGCTGTTGGCTGAAACCTAATAGGCCATTAATTTGCACTAAGACGCATGTGACATCGTTTTTATGAAAATGAAAGTTATATGATTTTGCCTTCGAAAGACGTACGACGTAGTGGGTCATACCTTAAACAAAATAATGGTAATTTGGTTTTTCAAACCCGAACCATTTTCTTAAAATGAATAAGTTCGTAAATGGTCACGTCACCAAAATGTGATTTTTAAAATTATGAATTACCTCTCTCTGAACACAAATTTTGCACTTACACTTCAAGGAAAATGTTGAAAAGATGATGTGATAACGTTTACAGCACATCTGAGCGTAAATATGAAACGTTGAACAAGATATGAGCAAGAAGTAGTTTTGGCTGCTATGTTGGAGGGAAAAGCATGCCCTCCAACATGGCGGCTAATACAAATCATACTACTTTGCTGAAAAATCAAAGTGCCATAAAATATCTCCCTTAAATGCGTTTCCTCTCAAATTTCGGGTGTAAGATAATTTTTGTGTGCTCTAACAGTTTTGGCATCAGCAAGATTCAAACTCATTGTTCATAGGAAGCATTGGTCACGTGGCCTCTTAGTGCAAGTGCATGGCCTATTAAACAGCTATTTTCTCACTTATATTAAATAAATAAAATAATAATCTCATCACATTAAAGGGGTTTTCTGGGAGGTTCTTACTAAGATTTTAAAAGACAATAATATGAAAAAAATCACTTAAACTACCAAATAACATGACTATACAGTTGCTAAATAGTCCAGTTTTGAATTAAAAATTACGGCTGAATATAAACATTAAGGGAAAGTTCATTTAATATGACAAGGGGGGGGGATGAAGATATTGAAACTCGAAGCTTGAAATTTTAGCAGCCACCCTCGCTAGCGGTTCAATTTTTTAGGAGCCCCCTCCTTGGTAGTCGAAAAAAATTTCAGAGCCCCCCCGCCCTCCTCCTTCAATTCCTTTGCTCTCCTGAAAAAAGATTGCTAGACTGTATTAAATATATTTACCGTTATTGTCTTCAATGGTTTATACTATGACAAACTTGAGATACAGTTGTGTTACAATTTTCTAAAGCATTTTTGGGATGAACAAGAGTGTAACAATTACTGAGACTACATTTGTTATATCTGTAAACCACGTGATATAGCTGAGTTGCACAGGTCATTAAATTGTTGAGTTGAAAACCATCCGATCTGTATGATGATGTCATGTGTTGGTTTTGAAGTATACAAATTTTTGGAGCCCCCCTCCTAGCGCAACAATTTTTTCAGAGCCCCCCCTTCGGGTGTCTAAAAATTTTTGGAGCCCCCCCTCAATATCTTCATCCCCCCCTTGTCATATTAAATGAACTTTCCCTAACGACACATTCATACAGGGTTAGCCTTGACGTAAAGTAAAATATTCAGAAATTCTGGCAAGTAAGTGTTTGAAATTTGAATATACACAATAGACAGAGTAATAAACAGGTCTTTTTTTTCGTTGGAATTTGTGAATATATTACTTCAGATTGAGGCTAAGGCTGTAAAAAATGCGTCTTCACTTCTTTAATTCAGCGGTCACAGCGAACTCAAAAATGGACTATTAATGCACCTAATAAAAAGTTGCTTTTCTACCCCAATCAGTTTTTAGGTATGGGATTCAAGTAAGTGCATATTTCACTGCATGCTAATATCTGTGCAAAGTCTCTTGAAGTTGATCTAAAAGTCTCAAGGTGCTCTGATATATATCCCCTTTAATCTTGGCCTTGACTGCATTATGTACTGCACAACCTCAGTGAGGAAAATTGTGCCCAGCAGCCAGCTACGGGATTCCATTTGAATGAATGAGTACTTGTGACTTCAGCCTTTCCTAGTTTCCTCAGTCTTTCTTAGTAAGAATTCTTTTTGACTAGTACAGCAGCTTAGCTCGAGAATTATGATTTTTGATACAAGCAGCAAACATTGTAGGAATACTTACATTCCCAGGCTGATCATTTACTGATATAGTGCCAAGCTTAAGTGAAGTACTTTGTCTTGCTCTTAATTTTGTTTAGATTTAATGCATGTCTTATGTCAAAATACAGGTACAACAATACACATGCTAAATTGATGCAAATGGTTATTTTCTTTATTTCTTCAATATAAAAATACAGGCCATAATTTGGAATTTATCTGCACATGCTTTTAGTCTTCTTTCTCTATGGTTCGGATGGTCAGAGTTTGCTCTATCTCATTCTAAATATGCCTGCGACTCCATGCAGTCTGTGCAGCTAGAAAAGAATCTATTTCAATCTGTTTATTGCATCTTAGAATTAACCTATGTCTTACTTCTTACTTTTAAACTGACAGTTTTTTCTTTTATATTTTGCTATATATGTGGCATAGATCAAGCTTGTCACAATGTGTTTAACAGGATGAAACTGGATCGCATGATGAAAAGAAAAATGCCTGTAGGAATCTACAGCAGCGAACGAACATGCTCAAGTATGTTTCTGTTCACACGTAGAAGAAGCACACATGAAACTATGATAGTTCATGTAGCTGATCGATGCAGTAGAAAATGATCACTAGTCAGTCATGATTCAAACTTTCACCCTTTTTACTTTGCTCCATTTTCCCCACTCTCTTGGAGCCTCATGGAACAGGCTTATTTAGACTTGAAGGAATTTTGGGTGTCCTTTTGGGACAAAAAACCACAGCATCCTACCCACTTATCTCTTTACAAAGCCCTTGTCCCATCTAAATAGAAGTTTGTACCTGCCTTCCATGCCCTAGCAGTGTGTAATACAACTTCCTTCTCTGCTGCTCATGGAATTGCCAAAATACTGAACATAAATCTAGATTATTGCCATTTTTTTCTTATTGAAAGCAACTATTGTTGTTATTGAAACCATGAATTAAAATACAATGGAACCTCGATATAATGAACCTCTATATAACAAAACCTTGTTATAACAGACAAATTTTGCCAGTCCTTTGACCCTTCGTTATATCAAGGTTCCACTTTTTGTAAGTATTTGTTTTTGTGGTGGAGTTGCAGAAAGTGCACACCACCTGCATTTATTCCAAATAAGCAAGGACTGGGGCAAGTTTCAAAACGGCATGTACGTGGAAAAATGCATTGAAAAAAATAGATTACATCGAGATAATTAAAGCTATTGCAAGTATGACATAATGTGATAACAATGAAGCTTGAATGTCATTTAAAGTGGTTCAGCACAACATTGACTATCATAGGCCTCGGTAAGGAAGGTACGTCGAAGTTAACAACATGTGTACTGCTTGGAATATGTGCATTTCCAACACTTTGAGACCTATCTTGGCCAGGAAAATTGCTATGGGAAATTCCACAAAAGTTTCTCTTCTATCAATGTTTCTGCAGAAGCTAAAAAGCTCTTTTTCACGGAGGCCGGTCTTGATATGCACAGTGAGAGGTGCACAGTGCAAAACTAGAGAAGCACCTTAAGTTTATTCTGTAACAAAAATGTGAAATCAACTAGGCAATGAGAGGAAGCTATATGCAAAAATGTTAGTTGTTTTACATATAATAATCAATAAAACTAAAGGCACATTAATTTTAAACAGCCGTTTTAGTTGTAGTTTTAGCTTTCTGTCGCTTACCGTTGCCAAGGCAATTAATGCATAGTTAAGGTTACAAGACGTACATGGTTATGTACGTATGATAAACAAGATGTACATAGTAAACAGGTTGGTATCACTGAATGAAATGATACTTTGTCTTGATAAACTAGGAAAAATAAATTTTGTTGAATTTTCAAGAATTTTAATTAATTGCAAGAGGTTTCTGTGGAAACCGACGTAATTCTGGCTTGGCACTATATCTGAAAATGCTTGTATTAGTGACTACTATATCAGTGTGCCAAATTTCATGCTTGTATCAAAAAGTGCACAATAGCGCTGCGCACAGGATGACGGAACAAATTGCTGGTCTCTGCTGTGACTCAGACAACAGTCAAAGTGTTGTTATCATTAGCTATTTGTATGGAAAAGTCTTGTTGGCCTGCCTTTGCTGGTCATTTTTTAAGACTATCATGTTAATGCAGTTTACTTCTGTTAAGATATACACAAAATGATTACCTTATGATACTGAAGAGAAAAATACAGAACTGTACGGAGCAGTGCTATTCATCGCACGAAGTCACTATGTTGAGACTGCTGAGCCACGAGGTTTTAAGTTATATGTGACTAAGAACTGAGGTAAGGGTGCAAAAAAATGGCATAGACAAAGAACTGGTTTGGATGGCAATTAGCGGCAAAGAATCAATTTTATACAGGCAGTGAAAGTGCTCTTATTTACTTGTTTTAGGCTGTAAAATTATTCTAACTGATGGAGTACATTTTATCCTAGTTCAATTACAAAATGTAGTAGAAGTAAAGCCTCTCTTCTGTAAAAACTTGTGGACCGTTGGCCTGAATCAATATACATATATTAGACTACAAATAGTTAATGGAAATATCAGCAGCAAAATATTACTGTTCGACACTACATGTGCAGAAAACTCGCTGAAATCTGTTTATTGATGAATCGGGGCCTACATACCTGGCTGCAAAACTGGTAGCTAAAAAATCTGCTTTTGTCAGTTTAGGGCTCTTTTAAATCTTGCCACAGGCTTCTGATACGAAGAAAGAACACAAAATCAACTATTTTTCTTTCATCCGTCTTTGTTTTTGACAAATAACTCACAGTATTCCTTGTCTTGTTTGTGGGCATGTTGCATTGTGACAAAGTCCAACAATCGGATTTCATTAGCCTACAAAGAAGCTACCGAGTCGCCTAAATATCAGATTTTAAGTCCTCGTTTGAAATATCTGGGTCAGATTTTCATGCACTATAGCATTACTGCCTTTAAGTTCCTATAATGAGGTTTAAAAATGTTGAAAAACCATTTGTTTGTGATTTTATTGATCATTTTCTTGTCAGAAACACATCCCCCTCATACAAAGCCTTTGAACTGACTGCAAAGCTTGTGTGAGTCACATAGGGAGTCTATCTATAATTATAAAATGTGCACAGCGCCATTCACCTGAAATTTCGAGCTATGCCGCCGGACTAGACCAATCTATTCAACCTGAAATGTTTGTAAACGATCCATTTCAAATTTCAGACCAGGCTTGACCTCCCCCCAAAAAGTCACCATTGATTGTATTGTAAATGGGGTAAAACAAAGCTCAGTGGGGTTGAAATATGCAATGTGAGGCTTGTCATCAAGTATGGGGGGGGAGGGACAGGGTGGTCACAACCTCCTGCTTCCTGTACCCCGTTCTCCCGCTTCCCGTTCCTTTTTCGTCCCTTTGTCTCCCGACTCCCGCCCTTCATTGTGTTTCTCTTGTTATCATGTAAATTAAAAAGATCAGAAGCCCCAGTTTAGTGTTAAAGCTGTAGAGTAATTTGCCAAAGATGAAAATTGTTACAGGTCAGTTTTCTTAGTTAAACTAAGTTTTCACTAACTTGGTTATCTAGGAAACGAGGGGCAAACAGAGGTCCTAGAGATATAGTATGCAGTGGCAATATGGGCATCATAGTGCCCATCAGGACTGCGAATAGCGCACTTTTCTATGGAGTTTCGGATGCATGCTCCTCTGGGAAAATTTTTGAGAAAATTTTTGAAGTTCTCTGAGATGCAATCTAGTGCATTCTGGATGCTTAAATTTTTACAAATGCCTGGATTCCATATTGAACATGTAATACTGAAATATTTCATAAACCACAAAAGGGGGGCTGGGCCCAGCCCAAAATCTGCCCTTGTTGACCATCCCTTCTGACATCCCACTACAGCAAAAATAGTTGCAGCTGTAGTCTTAGTCCACTGTGCAGTGTAATAGCTATTGCAGTTATCAAAGATGCATTAACATGCATTTAGGAATCCGGAAATTACCGGGATCATGCCATTTAAAAATGAAGTCGAAGAGCCAAACGTTTCAGTAGAGTTCAGTACTCCTGTCTAGTTCCCCCAGCATCTATTGTACTAATTGCATATAACCATATTCATGTATAGTACTACTTTTGTCACTCAATAAAATAAATAAATAAATAACGATTTGCAGGTAGCACATCCACTTAGTGGTTCTTCGTCTACCTGATTCCTGGTCGAATTGGAATTTGGAAATGTTAGTTTTCGAGGAGAGGGGAAAACTGCAGTACCCTGAGAAAAATCTCTTGGAGCAAGCTAAAGGGAGAGAACCAATCACTGATGGCAACTACGAAAAATGTAAAATATTATTACAGTGCATAGTATAGGAAATCACACCTACCGTGCAGTTCGTAATCTTTTGCTATGATTTTATCTTTGTTGTCAATGAAATCCAACCAGACAGCTACCTTCCCACACTGTTTGATTCCCTATTCTAATATAGCCTGCGTAGCAGGCGTCGAAAGGGGTAGGGGGTAGGGGATAGGGAGGAAGGGAAAAAGGGGAGGGGGATTGGGGAGAGGGGGAGGGGACGCCTGCTCTAAGAACCCCCTTTTGTTCATATCTGCGGACGCTGGCGTCCGCAAATTCCTGATTGGCTGAGCCGTAATGAGTAACATATTGAAATGCGCGTTTCACAAATCAACAAACAGTCGAGATGGCAGAGGTAGACGTGGATGTCGTAGAGAGTGCTTTGAGAGATGTGAATTTATCTAGTAGTAGAGAAACTGTTTTAAAACCAGAGCAAGAATCAGCAGTAAGGGCTCCAAATGTTTGTACGCGCGAAGAACTACAAGCTAAATGGTAATGCCGCGATTCTCGTCATTTCACCACTGAAAAGTATTATCGAAGAGTTGCAGGAGATGGAATTGTGGGGCTACCCAGCGAAAGATTTAGCCAACAATTTATCGAACGATGACATTCGCCGATGTAACTTAGCAATAAAAGAGGGTGGTTTAACCTCATGCCAAAATGCTGCTTATTACAATAAGGTTGTTTTTATCTGCTGGGTAGATTATGCTCTGGAAGGTTCTGCATTTATACTGAGCAAATGTTATTTTAGCCGCATGTTTCACACTGAGAGGTCATGACATACATATCGATTGACTGTAGTTATTGTCATCTGGTCGGCAGGATTTGCCTTCTGATGCAAGCGTAATTTCTTTGACCTCTTTTGAAGCGTAAAGCTTTTTTTATTACGGCAGAATAAGGGTTCCAATTTTCTCCAAAGTGTCTTCTGGATCTGAATAACTAAGCGAATTTCTTTAGTCCGTGAGTATAATGTTTTTCTGCAATGGCGAGTGTAGCGACACTTGATTGACAGTAAGCGTAATCGGATTACTAGAAAATTGGTAGGCGTTATACAAAAACATAGGCTCTTAGAGCAGGCGCTCCCTTCCCTTTTCCCTTTCTCCCTTCCCCCTCCCCCTCCCCCTCCCCTTTTTGCGCCTGCCACGCAGGCTATTCTAATAGGGAGTGCTTTGGCCTTGTCCAAAATAAGAAAATTGTGTTGTAAATCGAACCACTCTGCACTCTCCAGCACGATCATTGAAGCGGCATTCCTTCGACTCAAGTTTACACCACGTGGCAAAATCTTTAGAGTTTTGTGATCTACAGTCATACGAAGTGAGTTCCCAGGAAGGTCTTCCATGGACGGATTTTTTCCCTACCACGCCGAAAAATACTGAGACCAATCAAAATGATCTTTGACGACCTTTGACCTGACTTGCTGGGTTGTTCTTGCATAGAATTTTGACATCTAGCAAGACAGACGAGACACTGACACAACTGACACAGGTGTACATGTGTCATGCCATCTCATTCATGACCTATGATGTAAGCGACTTGGAAAGGTTTCCAATTTCATCGGAAGTAATGCTGTCTATTTTTTTATCCCAAGTACAAATTTTCGTTTTCAACTTTTCTTGCCTATAAATTTTTGCTTTAAGCCTCTGAGAGTGCTAAATAGGAGTCAAGAAACGTTGTTGGGTTTGTTTCTTTGATTGGATGATAAGCAGTAACAAACAAAGAAAGCTTGCCTTTTTGAATTTCTCTCCAGCCTCCCGACATCTTAGAGATCCCACTTCCCGCCCTTTTTTCTCCCATCTCTCGTACCCCTCCCGCCCCCCTGTCCCCCCCCCACAAGTATATGAAAGACTTGTGCACAGTTAATAGAGCAATCATTAACCTTTAGCCCTGTACTCCTTGTTATTTTGGAAAACCTTGTGTGCAATGTTTTAAACTATGTCGGCAATACAGAGTTACTACAAATTTACTGGTGGTTCACTTACGGTAAGAATATCTCCCAAGCCAGTCTTCATTTTCCCAACTTCACTTGATAGTGCCTCTGTAACTGAGCTCTGTTCAAATGTGCTTCTGAAAACAAATAAATAATGTACTAGTTGAAAAATATCATAAAATTATTATAGATGTATAGCAAAATGTTTAAAAGCCAGACATGAACATTCTATGCAAGTTTATAATCAACAAGAACTCTCTTGAAATCAGCGTTTAGTCTCACTTGTAGAAATGAGGTGATAATTAGTCTCGCTTGCATAAGCAGCAAGACTCATAATCTGCAACAGGTTTTTCTTCGTATTTAAGACACAAAAGAGGGGTCATTGTGCCAGGCATTCTTAGTGGAAACCGCGGAAACTGGGAATAAGAATCATTGTGCAATCGAAGCCACACATATTTTGGGAAGAAAGCTTAGCAAAGATTAAATTTAGAGCTTTCCGAATGGTTTCACTCCACGAATTCTATCACTTTGAAGCGTTAATTACTTTGGAACATTCATTGTATGCAAATGCATGGTCATGTGATGAGCATGCAGTTTATTTTCGTCAATGATTGAAATGACGCGCCATGTAAATCATTTTTTGGATCTCTGGCAATGATGTAATTTCTCTGGAACCGAGGCCCTTGAATTTTTGTGTATTTATACAAGTGTATAGCCTGCAACCGGACATATTTCTGGTCCTTGTTAACAGGTGTACTAAATCAATTCAGAAACAAATAAAATGTATCGACGTCGATAAAGTAGGAAGTAAAAAACCTTAAGCAAGTAAATCCTGTTTTCTGTAGAAATAATCACCTCCTCATTTCTCGATCTAATCTCCACGCAAGCGAGACTGACTGCCGCTGTAAGAGTGTCCTTATTCCACACAAAACAGGATTTACTCGCTAAAACTTTTTCACCATCAATGGTCGAGTATTCTTCAGGATATTGACTTTTTATATCATATTCAACGATTTGTTTCTGAATTGATTTAGAACACGTGTTGGCGATAACTGCAAATATGTCTGCGGTAGCAGGCAATATGCATGAATAATTACTCGAAAATTTAAGGGCTTCGATTCCAGAGAAATTACATCATTGCCAGAAATAAAAAACATGATGAGAACATGGCGCGTCATTTCAATTATCACTAAAAATAAACCGCATCTGTGGACCGACCCATTCCGGAAAAGCTCTAAATTTAATCTTTCTTAACCTTTCTTCGCAAAATATGCATGGCTTCGGTCACCCAATGTTTCTTAATCCCAGTTTCCACGGTCTCCGCTAGGAAGGCCTGGGAGCATTCCCCTTTTTGTGTCCTAAATACGAAGAGAAACAGCTTGCAGATTATGAGTCTCGCTGCTCACGCAAGCGACACTAATTATCTTGAGAACTAAGTAATTAACATAGTCAGTCAACAGATAATTCAGACATAGCCATTTCACAAAAAAGACATGTTTTTAATGACCTGCCAGGTTGAAAATGGCCAAAAATTGGACCCAAACAAAAAAATTATAAGTAACCATGAAGGCATTAAGGCTGGCTGGCAATACATACCTCTTATTAGCCACGTTTTCGGTCCGTACTGTAAATTACGGACCACGTTTTTTTTCCACGCTTGGGCCATAAATCGATGGAAAAAACGAGGATCCGTAATTTACAGTACGGACCAAAAAAACAAGGCTGACAAGATGTTTATTATATGGCTTCTTCCTTTTTTGGGGAACGGAAACAAGTGCAGGACGCACGATTTGACAATCATTTGACAGGTGTCAAAAAAGAAAGTTTTTATTGGGGCACGAAAACAATAGCACATAAAGGCTTGCGAGAAAGTAAAAACAAACTCGCCATGTTAAAAAGGTTTATTTGGTCAAAACTAAGAGCACTGTAAGTTTTAGCTCTTTAATGTAACGCTGGAGTATTTTGGAAACCGGACACTGTCTCTGTCTAGGAGTCGTTTCCATCTTTCCTCCGTTTGTCCCTGTGAAAAAAACACTGCAAAAGGCAAGGAAACTTTTCAAGGTAAGTTTCTTGTCATTGTCGAAGGATTCGCTCGTTAATTGTTTTTGGGAAAACCTCTTTCTGCCAGTTCATTCTGGTCTTCAATTGTGATCTGCGTTAAAATTTTCAAACAGGGACTAGAATTCTCTTCCTCGGTAAGGTTACAATTCAGTAATTCTACAACAGCTTCGTTCTCATCAAAACAAATCTACGATAAAATTTGGAAAGGCAAAGTCAACATCCCAGTCCTCAGCGTTTACATACATATTTCAAAGTTTATTCGGTGGAAACTAAGAGCATCGTAAGTATTCACTCATTAACGTGGAGCTGGAGTCTTTTGAAAACTGGACATTATTGTGTCTGGCTCGAACTTGCTTCTATCTTTCTTTCATTGGTCTGCAAATGGCAAAGAAGCTTGTCAAGATGATCGGGTAAAGGTATGTTTGTTATCATGTTTGTTGAAGGAATTACTCATTTCCTCTTAGGCAAAACATCTCGAATCTCTGTCAGTCAATTTTCGTCTTCTTAACTGTGTACTACGATAAAATTTTCAAACACTGACTAGAATCCTCTTTGATACAATTACAAGTTAGTTTATTCTTCATCACCCTCGTTCACAAGTAAACAGAGTTTAAAATGTTGAAGGCCAAAGTCAACATCCAAGTCCTCAACGTTGACAGGCGTCTTATAACTTTATTCAAACATTTTTTCTGAGGTAAAGAGATTTAGACCTCCGAAATGAGCATTTTCTTTAAAAATTTTGGTCCATATAGCAAGTTACGGACCGCAAATTGACCAATCACATGGCGAAAACAGACTCAGCCATATAATAAGGATAGTTATTCCTTATCCTCCCTCCCACACTCCCCTTTTTAAAAAATGCACAGATTATTATTATTATTATCATTATTATTATTATGCACTTGTCTATCTTTCATACCTCCATTTTAGTTCTGCATGTGAAATTAAGGTCCTTGTGCTATGCAAGAATGAATCCACCCTTAGAGGTGAGTATGCATGTAATTATATTACATGATGGTAACGTTTTGCTCATTGTCATGAAATAAAGATATTTTTCATTGTGGTTAATGTGGTTAACTAATTACAGACTGTCCAACCTTCTGAGTAAGTAAAACTGGAATATTTTTCAATCGCAGATGAATCTCACAAATGCCAAAGGAGCAAGCTGCATAAGGGGTTGAAGGGGCATGATTTCTGCAAAAATTTCAAATCTTGATGTTCTGAAGTGCCATTTCTAGTGTTCTGAGAGGACAATTTCTGTCTAAACTGTTCACTAAATCAATTGTCATTTTCATACTTTTTTATGTTTGCATGGCTTCACATACAAGTACTTGATCTTTTTTATATTTTGTGCACTGGTTTGTTTAAGTTTTCTGGATATCAGTTTCAGTTAAGTATACTCTGTTGGGTATTCTTGCATAAGAATCATGAGAATTCACTTGAAAATATTAGAACAGATGTCAAAATCGGGATTTTTCCTATCCTAATCCCATATTGGCTGGGATTCAGGATTTTCACACAAAGTGGGGAGAATCCCGAATGTTTAGACTGTCTGTAATAAGAAGACCTGCAGTCCAAACATCACAATCAATATCTAGTCAGTCAAAATCGTGAGACAAACAAAACCCTTTTATTCTTGCTCATTTATTTTTTGAGTCTCTCATACATTTTCTTTCCCCTAGTCTATATGCAATGTCCGTTTCCTGAGGTTTTCTCTAAAAATAGGAAAATATACCCATAGAGCAGTGTAACTATATCAGTGATAATACACAGCATGAAAGTGCACTGCAATATGGCAAAAAAGCTATGGTTATACTTATCAAAATTTGTGATTGAGACTGATGTTGAAGAATTTTTGATCTAACAATCCTATCCTATAAAACTTGAACAGACTTTTTACGAACACATGTTGACAGAAATTTGGTTCTTGAATCTTTCCCATCATCTTACACCGTAGCATGGTGTGTATTAAAGCAGGAGTCAGAGAACCCTGACTGATATATACACTTATTTCAATTAAGGTTGCTCCGGTGAACCATATTGTTTCATAGCCTGCAGAGCATTATGGTAAACCCTTTTGTTCTTGTTGACATTCATTGAAATAATGGAGACCATTTTATGAAAAGGCATTCAAGAGAGCTTTCAGGTCAGAATGGCTGCTAAAATTCTAAGCATGAACGAGCTGAAAAATTCCTATTCTTAAAGTCTCATAGTAAAAAATTAGAAGTCTCTTCTTTTAACAGCATTAAATAAATAGGGTTTTACTGCCTGATTAAGTTTCGTTTTAGCATGGGCCAGAATGCTGGTTATTTCAATAAAGCAAATCAATTCTATTCTTTTTTTTAATTCAGTTTTAAAAAAATGGCCTCAAGAATAGATAAACACGTAAAGTCAAGTTATTTATTGTTGTTCAACAAATGCCTTGAATTTGATTTTTTTTAAAAAAACTCCATCCAAAATTCCCAAGTGCATGGGCTAAGCAAACTCTTTTAAAATTTGCAGCATTTGCATATTACCACAGAGAAAAACCTAACCTCAAATCACTGTCTCAAATTAAAAAGCCTAGGATTCAGTGTTTTGAAATACATCGTCTTACCATTCTGCTGACATAGCATATGCTTTCTAGGTTTCTATAGCTTGCTGCGGGCACATAATTTACTAGACTTACTACAATAATGCACCACAGGCTATGAAACATGGACCATGCATCATTTTTCGCAGAAGCAATCTTAATTGAAATAGGTGTATACTGGCAGGTAAAAGTTGAGGGATGAAGTATGAAGCTGGTAGGGGTTGGAGGGAGGGAGGGAGGCTGGGCTGTGACATGCTGTCTTACTCAGTACTATAATCCGTGTTAAAAAAGTGTAAATAATAAAGTTTCATACACACTTTATTGACATCAACAGAATACGGACTTAAATAATGAAGTTTTTTTTTTTTTTGGGCAAGGCATCTGATAGTCGTAAATTGGAGCGTCTACAAGAAAGAGCCTTAAGATTAGTGTATAATACTACCACCGAAAGTTATGACGCCTTGTTGAAAAGAGCTAACTTAAAGTTAACTACTTTAAAAAATAGGAGGTTGCACGATATACTCATTTTGATGTTTAAAGTAAAAAACAAATTAACAACGAACCAAATTGCAGATATTTGTTATATCAACAAGGAGAATACCAATAGTAAGAGATATAATCTAAGAAATGCAGATTTTGTCTTACCTTGGTTTAAAACTGTTACTTATGGAAGAAATTCTCTCAGATTTCTCGTACCACAATTGTGGTCAAAATTCGCAGGAAGGAGAGAAGTATTGGAACATTGGCAACTTTTAGGAGAATGATACATAAGGATGTAACAGCATTTCTTGAAGGATGTGGGAGTGAATGCTGCTTATGCTTAGGTTAACTGGACGTACACATATTTAATTATTCCTTTTAGCATCCGAGCTCATATATGCATTTGGTAGCCTGCGTAGCGGGCGTCGAAAGGGGTAGGGGGTAGGGAAAAAGGGAAAAAGGGAGGGGGTAGGGGAGAGAGGGGAAGGGATGCCTGCTATAAGAACCCCCTTTTATTCATTTCTGCGGACGCTGGCGTCCGCAAATTCCTGATTGGCTGAGCCGAAATGAGTAACTTATTGGTGTGTATCCTGGCATGCATTAGTGTGAGAGACAAACATGACAAAAACATGTACCATCTTGAATGGAGTTTTACATGGTTTGCAAAGAGAGAGCTGAAGCTTTGGTAAAAACTATCTGTTGAGCTCCTTTACTTTCATTATTCGCGTCTCAGGCTGGCCAGCGTTCTGTTCTTTGTGACTATCACGGTGCGTGATGAGGTTGTAAGATAAAAGGTCTTGTGTATTCACACGAAACTGATCATTGTTTGTCGTAGAGTGCAAGCAGTAAAAAAATGTTTGCTGCGGGAGCAAGAACAGTAAAAATGTTTCGTTTCGCTCGATTATGATATCAATTGAAAAAAAGTGTCTCAACTTGACAATTTCCGGTAAACAAAGTAATTGAGTTCGGACCATGCTGAGAAGCCGCGTACTTGTGATTGGTCACATATTGACAGTGACATTATCGGATTAGTTGAGAAAATGGTGGGCGGATTACAAAAACACCGGCTCTTATAGCAGGTGCTCCCTTCCCTTTCCCCTCTTTCGTGCTTTTCTCCCTCCCCCTCTCCCTCCCCTTTTTTTTTTGCCACGCAGGCTTGCATTTAGTTTTTATATTGTAAATTTAGAACTTAGCTTCCAAGTGTTAAAGAGTAAACTTAGAACTTAGTTTTACGTGTAAAAGAGTACTTAGCTTGAATAGTGTTACTTTCTGGCTTTTTTATGTTTTATAGTATTTAATTAGTTTCTTTTAATGATGTAATTTAGTTTTAAAGGTCTCCCCAATTAGAGCCAATAGGCACTAAAACGATTAGACACTTTAATAAAGGTTATGTATGTATGTATGTAGAACAAAGCAACAAAAGCACTTGCAACAACAGTTCTTGGTACCAACTATCTTACCACTCTGTCAGATCAAAGTAAACCAAATAGAGGTGTGCAGGCTGTTATGTATGGTCGGCCTAACAAAGCTTACATTTATAATGCAACAACTGATGCTAAGCAATAGGATTTTTATGTGACCATAAAGGTTATGAGATTTTAGGTACCTGAAACACAAATTCACACAATTCTGAGCAAAAGTTCTTGGTAGACAAAGCCAGGGAAAAAAGTAACATAAAGATCAAAGCACTAGAAGCTTTCACTAGCTGAAATTCTTAATATCAACAATAGGTTTGTGCATTACCCTCGAAATTTTTCATCAAAACATCCACTTTCCAGAACGAAACATAACTGAAATTATATTAAAGACAAAAGATGCACATAAAATACCTTAATATATTTTTGAAATAGATATTTTTCACAGATTTGACCTTAATGATATTCTCATTTTTAAATAAAGTTTGATAAAAAATTAAAGTTACCATTAGTCTGTAATAGATTAGAAGCAATTAAGCTGTGTGAGAGTCGTAAGCCAGGGCTTGAAATTAACAGTAACCAACCATTAAGTAGTTTCCGACCCTTGGTTACTAAAAATGAGCCTTAGCAACCTGTCACGGTTAGTAAAAATTTCTGTCATAGAAAATGTTCTTACATGTGTTTCCTCTCTGCATGTGTGTTTCCCAAACAATTTATTTTTCTAAAAGATATGCTTACGACATAATCAAACAACACGAAAACTGCACATTTCACATAACTTAAGGTAACTAGGCTTTGTTGGATGGGAAGATCTGGAAACAGCCTTTATATATCTCTGCCACCTTGCTTGTTTCAGTGTTTGTTTCCTTTTTCTTTTTGACTGGCTCCTTAATGTGCAACCATTTATTATACTGATCAGATGCAAGGATTCTTGGATAGTTTTTTCAGAAAAAGGTCGTGGCCTGAAATTTGTGAAGACGAAATGGAATATTGAGTAAAACAACAAAGAAGAAGTACAGTTTCAAACACTATGTATGCAGTACGATGAATCTAAACAAACAACGTTTTGCAGTGTTGATCATGAATTCTCCAACCATGCGTAATGTAAGTTGAAAGGAAAATGTAAAAGAGCATTATTAAATCATCACTATTTCTTTTTTACTGATCATCATGAAATTGGAACCAATCCATTCATACATTTGCCACATTTATCAGCACTATATAAGCACACATTATTGGATACTGAACTGTATAATTGGTTGGCCAAAAAATTAATTTCAAACCCTGTAAGAGAAAGTACCTTAACATTGCCCCACTTACAAGTGTAAAATTCAAGAAAAAAGCTACCTTCTCGAAAACAAAACATTAAGTAGCCCTGCACTAATATGCAGCACTGATTACATCCTACAAGACTGAGTTTATTAAGTCAACAGTGGGGTGCAAAAAAGTCAGTTTCACAATTAATTCAGGCAAGCTGTAGCTAGCATGTACTAGTCCAAAAGTCATTTCAGCTAGCCAGAAAAAAATTAAGTGTGCAGGATTGACTACAGTTCTACTGTAAAAAAAATCCTTACTTCCCTGATGGGTAGGTTAAGAACAGAATTCACCAGCCTGACAGCAAAATCCACCAGCCCTGGGTTATCTGACACTACTTTCTTTGCATGCTGCAATTCTGAGATTGGCATTAAATTGTTTATCACAAGAAATCACACATTTAAACATCTGCATGTACAAGTCACCATATATGTATTCACAGAAGGCCTACAAATTGAAGTATTAAACAAAAGGAATAATCAAATCTTGCTGCAATTTTGAATAAATAGCAGTTAGTACTCCAGATTGCTAATTTTAACTCTTAAATCTACATGTGATGTCAAATACAAGCTTCTTCATTTCTAATGATAAAATCAGTGAAAATACAAAATCTCCAGAAATTGACAATTCCTAGAATTGACCAATGGAAGCAAGAAATTACTCCACCAGTAAAGAAGATAAATTTTACAAAAATTCAGCAGATTGTAATACCAGTAAAGCAAAAAAAATCAAATCACAATCACAACTCATAAGAGTAATAAGTTAAATTCAATTACAACGATTTCTTTCACCTAAATTGCTACACTTTTTAAGAAAAACTCAAAGGTGTTTGAAAAATCAACCAAAGAAAATTTCATCATGGCAGCAGCAAAATGATAGTCACAAAGTATGTACGTTTAACACCTTTTGCCCTTCAAAACTTTCATTAGCATCAAAACTCAAGTCATTCAAATTCAAAATGTGTAAACACTGCAACAAAATAATAAACTAACAAAGAATAGTATCTGGATACGAAGAACCAAACATTTTACATAAAGGCAAACATTCAATAATGCAAATCAAAATGACATTAACTTGAGAGAATAAATATACATTTTGTAGCATCTGGTGTGTAGGTTTGCTTTGACCTAACCACTGTAGCCTGTTCCAGGCTCCGAGATAGTGGTGAAAAGTCGTTCAGTAAAAAGAAATGCGAAAAACGAGCGGGAGCTGAGACTGCCCCCTTTCCCAAGTCACGCGCGTCTTATTTTCGCTTTGCTTGTTCTATTACATCCCCAACATACTATCTGAGAGCCTGGCACAGGCTATAACAACCGGGACTCGCTGTTATCAGTTCATTTAGTTTTCCATTCTCTTTGGTATCTTCATTGCATGGTACATGTTACCTGTGGTTTGTGCCGCAACATGGTATTTTAATTTAGACAAGCTGGTTGACAATCATGATGCATGCACAAAGTTGGCCACTTCTTCCATGCATTTTAATCCAAAATGCTTTGTTTGCAGTTTAACGTGTACCTTCAAATACAGTGGAAAATTGGCAAAAAATTGCATACAAAAAATCTGTTATTGACACCCAATCAATTCATCAACCCAAGGATGATGAATCTTCATTCACACTGAAGAATGCTAGTTTTGACAAAACACTTAACAAATTCGCCTTCATGAATATTCTACTTGATAAAAAAATCCTTAATGATTGAACCACAATTTAAAATGATTGCATCTTCAACTAAATTGTTGATACAGTAATTTTAATGACCAATGTTTTCATGCTAATTAAAAGTTGTCTCCAAACAATGAAGGGCAAAAGGGGTACTACACACATTTAATACTATACTTGTTAAGAACGAAGATAGAAAACATCAACCATCTTTTTCCTTTTTCACATTATTATATGCTTCCCCAGCAGTTCCTAAAATTGTTGCAATTTCTCCCTGCATAAATGCCCAAGGCAAATCACTGCCTTGCAATGGACACCTTTCACCACTTGGGCAGAACACTTCTGAACCAGCTCCCTGCTTCTTAATACTCTCACGTGAACAAGGGAAGCAGAACTTATGGTGAGAAACTGATGGACACTGCACAAAATGTGTGTCTTCCAGCTTGTCGTGACAAAGGCTGCAGGTCAATATATTCACAGATGAAGGGCCTCGTCCTTTTGCTTCTCCTTCCCCTTGAGATTCAGGTTTACCACCAACTGGTAAGGGCCTTGGTGACTGACGCTGGCGTGGTGAAAGTCTCTCAGGGTTAGGTGACACAGGAACCAAATTATTGGGGCCATTCCTTGAGTCTTCACGAAGAACAGAACTTGGAGGCAGCTCAAAACGATTCACCATGGTAGCCATTGGAGATTTTACTTGACCACGGGCATGCTGCTCTGAGACTGCCAAGCTTGCTTTAGAGACAGGCAGTGCAACCATAGGTGGAACAGATGCAGATGGGATAGAGGTCACAGGTGTTCCTGGGGGAATGGGAGTTCCTGGTACGTGAGCCTGCAACTTGACAGCTTCTCCTGATTGGTTTGCCATCCACATTCCATGTACTGTGTCATCACGAGTCATGTGACCATGAATGGGTCCCATTCGCTTTCCAGCTGTTACTTCAAATTCTTCTAAATCAATTGCACCTTTTCGCTTTCGACTGTAAGCTGGACCTGATCGGTTGAAGCTGAGGTTTACATGGGGTAGAACTGGAAATTCAGGATCTAGTTGAGGTTTGGCAAGAAACTCAGGATTTATAGCTTCCTTGAACAAACGGACAGGCTCAGGGAGAAAATCCCCCAGTAAACGCCAATCTGCACTGGCACGGTCTTTTTCGTACTCCAAATATTTGAACCCAGAAGAAAGGGGCTTTGCCATTTCCTTTAAAGACTCTGTATACATCTGTTTAGCAACTCCTGATGCGCTTTGAAAAACACAACCGGAACCACGAGGATATTCGATGAAAATTTTAAGCTCGTAATCAATGCCTGGCTTGTAAGTGACGTCGAAAGCAAATACGCGACCGACCAACGCGTAATCCTTCTTGAATCTGATATCAAAAGGACAAGACCGGTTCAATGTTGTCAGAGTTTCTCGAATTAGTTCTGGCCTTGGACCATCGACAACAAAGTTTTGTTGAGGTCCATTTGGGGTCAAGGGCGGGTGATGTCTTTGCAAGGAATTTCCGTTTGCCATTGCTGCATGCCTAACATCATCCATGTTAAAATTTGATCCACGTCTCTCCACCTCGCGAGAACCAATATTTCCTGGAGGGCGAGATCCTTTAGCGCCCGGTCCGTTTGCCGCTTCGGTAATGCCATGCCCTAGCGAATTTTCTATACTTTCTTCGCCAATTCTGTGACTGTTATGAACTTTTCCAGTTGATTTTCTTTGCTCTGAAAATTGTGACGTGTAGTTAGTACCGTTAGCTGGTGGCGGACTTGGAGTCGAAGAAACAGACGAACCTGCTGAATTAAGCCTTTCTGTTTTTACGCCTCGACCCCTGTTCGCTTCGTTGTTTTCCCATGTTCGCCGCAAAATTCTAGAATAATGTATTACATCTTCAATTCGGTCAGCTCCTTCATAGTTGCAACAACCTCGGCAAACCGGTTCCGAAAAATCGTGTAAAATTGCCCACGGAGAATGAGGAAGATCGCATAAATAACAATGCTGACGATGAAAGCGACTAGCCGACATGTTCTAATGCTCGGCTCAGTTCACCAGTATTAAACTCATATAATTTCCCGAAGTTTTCCTCACAAAACGATTGCAGTACAAAGAAATTATGGCCGCCCGCGTCTAGGTTATGATGAGCATAGATTTAACACTTCCAGGTCCTTCTTCATAGCGAAAAATTCAGCAAATCTTGTTCTCCTATATAGCAAGCTATCGATGTGGCAGTTACGTTATCGGAGGCACGTGTGATCATAAAATTGGACAAATTTCTTGATCGCCAGGAAATCGAGAAAGCGTGTCACCAGAACGCAAGCAGAAGAAACCAGAACTTTTAATCTTCGAAGAACGAGTTAAAACAATTGCCATCAAATAAATATGTGACGCGAAACTCGATCACCGTATGAGCTCTCAAACACTCTAAATTTAGGTTCGTTCTGAATTATCATATCGGTGACCGAACCGCGTTGATCCGAGCCAATGCGTCAAAACAATCAGTGAACTCACACACACTTCCTGTGACGTCACACCTGTCGCCAAATCATGAAGTGCACAAACACAAGGCGGGGCGAATTTGGGGTGGATAAATACGATAACTGGACTGAATTATTCACCGCAATGGCCATGGAACTTTTACGAGGTGGAAGGAGGGGGAGAAATTTTCGCCAAGGAACTTTGGTGGTTTTTCTAAAATGCCGCCGCCCAACGAGAAACAGCCTGAGTAGTTAAATAGACTTGGTTTCTTAGCATAATCACGTGGTGCACAGATCTTTCGGATACAAAAATATCGCTGCATGGCAAAGGGGAGAAATTAAAGCATAACAAACTTAAGCTTTCAAAACCATTCACTAAAAATGAATAAAATATGTGAAATAATACTCATAGACATCGATCAACACAACGTCGGAATGAAACAAAGTGCGTTTGCTATAACTGCTTCAAATCCTGTTCATTCCCGAAACAAAGAACCTTAAGCACGTAAATAATGTATAAAATTAGGCAAATGACGTCATTAATAATCCCTGGTAACCAACCCGAGGCAGAGAGTCATTGGTTTCCGTTGTTCAAAAACAATAGCGACGTTTTGGCTGAGTTTACATAAACGTTCTTTCCGGGAAAGAGAACATAGATTATGCAAAATGCTTGACTGCGCGGGCACCGGATACAATAAATTGCATTTTAAACAACTCAGGTTTGTGCTGAATAGCGCTTTTGTCTTGAAGGCGTCATTTGATCCGCGGAAAGCAGACATTGCTCAATATTGTCATAGGTCAAAAATTTAAACCATTCCTGGGGTGTTTACATTTTCTTTTTGGGAAATTTAAAACTGCAAGTTCGGATCAAATTCTTGACAGGTTGAAACCCGAAATTGGCTGCCACTTGATCCCGTAACAGATATTGCCCAATGTCATTTGTTACAAGTCATGTGTTAATCTTATATTCGGATCAAATTCATGACAGGCGAAACTCAACGAAAGAACAATAACACGGAGTCTCGTATAATCTTCCGTCCGTTGAAAATTGTGTTCCTGTATTAGATTTCCCCAACAAATAAACTACATGTAGTATCGATTCTGCACAACAGGCAACGTTTATGGTCTGTCTTGATATTGTAGAGCAAACCGGACACGCGTAGGTCACAGAGAGCTAAGACACGCCACGTCATGCAACATAATTTATGATGTTTGACGCTTGGTGGATGTAGTAATAGATTGATCGATTGTCTACTACTTTTTTTCTTAAAGCAATCAGCTATATCCGGAAGGATACTTATTTAATTGTGTTTGTGTTCAAAGTAATCTTAATGTTAATGCGAAGAAATTTTCTATATCACTTTGCATATCATATTTTGTGTTTTGTGGACGGTGAAAGTTCTGAGGGCGCAGAGACACCTGAAAAATTCAACAGGGAAACTTTTTACGTGTGCGGGATCACTACAGTCACGCGCAAAAGTAACAATTTCAGAAAAGTTTTACTCCTTTAATACCATCTTTCTAGCTTCGCATTCTAAACCGCTGTGTACTTTTTAAGTAAACACAATTCTGAACTCTCATTGACGACACGCAATGGCATACGGCACACAAGGAACTTCATCGAACATTCGTTTCATTTAAAATATGCTGACACAAGGCAGAGAGACAAGATCCTTCAAGCTCCATTGACATATATCAAATAACATGATAAACTGTATTGATGAAAATGTTTTCTTCTGTCATGGCGGAGACATTATCATTGGAAGAATTTAACTCAGAGCAAATAATAATGCCGAAAAGAAATATTCGACTAAAAAACTTATTATTTGCCAAGAGTTTTGGGTTGGCATCAGTATTTGTGATTCTGTTCTCAGGGGCACCCAACGGCAATTTTCGGGAAAATATCTGTTCGGAAGACGAATTGAGATCTAGAATTTTCGGAGCATTTGTTGTAAAATTTCTTGCTTGCCTGCCTCTCCTAGGATTTTCGAACATAAACAAAATGGTATAACTACCCATGTTTAACGGATTTTGACCCTAAAAAAGGCCACCTAGAATTTTCGAGAGCCTTTTCCTGGCTACAATTTTCGAGAAGGTAAGTTTTTATCCCTATAATTTTCGGCTCAATAGACTTTCAGCTAGGAAATCCGAACAGATGAAAAGTTTTTAGGGGATAAAGATATGCCTATATCTACCGTTTGAATACTAAAACACGTTCAACAATGCTACGTTAAGTGGTTTTGAACTATATCCTCGTTGGGTGTCACTGTGTTCTAAATATCAAACATGGGGGTACTGGGACTTGCACAGCCTTCACCTTAGCACAAGTTTTACATAGATTGAGTACTATTCCGTCTGGCTTATGAAGTTATTTTACTCACAAAGTATTCAGTGTTTTACGATTAGCTTTTGTACTCAATGCCAGTAAAAGTACAAGCACGCTTGTTTAAATTCAGGGCCCAGCATCTTTCAAGATAACTCGGCTAGCAACAGTCATAAGTAGCAGCATTTACTGGTTTTACCGCAGTCTTTTCAAAAGTTTCTAACTATAAACGTACTGATGAATAACGGGGACGAAAAGTTGGACGGCAAAAGGACCCGTAAGTCCCGGGCCGTAAGTGGCCGGGTTGCAAGATCATGCACAAATTGCAAACGTTTGGCAAACTAGGTCCACACTGCAATGCAACCGGTACCGAACGGTTACCATCACAAAAAAGTCGACTGGAAAATTTATTCTTTGCCCTGAGTTTTGGAATTCTTTCACGATGATAAAATGTAATTTATGTGTCCGGCATTTCCATGAAAGAAAGACATTCAATATACAGCACAGTGGCGGATCCAGGGGAGGGACCCGGGGGGGTCCGCCCCCTGCCCCTCTTTTTAGACCAAACTGAGGCCCGAAGGGCCAAAAAACATTTTTTTTTGGAGACCGCCCCTCCCCCCTTTCTAAGGATCCGGATGACCGCCCCCCCCCCGCCTTATCTCAAGGTCTGGATCCGGTAATACAGCATCACTCTCCCGGGATCCCTCTAAACTTACGATGTGAGAGATTGGAAGACTAAGAAATATTTGTCGGGAAAGAAATAGGTGATGCTTAAAGCCTGGTTTTCATATGTCGGGAAAATCCCAGACGATCAGGGATTTTACTTTTTGCCGACCGTCCCAGATTTGGCCGATATATCGGATAATCGCCCAGATTCTCCCGATATTGAATTTGAAGGGAAATGGAAAATGCGCCAAAAATTGAAATTTGTACACAAATGTATGATAGGGAGACTGGAGTCCATTTTAAAATTTTGAGGGTTGAGAAGGAGCGAAATCCATCGCCGTCGTCCCCGACAGTACAAATTTGAGTTTTCATTTGTCGGGAATGATACCGATCATCGCAGAAATCTGAGACGCGTCGGGAAACAGCAAAATCCCCGATCGTCTGGGATTTTCCCGCCTAATGAAAACCAGGCTTAACTTGATTATTTTTTGGTTAAATATTAATTAGAAATTGACATTTGTAGCGCAAAGAAGTTATATGTCGTGACATTAGATTTCAAAATAATGTAGACAAAGTCCGAGTATAAAACATTTAAGTAACATTTAGGCTAAATAAGGTGAAAGAACGTGCGATTTTGTAATAGTCACTTAATTTAGATACATTACAATGGGAACTTTTACTGTACATGTAATTAATGTAATTACGCAAGGATAGTAGAAAAACCTCTGTATACTTAGAATGTGTTAGTTGATCGTTGATCGTTGTGTTACAACCGTTGAATATGTGAGAACTGCACTGTACATCGCAGTAGACTGTTGGTGCTGTTACATCGAAAGATACAGTCCTCTTGATTTGTTTGAATCAGCGAGCGGGGTTATGAGAAGTCCGCAACGATATTTCAGTACCCGCAATGTATTTTTACATCAACACAACCTTTTCAAAACCACACTTATATCCGCGTGAAAAGAGATCAAACATTTGCAAAAAAAATTTATATCCGTAAGAAGAGCTGAGACGTCCACAGTGCAACTCATGCGCATGACTTCTTACCCAAAAAATGGTTTGGTCAACGCCTAAAACTGACCTGCCAAAAGAGCGCATGCGCAGTGATTCAGACATTTGAGGAATGAATGCTCTGTCATGGGTGCGGTGAAAACTAGTTCAAACACAATTCTACAATTAACCTTCCAATTTTCGTTTCATAGAGAATTTTTCTGGGAAGAACGAGGAAGCTGAAGATCTTGCGAGAAGATTGTAATTTTAAGATAAATGTTCACCCTGATTTTCACCAGGAAAGCCGTAATATTATCAGTTTCAGAAGTCCAACTGATTGAATATCAGATCAGATGACGAAATCCTTTCCTGTTCTACTGGGGGTCAAACCTCATAAGACTGACAAGCAACAAAGATTGCGTAAATACCATAGCAACTTGGCTAAGTTGTAGCCCAAGTCATGGTCAAATCTGAAACTAATCCAATTTATATGATGTAATCTGGAACGATTCCCAATTCTGTCAAGAATTAAAGACATCTGGCTTTCGGGCCATCTGCGTGAATTGTTTATCAACGTGTTTATCAACGAAAGAAAAACCCTTCTCCGAACAAGAACCAAGGCATGAGTTTGTTTCAAGAGGTGGCCAAGAAAAAATATCTCAAAAAAAAAGAAACAATACATACATCACAGTTCGACAACGGTGTCCGAAACGAGGAAAAAACCCCTTAATACGGTTATCACATTTGATCTCCACGGACTTTGACATATAACATCTCGTGAATTCGGTTAACAAATCACAGACGGAATTAAACTTTTAAAAAATATTCTTTCAAAAATTACAACTGTAAAAAGCATAGTAGCACTGAAATAACCTGCAGCGAGGATAAAAGGAATGTGTAATTCTAGTCGAGGAAAGCGTTGAAAGACATTCGGAAAAAAAACAACGCCCTGCTCACCGGCACAAGGGACACAAACAGCGATACAAGCGATCTTCACCTTGACATATGATAAATAAATCAGTCCAAACCAAAACGAGTTTTTCAATTTTTCTTTGTTTTGCATAGGGCGCACCGGGCGGGATAGCCTGCGTGGCAGGCGTTTGAAAGGGAAGGGAAAGGGGGTTTTGGGCGCGAGGGAAACGCGTTTCTCTCGCACCTAAAACTCCCTTTCCCTTCCCTTTCAAACGCCTGCCACGCAGGCTAAGGGCGGGACGGCTGAGGTGGACTGGAACCTAGGAATACCCTGCGAGTAGAGGCCCTTCTACCCTCCTAGACCGAGAAGGGCCTCTGGTCGCATGGTAGAAAACAGCAAAAACAAGGTAAAAGTAAATCCGACCAGCAAAAGTAAGAGGTTTCTCGTATCCTGTTCATCAAAATAAATAGCACAAGTTCAATGCCCAAGAAACATCGTGCGGACTAATTGACCAAAATCGCAGACTAGTTACTGAAAGTATCAATAAATTAGGTGTAACGTGAATGTATTATACTTTCACTGATTTCATATTTCTTTCCTCATAGGGACGAAATACATTACTACTCTGCCACTGCAGAGGCCTACTAGGATGATCTTCCTATTTTGCCGTTAGATGTGCGTTTGTTGAACTTTAAAATAAAATTGCTCTCTCTAAACACCATGTGGCCTGCCTTTCAGCATTCCCTACTTATAAAACCTCATTGGTGCATATAAAAAAAGAGAGAGAAGGTTCACAAGCTGCCTGAAGTTTTCGTTTTATCGCTGGCGAGGGAGAGTTAACAAAAGAAAAACAGAACTCCCTTTAGTGGCCACTTTGGTTGACAGCGGTGGTTGTTGCCGTGGAGAGGAAAGATAATCCAGCAAAATGATTACGAAGAACAAGGTAAGACATTGCCAAGAGGAGAGATGGTCGTCATACTTGTCACACAGGCCGCGGATCCACACAATCTGTATCAGTAACCGTTTGTTTTGAGCGATTTTTAAGGATTTTGAGTTCGCGGTTTAAAATACCTGTTCAGAAGCATAGGACGACAATTTACGGAAGGTAAGTTGATTTAACATTGCTCCACGTAAATATTTAAGCAATAGACCACACTTTCTATGGGTTTACCGGCGTGATAACCCGCGCAGGATGTTGGGAGAACACGAGAAAAGCTTGTAAATCACGAGCCGAAGGCCAGTGATTTACAACCTTTTCAAGTGTTCTCCCAACATCCCAAGTCCCATAGAAAGTGTGGTCTATTATTTTATATTAATATTTATAAAATAACTTTAAGTAAAACTATGAGTTTACCGGCACAATAAACCATACGTTTTTTATCAATCAGAACGCACGCACTATCTTAGTTATTTTGTAATTAGCGATATATGGCTACAAATGGAACAAACGGTAAATCCAATACATACCTAGGCCCGATTTCCGCGGCTCTCTCGTTCCTCCCCTCTGTTCAGGGGAGGACCGTGGGCTCATTTCCCGAACAGCTGCTGGTAATCGAGCTTAATACATACACCGACAGGTCACATACACCCACAAACGATTACACAACCAGATAGTGCGGGGCCAGCCCCTATTACCTGTGAGATGTTCTCTGTGGTTCTATTCTTGCCTTGTCAACTCCGGTAGCAAAGCCATTTTGGGATACGAGTTCTCTCACTAGACCACGCCCTGGAGAAATGATGAATTTTCTTGTGTCAAAATATCATTTTCCAAGAGGAGAAGTGTATCAAGGCAGTGGTGTGGTGGGAAAACAACCTTAATGCATTAACCAGTTGGTTATACCAAAACCTGTAAATATGCAGTTAACTAACATTTCTTAGCTTTGACGACATTTTCTGGAAACATCACGCTGTAACAAGTACAGAGTAGACTGCTACTAAATTCCTGTTTTGTTGGACAAGATTCTACTTATGCCACTCGTCCGTGTTTTCTGGCAGTAAAATGGCACAGCTGTCTGTTACTTTCATCTTCTTTCCAGTGTAATAAACCACTAAATCAATTCGTCTTAGCTTTTTCGCACATATTTAACCCAGCACTGTTTCCTATCAACTGGATTTCACTTTTGGAATTTGATATTTCTGAAACTAACCTTTATCGGTAAATTGCCTGATGTAAGTTGGCTCTGCAGGGGAAATATCAGGTTGATCAAAAGACACCTTTTCTTTTTTCTCCCTTCTCCGCGAAACATCAGACCGAAGTCTATGACTATATGACCTTGACCTTGGCAGGTCATAACGGGACATTGGCTTGGGTGGTTGCTTACGGGGGAGAGGGGTCTGCAGCGGTGACTCTTCTGACAAAACAGATTCTTGAGGGGAGGTCTGGGTTCTGGTGTTTCTTACAATTTTGTGCTTTTCTGCAAAACAAAAAAATGAAATGAAATACGCTTAAAGAAGGGAGGGCAAGTATGATATGGATGTCCATTCCAACAGTCTATCAAAATAAATGATATTCATTGAAAGTCAAAAAAGAGAAAGCAGCAAAGAAACACAATCATGTTCCTACAAGGTGTCCTTAATTATTTAGCAATAAATGAATGAGGCTGAGTAGGATATTTAACAATTAATGAATGAGGCTGAGTATCTTATGAAGAATTATGGAGATCGAGGAGGGTGTTATCCGTCGAGGCCGTAGGCCGAGGCGGATAACACCCTCTGAGATCTCCATAATTCTTCATATGATACCAAAAGCGAATTCAGTAATTGTTTTATTATTCATTCAAAATGATTCCTAGTTTAAAAACATGGCCAAAACATGCTTTCCTCCATCGATACATCGATTTAAGTTCATCTTCGATAATGCACGTTTAGGGTTGTTCAGCTCCGCAAATATTCTCCAAATAGCAGATGTCGCCCTTCGAGTCGTCTTCTTGCTGTTATTGTCATGTTTTTAGTTATTTTTTCGCCTAGTTGTTACTCTTGAAACGAGTGAAATGTCCGCCATTTTCAAGTTCACAACCAAAACAACTCAACCTCGTCCCCAAGTCTTTTCGGTTAACGGTGCATTAACCTGCAAGAACGCTGCATTTTTTGACATCATTTCCTCGCTAAACACAACATTCTTCCAAATTTGGTCATCTGTAACTGGTTATGGTGAATTAAACGTGTGCTTTTAGCCAATCAGAATCGTGGGAAATATTTTGAATGAATAATAAAAAGAATTATGCAGATCGAGGAGGGTGTTATCCACCCTCCGAGAGAGATCTGCATAATTCTTTATACCCTACGAACATGGAATTCATTAATTGCTTTATTATTCATTCAAAATAATTCCTAGTTTAAAAACAAGCTAAACAGGCTTACCTTAGTCGATGTTAAGTTCACCTCGATAGTACATGTTTAGAAAATAAAGGGCTGTTCAGGTCTGCAAATATACTCCAAATAGCAGATGTTGTTCGTCGAGTAATTTTCTTGCTATGTTTTTAGACAATAGTTCGTCGTGAAATGAGTAAAATGTTCCGCCAACTGTTTCGGCCATTTTCTTTTCACAACAAAAACAACTCAGCCTCGTTCTCGGGCCTTCTCAGTTAACGGTGCATTAACCTGCACACTGTGCTGCACTTCTGACGTCATAGGTTGATTAATCGCAAAATTCTTCCAAATTTGGTCAACAGTAGCTGGTTATGGTGAATTATGCGTGTGCTTTTAGCCAATCAGAAACGGAGAAATATTTTGAATGAATGATAAAAAAGTTTAATGAAACATGATTTTGCCTCAGCTACACTGAATCGTGAAAATGGAAAACGGTACAATAAAAACAAAGTAGTTCTTCGACAACAGTATCTTTTCTACACAGTCGAACCTCCACTAATAGCAACCTCTCTAGGAACGGCCACTTTTTTTGTCTTGGCGGCGGACAGTCCATACATTGTCTATTGTTTAAGCCTCACTAACAACGGCAACGGCCACTAAAGCCCGTCCCCAACTGCCAAAATAACCTCCGCACAACGGCCAGTTTTTTCAGCGACTGATGAAAAGGTCGAGAATGGTCATGAAATTTGATCGTATGGCACGTTGATGATTAATCGCGGCAGTGGCATTTTGATTGTGTTCCATTTATATTGCTGCAGTAAGCAAAAATTGTCTACGATACTTACGGCGAATGTTGCGAACCTTCCTCGTTTTATCCCGTTAACATTTTGATTCAATCATTAGTCAAGTTTTTTTTATGTATTTTATCTCTATGTAGGTCTAAAATATGATTGGATTACCATTATGAGATACAGTAGACTGCGAGTAGTCTATTATTTTTCTTTGCAAAGTTACTGCACGCGAAACCCAAGCACGCGAGATAAGAACTAGACAGGTTTTAAGAGACAAGGCGGAATGCAAGCAGACTAGAGATACAGTAAGCACGAACTTAGCACAATAAACATATTGTACACCCTTAAAAAAAATTGCCATATTATCTCCCTACCTCTTCGTAACGGCCACCTCTCCACAACGGCCGGCACTTTCTTCTGTCTCCAAGGTAGCCGTTTGCGGAGAGGCTCAACTGTAATTCATTATTCAGACTGTGATTTATAAGTAACTGAGGCCTAAAAAGAACACTGAAATACACATACCATAAGACCATACATTAGACTAAACAACATTCATTAGATTACTTACCAAAGGCTGGCACGCTTTGCGTTAAAAGATGGAGTTCTTTACTAGGATCATAAATCTTTGCATGGATGGAGTAGGGTTCATTTGCTTGGGTTCCCTCAGCTGGCCAAGCCATCCTAGAAACTTGATGGTAAGTTGGACCAGAAGGGTTTGTGGTAGTTATTGTATTACATGTTGGCAGTGATGCTTCAAGTGATGTCACTGGATAAGACACACTAACTGGTCCTAAGACTGCAGCTGCCTGAGTAGTCTTTTAAATAGAAAAATATTATTGTTATCATTCAACATTAAATAAATTTGTAAGTTATTTGTAAACCTAACAAAAAGAAGTACAATGTGAGGAAAATTTGATCTGCCATGGACAGGTGACCTATCAATGTCAACACCTAGTTGGGCCATACATAGCTCTCAAGGTATTGTATATACTCTCTGCTTAGCTGCAAAGAAAACTGGAAAAAAAAACTTTCATGAAAAGAGTTGTTAAAAAACCTGTGCCTGTAGCATCTTTGCCTGTAGTTCTTCCAGCCTTTGTAACCGTTCTTCCATCTGATGCCGCAGTTCACTCTCTTTGTCTTTGTCTTGCAGTGCCTGTTCTCTGCTTTGTAGAACTTGTAAATTACTTACAAGAGCAGCAACCTGAGTCTCCAGAGAATGCTGAAGCTAGGAAAATGGCAACTTTTCACAACAACATTTTTAATAAAACTAATTATTCTTAAACTAAAAAATAATTCGTATAGAAAATACAAAGGAGTGTTTGGAAATCCTCTTTTTTTTCCTTCTAAAATCATTTTGTTTCAGAAGAAATATAAAAAATTCAACAGTTTTTTGTTTTTTATCCACAGGGGTAGGGAGGGGGTACTCGCAAAAATAGCCAATACAGGAGGGCTCCACCCGAAAGGGGTGCCTTTATCAGATTTCAATATGAACAGGTAGGGTTTTACGGGTAGGAATGGGAAGTGAAATCTGCCATCTCTGTCTTTAAAGGGCCTATTAATATTTATAACATGGTGCGCGTGCTTACCCTACAGTTGCCCTCGGCTATCGCCTCGTGCAACTCTTACGCATCTTTCGTGCTCTCCAAACTTCCCGCGTGCATCCATAACTCGATATACACACACTAAGCATGAACAAACTCTTAAATATAAACTTTAGCCCAAAATCTAATTTTGACCTGCCACATAATTGTGTGGCCCAGCCTGGGTGAGGGGTACTCTGCATTTAAAGTTATAGGGAAGATCAAAGGATTATTTTTTTTAGCGGAAGGGGGGGCGGGGGGTAGTTGATGTTTTCCTTCTGGGATTTTTTGGGTAGGGAAATTTGGCAAGTATTCTTTTGCATGTGTGTGTGTGTGTGTGTGTGGCTGTATGTAGGTGGGATTTTTGAGGTACCGTATTTATTCGAATAAGTGCCCAACCTCAAATTAGCCCCCCCTCAAATAAGCGCTCATCCTAAGGGCAGAGAAAGTTAATAAGAGCCCACCCCTACCCCACCCCCTCCAACTCAAACTTAAATAAGGGAGACGAGAGCTCAAGACCTTGCATTTCGCTCACTCTGCTATCCCTGAGGAAAAATGAGGACTACTCGTAGTCTAATCTGGATACTTTTTAGCCTGGTTATAGTTTATGGTGCATAATCAATATGCAAAAAATATGTTTTTGTTTCCAACGAAAGACATCCAAATGATTCGTGGCTTCCTGCATTTTGCATTTTTTAACGGAAGTTGATTCCATTAACCGAGAAAGGATCTGGGTCTGCTTCTAGGAAAGAACATGGGTCTTAAATTTGTGGACAGCGGTTTTCCTCTGGAGGCGGGTGAACTAAACAAGATGGTGGCACATTCCTCTCATATGGCTATCAAAGAGGCATCTCGAATAAATACGGTATTCAAGGTTATTGAAGATTTATGTAGGGCCAGGTATTTCACCCAAGTCAGGAGTGCATAACCAGTAATGAGTAACTCCCTTGTGCACATGCAACAGCATTTCATGGACCAGTTTATTTTTAGATCAATTTTCAGGCAAATTTTAAGTAACACTATACTGCCATGTATACAATCTTAATCATACAACAGATGCACACTCATACAATTCAAGCTAGTGCTTCTATTTTTGAGAAAAAAGTAATTAAAAATATACTAAAAATAAACTGAACTGTGAAAAATGCCATTGCATAGGCCTGATAGAAGTTGTATGCCGGGCTCCTGTCCATGTACAGAGGGGTTTTGCCAAAAGCAGGTCCGCTGCCCAGCGGCCCGCACCCCACGGCCCGCAGGCCAGCGGCCCGGTGGCCCAGTACTGATTTTCCACAGTTTTTTTGTCCAGTGGTAAATCCACACGCAACCACAGATCTGCATCGGCGTGCAAAATGGACGACGGTGAGTTTGAATTCGTTTACCATTTTAATCATTTGAATCCTTGTTTCTGTTTGTTGCATGTTGTTCAGATAAGAACGTTTTCATTCTCTGTTCATTCGTCTCTTTACAGAAGCCAGTAGAGGACTTTCATTATTGAACGATGTAAATTTTTTTCAAACCATACTTTGAAAGTGAAAATTTTCAATCTCAAACTGTGGTTTGAAAATAACTTACATCATTTGAGAATGGACTTCCTCTCTATCGGGTTCTGTAAACAGCCGAATAAACAGAGAATGACAACGTTTTTCACTTAGCAAGCAAAGGAAAGAAAGGATCGAAAAGGACTGAAATGATTATTAAAATGTTAAACAAATTCAAACTCACCGTCGTCCATTTTGCACGCCCAAACCCGATGCAGATCTGTGGATGCACGTGGATTTACCGCTGGACAAAAAAACTGTGGAAAATCTGTGGACGACAACCCAGCAAAGAGGAGCTGGGGAGTTAAGTCTCACAATAACTATTATTCTCAGTCAAGATGGTTTAGAGTCAACAGAAATTAAAGTAATGTTTATGGGGTAAAAAACTTTTAGACCGATGTAAAATGCTAAATTAATCAACAATGAGGCCCACAACTATCCTCTTTGAACAGTGCATTATTAGATGTATCCTAAATCAATAATCCAATTAAAGACCACAATTTAATGTTACTTTCAACAATTGTATAGAGCTCAGTTGATTTCATATTGGGTGGTTTGGTGGTATTCTTAATGTTTACCTGTAGGAAAGGTCCAGTTGCTGCAGAAGCTGCAGCCGCAGCAATGGCTGCAGCTGTCACCACAGGATTGTCAGCTGATCTGCTAGTTTCTTCAGCTGTCTCTTTTCTTCTACTAGCTTCTGGTAACACTACTGTTGGCTGTACAAGTTTTTTTGTGGGTTTTTTCAAGTCTTGTCTGTAAATCATGTACATGCAAAATACAAAAAATTCAATCACAATGCCGTAATGATTTGATTTAGCACCCCCCTTTGTTGGGCTCCTAGCCATAATATACTTCAAAGGGTGTTGCTATCCCTAAGGAGCTATGAGGAGACTCATTGTATAATTGTTGATAGACTGCAAGGCTTTCTACCCAGTTTAATTCCTTATCACAGTTAAGCATTTACCGTATCCAACATACATCTGGATTTATAATCAATAACATATTTTGAAAGCTACACACTTGGCTCTAACCAGTACCAATTATTGTTGTTATTACAGTTTTGTTCTTTCTACTGAATTATTTTATATGGTTCAGGTTTTAAAGTTCCTGCATCTGCATGTTAACCAACAGGTTAAGGTTTTTTATCGCCTTGCTGTTGTATTCAGTTGTTCTTGTTTACCATTAATTTCATGGTTGTTTTTATACTCACTTTTTTCCCTAACAGAGGCAGAGAGTTTTGTATTACGTATTGTTACAGTTCAGTAACAGTTCAGTTCAGTTTGACGGAATTGACAGAAATAAACGGTTATGTGAATACTACGTACCTTAATGGGTACCAACAGGAAGTGAAGACTGTTACTTGTTACAGTAAGGCCCGGTTTAAACATCACATTTCACATGTGCCAAATTTAAAGGTATTGAATGCGTAGGAAGTTTGACGCTTAACTAAAATTAAATTTGACAATGCGACTTCTGTTGCATCTTCGACTGAGCCAGTCAAATCTCGACAGAAGTTCAACCGTTGTCTTTTGTGCCGAATCGAATTTTAAAATCATGTTTAATTTATTATAACCCACAATTCTCAATTTTTTCCCAACTCTATGAAAACTCGCTCATGATTCGATGTCTAAAATGGCAGATTTCGTTATTAAGTAGAGCCAAATAGGTATCAGACTCGGCACATGTGAAATTTGACATTTAAACCAGGCCTAACGAGATGCTATTTGCACGACTGATTTCAACCTCCAATTTAAACTCTAAAGTTTCTTGCAAAATTTATTAAAAAGGAGTTATAATTATTTAATAAATTGTCCAAAATTTATAAATACATCAACACTTCAAACAATCTGAGTAAAAATTCTTTAATTTACTTTATTCTAGAAATTCTAGCATCCTTGGGAATTAAACGTCATCCCATTTCATTCCAATAATTCCTCGGGGATCATTTCAGGTTGCGTGCAAAAAAATTGGGGGATCATTTAGGGTCGGGGATCATTTCAGGTCGTGCACAGTACCAAAAGCAAATAGGCGCCCCAGGTGCTAAATCAAATCACTATAGTAATTGCAACATTACACTCCAAAGCTGGAAAGCTGGAAATAAAGAATTCAAGATGTTTTCAAGGAACAAGAATTAGAATCATTATTCTTTCAGAGACAGACAATAAAGGTACCCACATAAGGCACTAACCCAGCCTTATTACTTCGGCGAAGTGCAAAGTAAAGTATTCGCGACGCTCAGGAATGTATCAAAGTTGACTTTTTTTGACAAGATTGGGCATGCAAAGTCTGTAGGTTTTCGGTTTTATTCGGCTATTTGATGAAGTGAGAGGTGCATTAGTTCGAGATATCTCGAGATCACTTCGATTTCTTTGATTTATTCTTTAACTTTTTCGAGGAAGAAAGAATTATTATTTTGGCTTTCCCGGGATTTGAACCAACTCATCTGTGCGACCCATCAGATCAGAAGTGACTATAAGTTGAGGGATTACCCAACTGTGCTACTGCGACCCAAGGTAGTTCAGGACAAGATTGGGCGTACAAGTTCGTGACTTTTCGGCTTGTTTCGGCTATTTCATGAAATGAGACTGCATAGACTACTTCGTGATATCTTGAGATCACTTCGAGTTTAGTCTTAAATTTACTCAAGGAATAAATAGAGGGTATTACGTGGCCACGCAGACACGAAATTTCTCTTCGAGTGTTGAAAAACATTTTACGAGTGAGTCCTTGACCCTTTCGAACTGTTTTATGATGAATTTAAATTTACAAGATGATGCACAAAGTGCTGTCTTTGGTGAGTGTTACATAGTAAAATTGCTTTCATGCGTTGCGTGACTTTCTCGAATGTTCTCTACGTTTTTGGATTATTCATGAATAATTAATTAAGGCATGTTTACATTTTAGCATAAGTCAGCAGATTTGCATCAGTTACTGAAATCATAAAATATGTCGAAAAGCTACTACTATTCGCCTGTTTGGTATTTTAAAGAACCTCATGTCAAACGGTATACAAGTTCCGAGCGACTTCTTTTGACGAACTAAGTTTTTTTCCCAAGAGCTGGACTGCTGTGTTTAGTCAAGTGTGACAAAGGTCGATTTTCAAGTTCTGTGTTTACAAGTTGGCGGAAGCTGTAAGATATCTGAAGTTCAAGTGAGAGTTTGTTATTATTGGCAGAGGCTGTTTAGTTTTACTTAAATTCAAGTCAAGTTTGTGTTGGCGGATGCTGTGTTTTAAAGCTCTGTAAAGGTTATGTTCCTCTGATATTAAACTTCCTTGTGTTAATCTGACGTCCCTGCATGCTGATAGTCAGTGAATAATTATCCTCAAAACATTCGAACTCGTAACATTGAGTTTTAGCCAATTCCATGCTCAACATAATTGACTCCTTACCCATGCCTTACAATTATCTTTGACCAGTACATGAGACTGCTATGCTCTTTTTGAAGCCTGATGTGACTAAGAAAGATAGAGAATTATTTTTTCACTGTTTGTTTTGTTAGACTTGTTATTCACTGCCAGTAACCTCATATTTGACTTAGGTCTAGACCTTTAGCCCCAAGTCAAATTTAGAAGGATTTGTATCAAGTCATCAGAGCATAACTGAGCTAATTAAAATATCTTAGAGACAATTAATTTTGTCAGGAAATGCTCGTTTTGGGCAAGTAGGCCTCTTGGATGTTGCTCTTTTCGGAATACCCTGACAAATCCCATAATTTCACAAATCAACACCTTACTCTTACCATATTTCATTTCTTTATTCCTCCACATTTACAATTAATCAGTGCCACAACCACGACGCCGAAGTGTACGCTACATAGCGTCTTGTTTCAATTACTCCCATTTGCATTCACCTTTGACGTGTGACAAAAATAGTGCATAGTAATGTTTTACCTTTTCAATGTTAATTGACAGTCCATTATCATAGTGTCATTTTTGACCAATGAAATTAAATTAACTTTGAAAGTTAGCAAATGAAATTGGCAATGTTTTGACCCCACCCAATATTATGCAGTGTTCATGTGACTAATCTGAAGTTTTCAGGTTTTGCTTGTGAGAAAACATTAAAACAAAGACACTACTTATGACCTGGTGTTCACTAAAAATAATAATAATATTATTATTATTATTATTGTAATTTGAAGCGCTTTTTTAATTTTATATACTACTTACTAACCAAGAGTAAGGTCATTACAGGGGAATCTCAGACCAAGGCTTTGATGTATCACTCAGTCAATACATCAAGGCCGATTCTGAGCTAGGTTTCCCTGAATGACCTAACAGACGAGGTTAATAAGTTATTTATTATAATTATGGCCTTTTCATTATGGACCTGAGCCTTCAATCAATTAAAACCAATCACTGGTCAGTGGATAACCTTAAAAAACATGTCACCTCAATGAATGACACTGGTCAGTGGATACCAGGAGGTTTTTTAACAGCTGTTAATCGACCATAACATGGATGTCCATAAGGAGGTCCACTACCAAGTTAAACACAGACTGTATATACCTTGGACACCTAGCTAGTAATGCTAGTAAAGCGTAGTAACACAAAGACTTGTAACCACAGTATTTTTCTTTTTCTGAACTTTCATATAATCTTTTAAATATTAGTCGAGCTTACTTTAGCAGAGCAAGACTCTAAAAATGCAGTCCTTTCTTTTTTGTCGGTGGGACCTAGTTTGTAGGCCACGCGTTCCTAGCGAAGACCATGGAAACTGGGGATAAGAATCACGGCGACTTTCACTGTACGCAAATGAGTCTCATGATGAGCATGAGGTATATTTTCGGCAATGACTGAAAGTTTGGCAATGATGTAATTTTCCTCAGATGGATTGATTTTCGTGTCATTATGCACGACATGCAGGCACTAATTAAAAAGGAAATATCCCCAAGTAGGATGAGAAAATATTATAGCGGGGAAATCCTATTTTGTGGTGTTTTAAGGTGTCACGTTTCTCAGAATATTGTTGCAATTACTTTCTGAAATCTACGGTTAAATAGATTTACTTTGTTTTATTTATTTAATTGATAGATTTTCACACTTGTTAACATGTGAAGTCGTGTTGCACTTTATAAATACTTGAGATATAAAGTATCCACTGTCACATAATTTTTACGTGCGTACGTGCGTAAAATTTGTGTTCTCAAATAAAACAGAGGCACTGTATGAAAGTTCGCATGTACAATTATGTAAGCGAAAAAGTAAAAACTCGCTCAACTTGACACTTAATCTCAACACTTTATATCTTAGCTCCATTTCATTATGTCATTAAAATTTACTTGCATTAACTTGCGGAGCCAAAAACGTGTCAGTGGAAATCCACCCTAACGTTACAAATGTGTCACGGATGTGTTTATACGGGTAGTTTTGAACCTGACTATCCGCGCACTATACTTGGAGCACTTCATGTCCATAGAATAGAAATCCCATATCGAGCTTTCCTGGAACGGGTTAGTCCAAGAATTCTATCGCTTGAAAGGGTTGATTATTTTGGAACAACAGTTACTGATCACTTCAGTGGTCGAAAAAAAAAGAATAATCTTAATCAGCAAAACTTCAAGGTTTTCTGGAAAACCAGGATCGAGGATCGAGGATCGAGGATTGAGGATCGAAGATCGAGGAATTAGGGATCGAGGATCTTTTAAGAACTTGAAAATGAACTTGAAAAAGAAATGAATAAATAAATGGTGGACCAGTGGTGATGTGAGCCGCAGACTGTAGATAAATTTCACAGAACATAACCCCGTTCGCTGTACTGAATGCTAAATTCAAGTAAACTAATCTGAGTCTGTCTGAGTCAGTGATTGTTTTGACGAGAAAGTGAAATTTCCCTGGAAAATGAAATGCTTTATCCCAGTGATACTGTAATAAAAGAAAAAACTTTAACAGTTTTTAATTTTTAATAGTACATTTGCTTTCAGTACTCTTTATTTTTCTTGTAATTTATTGTTGTATGCACCCCACCAGCAATGTTGATCTTTTTGTAGTGCTAAAATAAAGTTCTTATCTATCTATCTATCTAAAATGCATGCTATGTACAACTCTAAACATTGTACTCTGACACTGTACTGAGATATTAAAAGACGATACTAAGCAGCTACGGAAAATGTAATTACTTTCACGCGGTATTGATATCTTATAAAACGGACAACAAATTGAGCAGGAATACGCGCGAACTGAATTAACTGTGTGTTGTACGAGGTTCTGTTAAACTTACACATTTTTCCTGTGCTGAACATATATGCTGTACCAAGCCATAATTTTGTCCAGTACAAAGAAGCTATGTATATTTATACTGAAAGAGTCATGGACCCCTGATACCGATAAAAACCATCGTTCAATTTTTTGAGTGTAAAATCCCTGAAAGAGTACTCCTCAGTGGAGCAATATCGATATGTAGAAGGTTTTCAAAGGTTTCACACCAGTTTGAGGTTAAGTTGTGCAGCCTGTCTCTCCTTGCAATTTTTTTATTTTTTGAGTATTAACCTTATGACACGTAACACTCGTTTTGTATTCCAAACAAAAAAGTAGTATAACAGCACCGGCGCCTTTAACAACAAAACTTATCTCCAAGCAAGCCAGACTCAACACTACTAAGAGCGTTCTTGTTAGTATAAAATTCAACCCCAGAAAAGTTTGCCAACATTTGACGACCTACAAAACAAGATGGAATATTAGCATGGTAAAAAGTTTGAAGCAGAGTGAATTCTCTTTTTAAGGGACATTTTGGTAGCTGACACCGTTGTTATTGCTCTTAGTTGTAAATAATGATTTGATTAAGACAAATGTGATCCTCACATAGGAATGTTTTCATTTCACACAGAGGATGCATAAACCTACTAAAGGCAGTTTATCAAATAAAATGTATTTTAAAACTCCGTTTTTAAGGGGTGTTAAAAGATTTCGACCAGTCATAAGTTAGAGTTGAAAATAATAGCCAAGAAAGTTTACAATATTATATATTAATTACATGGGATTTCTGTGTTACTTAGATTCAGACGAGATTTGTTATAAGGAAGTTTGTTAGAAAACGAAGGGATTAATGTACGCGCTACTTTGCGAAGACTTCACAAAATTTGATGTTTAACCCAATCAGAATTGAAGCAAAGACAAATAATTATAGTAAGGTTAGCACATTTTTGCATTCTGATGTGTTCATTGCGTTCAGTTCTTTCCTTCTTATCCGGCTCCAGTCTCCTGCTGCTAAAACTATTGAATTGAGCCAGCTACCAAATTTGCTTTTAATTCTGGTGAGTTATTAACAATTAATATAATGGCAAACAATTAATATGCAACCCTCAGACAAACTTGAGGCTTTAGAATTCTGATTCCCAACACCTCCAGTGTTTAACTACCAGGCTATGCAAACACAAAAAAGTTTTCTATCACCTTTGCTTGCAAAATAACTTTTAGTCCTTTCAAAAATACCCTGCTGCTAATTAGATTTGAGTTGGAGATGCAAATAACCGCTCTCTACATTAAATGAGGGCCCAGTATAGAAATATTCCAGTATTTCTCCCAGTTCCATAATTATGCCATTTCAAATTCGAATTGAGCTGTTTGATATACATGTATTCCTGAAAAAAAGATGCAAATCTGTTTGCTGATAAGGATTTAGTTCAAACAAAGACTCGGCTTTGCTGTTGTTTTTTCTTGAAAAGTCCGTTGGGCCATGCGATTTACCACCAAAGTACTCAGGATCTTGAAAGGAGAATTTCACTCCAGCTTACATGAAGGAGTGGACGTACATGCATGCGGCCAATTTTGTCAAAAGGCTAAAATTTCTTGGATGCATAAATAACCAATGTTTTTACCCATGGTGCTGCACTGCATGCGCTTTACGGACAAGAGAGCTCTTCTAAAAATGCATATCAATAATAATATAATTAATGTATTATGCTTTGATACAGTATGTTATAAAGATTCTTTAAGTTTCAACCTTTTGAAGAAATGGGTACATACAGCTCAAAACTAGAGCACACACAGTATCTTCATTACTTTAAAATAATAATATTGAAGAGTAGTACTTGTTATTAAACCATCAAATTCCTTGATAAAGTAGAGCTGTGTTCAGCTTATTTGTTATATTGTATCAAGAAAGTTAGATTAAAATAATAATGCCTTTAATCATAACATACCTAACTTAAAAAATAACTAACTAAATAAAGACAGTACATATGCTCTGATTGGTTGAGTAGTGCATTTGCATGAAAGAACAGTCGCCTCCTAATAATTCAAACCTTCTTGTAGGGAAATCAAAAGAAGTTCAAGTCACATATATAAGGAGTTCAAATTTTTGGGATTTCAAAGAAAATAATTGAGAATCAAGAAATGAGCAAATGGGATGGTGAAGGAATGCAAAGTATATCATGTGCACATGTCACTTCAAGGGCAGCAAGAAATAAATTGATATTCTGGAAAAGGAATTAAAGCAACAAAGCTTGAATAACAATTTTATACAGGGCTGGACACTGTATTTGAACTGGACCGACCAAAAATTAAAGACAGAATACACAGTTGTTATGAAATAAATTAAATGTTTCAGACTACAGAACATTTTTTTTTTCAACTTGTCACACACTTAAAACATTGTTCCAGTTATTGGGGGTTAAAAAATGAAAATGATCTGCAGGGAAGCAAAAATTACTTTGAGTTACCAAGGATAAAATTACAGTAAATGTGTAAAAAAAATCCAGGGGAAATCAACTTTGGTTCTAGTTAGCGCAAGGTTCGAGGTTGCAAGGGTTCAAGTCATCAAGGGTAAACAAAGTACACACTGATCAAGCAATTACGATTCACTTCATTCAGCCATAAACCTTGACATTTCAAACCCCAAAAATCTGTACCAACATGCATTATTAAATTTGTTTTCACTTCGGCTGACATTTAAAGCATAAATGTGTTTGTGTTTTTCTATTTTTTTCTAAAATAAAAACTCAATGGGTTGGGAGAAGTCTGGAAAGTTATAAAATAATCAGGGCTTCTGATAGGTCTCGGAAAAAAGTGAAATTTTGCAGGATTTTCAGAGACAAGTTCATGCAAAAACTGCCCGATTTTGCAGGAATTTTCAGGGCAAACTTCACCGAACAACAATCAGTAAAAAATGGTCGATTTCGAGGGAATGTGGGCAAATTTCACTAGAGATCAAATTTGACAAGCGTTTTTAACTTTTTTAACAGAGATAATCATTTGCTCTTTCAACAACAATGCGCTTGAGAAATGGGCTCAAAAGCTTTGCCATGGGCTCATTTGTCAAGCACATTGTTGTTGAAAGAGCAGTTGATTATAAAAAAAAGGCGCCCAGTTATTTACAACATAATCTTTGCCTGGTAGTAATTGGGAGGTTGTTTGCTTGTTGCATTGATGCAGTTTCAAGATAATTAAATTTGCATGTTTACAGCAATTAAAAAGCCCCAATAGCTGAAATAAGTTTCAAATGCTACGATTTTTGCTGTATTTTTGTGTTTTTGTGGATTTTGTGGGGATTTTGTGGATTTACCTGAATTTTGTGGCTCTACGACCACGCGAAACATCAGAAGCCCTGACTGATACTTATGTAAAAGCCATTTTAATCCACAAATGCAAAGTAGACCTGTCCAGTAGAATCCACAAGGCACAACGTTTATTAAATGTACCCAAGGTACATGTATAATATATACAGTATGGTAAATGCCTTCCAGCTTGCATTGTGTCTAGTCTTCACAAATAAAATGTATTGTAAATCAATATTATTCTGTCACAATGAACACATTTACCTTTTCAAGAACTGATCTTTTATAACTTTTTCCTTGTCACTTAAAGCAAACTGTTTTATTTTTACATCACCTACAAAGTAAAAAAAAATTAAGAAAAGCACATGAATGTATAGTTTTTTTCATAAACTGCATGACTGTTAGAGTATTTTGGACAAGACTATGGCCATTGAAACAAGCAGGAATCTTGCAATAATTCACTTTTCAAGCCTGTATTTTTTTTTTGTTAAACAGACTCTCCTGGTTTATACATTAGAGTGCTATGCATTGTTTAAGCAATCTTTTATTCATACATGAGTTTTGTGCCAGACTCATTGCCTGCTGCAAGAGAATGATCATAACTAAGGTGGCATGCCTCTTTTCATCTTTCTCTGTTAAGGTTATGATTCTCTTACAACCAGCAGCTGATAGTGACCACTAAATAAAAGAATGTGACTATTATATTTTTGTAAAAGAACAAGACCAACAACTTTGTTGTGCCATATTTATCAGTTTACCATATTTGTTGTTGTTGCAACATTTCACTGCAAATCATCAAGTAGTAACAATTCAGTTTCATTACTTAGTTGTTGAACATCTTATATGAGGGGCTTCCACTAGAAGCAAAAGAACTCTCTCCTGCTCAAGCACACTTTCATGTTGGTTCAGACATTTCTGGAAAGAAATCACCAGACTACATGCTTCGCAGCTTCATGCTTGGCTAAGCATGTGGCATGTTCACTAGACCATGATGGAAACATGACCTAGCACACAACATGCTTCAAACGAAAATTCCAGTGGAAACTTTGATAATTTGGCCACACTTTTCAACATTTTGCAGACTTTGTTTTTCACGATTTGCGCTCTGCTTGTTATATACAATTCACTGCACTGAATTGTAATTTTTTCGGGTCTTTTTCTAGATGCTGGAGGTAACAAAATGACCCCTCAATCGTTTTCTGGTGGGACATTTTAAATTTTATTGCGGGATTGGCACAATGGTGCAACCAGGCTCAAACCCTGGAATCACATTTATGGTTTACATACCAGCATTTTCTTGTCTTGAATTAAAGACTGGAGCTCCACTATGTGGTTGTCCTTGATGTAAACTTTTAATAGCTAAATTCTTCACTCAAAATAATTGTAAAACAACAAAAAAAGAAAAACAAATACAGTGAGTACTGTAGTTACTGAGGCTAAAAATAATACCAGATTTATAAGTTGAGTGGTCAGGTGTACAATTTGGTTATACACTGTTTTCAAAACTGAATGAGCACAAAGTGTAAGTTCAATTTCCAATAAAAAATACACTGAAGGTATGATTTGATTTCAGACCAATATTGCATGAAACAACCTTAATCTGATGGATGATAATAATCCTGGATCACATCACTGTGAGCTTATACTGCAAAAACTTTGCATTTGAGCATGGCAAATCACTGCAATGCCAAGTAGAACAGAACACTGCAATAGATTTTTATGACATTCAAGAGGAATATATGCTGTAAACCCATGTATGCTTGAACATGAAGGCTTGGTATTCAACATACTCAGAAGCTTTCAACAACTTCCACTTCAACCACTCCGCAAATTGCTTCAAACAAAATTCATTTCTTTGCATTTTTCGATGAAGCAAAGCATGATTTTCCTGGTTAAGGTGTTTTAAATTAAACTTTACAAAATTACAATGGCAAATTCTGCAGCTACACTGAATTGCTCACTGCTTCCACCTTTCTGGATGTCAACGACACAAGGCTGCTTTTAATAATAACACTTGCACTGTAATAAACTATAGTTTTCTGTACTCATGTTTATAGTGGAGCAGGTTTTGCTTTTCAAGGAAGTAAATTTTTAACATCTGGTAATCTTCTGTTATACATGCTGTCAATAACTTAGACAATGTATGATTGAACTGCACACACCATTTTTCCACTCATTCCACCTTTCTCATAGCCTGAATTTCATCCGATTACTTCGAGTCGTTATTACTCCCTCAGTAACATCTCAATCGACCGACCGTTAATGCCATCCAGTGACTCACTACTCCTTGACCTTTGCTTTAATTCATGCAAAAAGTAAAACACGATTTTCAAGTGGCAAACCGAGAAATATCGTTTGGAAATGTCTGCATGATACAGAATTGCTTTATTTTTTTCAATCGTAGTTCATGTTTAACATTCAAACTATCAACTGCATGCAGTACAACTCTGAACTGGTTGTACTGAATTCTATAATCTGAATCAAACTCGGTCGCAATCACGCAATGAAATAAACACACACACGGAACACTTAGTTCAAAAACACAATGATTTGCTTTAATTGAAAAGAAGCTGTTTGGTCCTTAACGAAGAAAAAAACAAGGAAACAAGGAAGAAAACTAGCAGAATCATTACACTTGACGGTAAAAATAGCAAAAAGGTCAAATTATAATATTAAACTCAGACAACTTTGCATAAACAAAATCACCGGCCGCTGAAACCACAAAGCGGCTCCAAATAAAAAATCTACCGACTCTCCGCAATGATTCTTCATTTGCAGCTCAATTTAGCATTCAGTTTCGAAGACAACGGCAATTTTGCTGTTTAAGATAAAGTTTACCTGTAGGTAAGCTTATCGAAATGTTTGAACAACACGAAATAATACCGGGGATGCGATACGCTAAATATCAAGCGACAATCCCGCTAAAATTTTTCATAATTATACATAATTATCATTTATGCGAATGTTTAGACAATCAACCAATCAAAAACACTACCCGGTTTTCGGGTAGCGAGTGACGTCACTCGGACGGCATTAACGGCCGGTCGATTCAGACGTTGTTGAGAGGAGAAAACGACTCGAAGCAATCGGATGAATTTCAGGCTAACTTTCTCAACAAATTCGCACAGAAACCCTTACTATGCAGGTTACCACCACTACCACTGCCACTACAACTACTATTTACTAGTGCCAATAAATAATAATTTTTAATACAGTATTGTGTACTATATTACCTGTTTTCCATTATGAATAACTTCAGGAGTTTCGTTATCAAAATCTTTATCTGGACCTTCAGACACTTGTCTACCACTTCCATTGCTTGATTTCTCTGAACAGTCCTCTGTAATTCTACTTTTTTGATCATCATATAAAGGTTTTCTGTGAGACTCTGCATCATTTGATGAAGCATCTTGCTTGGATAGAATCCATGCTGATGGAGTAGCATTTACATGCCTAATTACTTTGACTGGAGTGGTTCTTTTGTGACTGTCAGCTTAAAGATAAAAACACTCAAGTAAAAAAATCTAATTATTGTTTAGTAAGAAAAGCTTTCAAGCATCATGTACAGTTGTGAATTATCTTTCATCTAATAAATGTACCTGATGTACTAAATTAGTAAAAGTACAGGTTCTCTGACATCCCACAGAATTATCATTATAAGTGCAAGGCCTGCAAACAAGGCTTACAGTTTGTCGTCCTTATCTGAGAAGACTTGAAAGTCTAATTTTATTATTACAAAGGCTGAGTACTGTTGAGGCTGGCTGGGTTTGAACCAGGCGCCTCTTGTTTGGCAGCAGACTGGTGCTTATCCAATTGAGCTAACTGGTTTGTGCCCAAAAACTACAATAAAGTCCACATGGGCGCCAGGGTTGTAACTAAGGAAATTGCCTGGCAGCTAAAGAGAAAATGGAGGAGACAAAAAGAGGACTGCATGGTGCCTTCTTTGCCGACATTGGGGAAGGTATGGCTGTTTCCCTCTGTTTCATGCTGATCACCAGTCAAAATCTAGCCAGCAATGGCCTCTGACTCAGCCAGCTAATTTCCCTGGCAGCCAGCGCTTAGCAACAACCCTGGGGTGCTGTCCAAGAGGAAATCTTTAGTTTCTTTAAGGTGATAAAAAAACACAGGAACAAAAATTGCTTGAACATGCAAAAAATAGCCTGAAAAAAGTTTTGATGAGCAGGATTGCTTACAGTTCCTCTGTGATTTGAATTCCCCCAGAATACTTCACTTGCCCATTGGGCAAGTTAAGAACAGAATTCACTAGCCCAATAAAAAGCCACTAGCTCTGGGCTATCCGACACGACTTTCTTTGCACACTGATACTCCACTTGGCACTTGCCCCTATCTATTGGACACTGCTTTTTTTTTCATGTGGAGAGTTACAATGTTGCCCCATCAAAATGTTCAGAATGAACAACAAGATCCATCAACTGGTGCGATTAAATTAACTACCATCCAACCTCATTCCCACGGTCCTCTCCTACTCAGCCCCTGAAACGAGGTTGACTACTGTCCTCAATTTGTGCCAAAGATTGCTCTGATTTCAACCATCCAGCTGAAACATTCCATACTTGACAACTTTGTCTACCTTTTGTGCGAGTAGTGTGGAAGAGTTCAGTATTTCAAAATGGCTAAAATTGACCCAGTTTGACCATTTTTACCTCACTCTTTGATCAGAAAAGCAGCTTTAATTTTAAAAAATGGAGATGCTGTTTTCACACAGTTTTTTTCAAGATTTTACGTCTTGGTTTTCAAGACACCAATTGCTGCTGGCCTACCATGAAATTGTTTGAACTTCAATGCTGTCTTACAGAGATTTCCTTAGCCCCTTCACCCCTGGGAACTTTGCCGAAAAAGATATTTTAAAGCTAGTCAAGCCAAATTCTGGTCACTGTCTAGCTATAAAGAGCTAAAAATTACATGTACCACAAAGCCATTTACAGGACGTGCACTTGACGGCTCTCTGATCCAGATGAATAATGTTAGCTTCCAAAGTTTGGCCATGTACAGAAAGCAAAAGTTTGAGCCTTGACTTTTACTCTACTCCCCTTTTCTTTTACTTTTCTTGCCTCATTCTTTTTTCTTTTTTTCCTCATTCTTTTTTCTTTTACACACGGGTTTCATTAAGAATTGCAGTAGCAGGAGAATAGTGAAAAGTAACAGGAGAATATTTTGAAAGAGCAAAGCCCTTTCCCCCTTTCCCAGAAAGAGCTTGAAAACAAGCCTGGAAATTTTGTGTATTAAACCCTGCTGAGATGGCTTTTCCTATTGTCTGATAGCAAAGTTTTTTTCTCGTAGCTGCGGAAAAAAAAACGCTGCATACATTTACCTCTACTTGGTTTCAAAACATTTTTTCTTTGAATTAACAGGCATATTGGTAAATTATGATCAACTTCTAACCCTGTTGCACCCTCCTAGAGTTGTGACATGTGGCTACCATAAGAGTGAAAATAAAATAATTCTCAATACGCTTTAACTTCTATTCAATATTTTTAGGATGTTTTATACAGTGAAAGTATGAGACGTGAGAAACTTTTCCTGCCTCTGCCAGCGAACATGTGCTTGCGCTAGGCGGAACACATTTAAACAAATATTCGCTCTCAGCGCAAAACTTTGCATGTCCAGTATAATAGACAATTTGTCAAGTATCGATGAATATGTTTCAGCTGCTCTGCAGTTACAATTCATAATGTGCCGTTTTAGAAGTCATCGTTAAAATAAGAAAATCTCAAAATTTGCATTTGCTTCATAGTAAAAATTGATTCTGTGTCATTTACATACTGTCAAAACCGCCAAATTTATTTCCATAGCAGTTCAAAAAGAACTCATTCTTCTCATTTATAAAGGTACTTAATTCTTATCGCTTAAACATTTCTTGACGTAACTTTGCTACTATGATTTGTTCATCATGTACTTTCACTTTTTGTTTCATTAGTATTTATTCATTTAATAATTTTTCGCATGTAAATAAAAAAGCATCGAACATACAGTCAACTCTCCACGCTTTAGCAAACCGTCTAATATATGATGCGTCCCTTGTTATTTTTGTTGGGCTTAAAACTGCTAGCATTTAAATAAGGTCTTTTGTGTATTTGTTATTTATTTAGGAAAGTAAAGCAAGTGGCTAGGCGCTAAAATCACACATTTCTGGGGACAATTTCTTTGTACATAACATAATGTATCCACATCTGATTCACCTGAATAAAAAATAGCCATACTTCATTGAAATTTAGCCAGAGAATTACGCGTAGTAGACGGAGAGTTCTCCGATCTCCGATGCTTAATGAAACCCCTGTTTACAGTACTTAGTAAGATTCATTTTGGAGGGAAAAGTTTTTGGGAAAGCTTTTAGTGACCTTAGGATTAAATGAAAGGAAAGGTACAGGTGGGTAGTGGAATATGATTTTCATGAGTATTTTCAGGACAACATTAATTTTATGTGGTTTTTTTGTCTTTTCATCTGGCCTCCTAGACCAAATTGTGCTTATTCTGGCACAGTTTGAAACATCTCTTCATCCTGCTGCAGTTAACTGACAAAGTTGTCATTGACCGTTAACACTGATAATGTCAAAGGCGGTAGAAGGGTTGTGGATCCACACAAGTGGTTGCAGGCAGTTCGGGGGCGAATGGGTTAAATAACCCAAGCCTACAGAAATAATTATTGTATACTTACAGTAATGTAAAAATACAGAGTTTGTATAGGAGTTGAAATGGGGTTTTGTGACGGCAGCTGTAAGTACAGCTGTTTACTTACTCGAGTGTCCATAAAGAGAGCTTCCACTGTACATAGCCTACTCTGAGGGTCTCAATGGGGTTAATCGATAGGCGTAAAACGGCCAAAAATTTAGCCGATAGCCGTAAAAATTAAAAAAATTTAACAGGTAGCCGTAAATAGCGTACAAAAGAGTTAACCGTAAAAGAAAGTGTTCCCTAGATTTACTACTTTTAAGGAAGGTACTAAACTCACTTATGGTTGCATTTTTTATTTCCCGGCTAGTGTGACTCCATACGCACGTTAGGCGAAGCGCCTTTTAGGTGTTAACCAAGACCTAGGCTCCATTTCTGGCACTTTCTTGGGGAACTAATTTTTTCCACAGTGAAAGTGTGGCTTCTTGCTGGGGATTAATATTTGCAATTTTCAGGAGGCCGTGCCCTCAAAACACTAGTGAAACAACACGCAGAGATGTCACTGTTTGTAAAACACGTTGCCGATAAACAACATTTCCCTGTTTTTCTCGGACGCTACGGTAGACATCGCCATGCCTAGTCCCTGTTCGGCGTCTTCCCATGCAATCTCGGTCAAGGCATTTCAGTGGCGAACTCGCTCGGACCACATGACCCAAAAGGCATCAGCCGCACGGGATAATGCGGCCTACGGACAAGGCAACGGCAAGACAGTCGTTCCGTACAGTCCTTCGCTATCATTAAAAACACTGGACACTGGAATTTTGTTGTTGGCCGTTTTCACACTAGACCTAGAAATGGATCATCCGTCTGAGACTAGCCTGTGTACAGTCGCGCCCTCCCCACAGACACCCCTTCTCCGATTTTTTTCTGAGGGGAGGGGGCGGCTGTACACAGGCTACCTGGAACGGATAATCGTGTCTTCAAAAGTCAGGCGGATTGTTTATTAAAAATTAAAACTATTCCATTGCCAAATTAAGACGTATCACCTATCTGACGCAAATCATCAAACGGATCACCCATCTCACACGAATAATCCCTCTCTAGTGTGAAAACGGCCATTTCTGTTATAATGAATGTCGCGCCCCGGCCTTGAGTTGGGCGTTCGCGTGTCTGCTTTTGCTTTTTCACAAAGATTATTTTTAAATTCACTATTGACATTTCTATGTGTAAAATAATATCAGAAGTGCAATACTTTATAAAAAGTACAATCTATCAAATATTAAAATTTTTCAAAAGAATAGCTTATTTCATCCTGAGATGATCCGAAGACCTTTATTTTGATTTAAAGATACAAAAAAATAGAGGTTAATTAATATTTAACTTTTTGAAACAAAAGAAGTTAATTTTTAACTTTTTCGTTAACCGTAACTGAAAAAATTTAACCGATACCCGTAAAAGAGCCAAAATTTTAGCCGATAACCGTAAAAGCCACCACCCCATTGAGACCCTCTACCCTGGATTGTCCATTAGCTGTATCTCCAGGGTACAATTAAGGAGGTGGAGATCAGCACAGGGCCTAGCATGGAGACAAACTGGCAAACCTACCGACGTTAACTTCACCCGCGACATCCTTGGGTTCAGCTGATGGAGAACTCCATTCTAATGGGGATTTTATTTCGCGAAGCAGTCTTGAAGGTAATCTGACTCTCTGAGTACCATTAAAAGACAATTCAGCAAGTGATGGAGAAAAATTTTCTTGTACGGCCTCAGGATATCTATCATCTGCAGGACATGAAATTTCAACATAATTCGAGCGTCTTTGAGAGCTTTGGCGATTTGCAGGGATCACTGAAGAGCCAATGTTGCTTCGAGTTTGTGATACTGATTCAGTACTTAGTGCCACTCTCTCGAGTTTATCGTCATCTCTTGCACCAGTCAATGCATCCACGGCAGCATTCGTTATGGAAATTATCTGTCTTGAATGTTTCATGCCAACAAGAAATCTCAAGTAATCCGAGTAAGCTAACGTTTTTGCTCTGGACTCTCCTTATTCCTTGCAGCATTCTTTTCTATAGATACTGAGGTCATTACATTTGTCTTTCGTTTCGTTACTGGACTATAGTTAGATCCGGAGCATTCGCTTGCCTCTCCAAAGTTTGTAATTTGTCCAGTGGCAAACAAACTCCAAGTTGACCTGCCATCGACCTGTCAACCCGCAGCTTCAACCCGCCATTTTCAAACTTTGAATGTGCAACGCCTGCAATAGCACATTCCAGAAACAGCGGTCCTCTCACTGGGTGGCTGCTAAGCTGCTGTGATAGAACAGACGTCAGCAAAAGAGGAGCGTTAATATTTAAGTCCAAGATGGAGTCGACGGCCGACTTAGGTCTCCTTGAACAACTGGGCGAAATTATCAGCAATCTGACCACTTCTGGGGATCCATCGCTAGACGCTGAAAAATTAAAAAAGCTAAAGGCAATCTGTAAGAAAGCAGATGTCTATCTGAAGCACGTATATCACTTGGTTTTAACGCAGCTGAAAAAGAATCACGCCGAAGTAAGACTGTCGTCGTTACAGATTATCAGTGAACTTTTCCTTCGCTCTCATATGTTCAGAGAATTACTGTTGACCGATTTTCAACTCTTTTTGGAACTAACAGTTGAGACAGATCACAAACAGCCTCTTCCACCACCAAAGTCAGCCGCGAAAATCCTTAAAGAGAAAGCTCTACAGGCGGTAGAGAGTTGGTATCACAAATTTGGGCCCCACTACAAGAAATTAGACCTGGGGTACAGTTATTTGAAGAGAGTAAAAAAGGTTGAGTTTAATGTAGTAACAGCTAGAACTGAAGTTGAAAGACGCCAATCGGAAGAAATAGCAAGAAGAAGAAATGTATTGATCAATGGACAGATTATTCAAGTGGAGCAAGAAATGTCTGAGATGATAGGTGAAATGGAGCTATGCGCAACCGAGATTGAGAACTGTTTTAAGCTGCTGTTACCCCATCCTGATGATTATGATCTACAATGTGGGGATGAGACTGGCCATGACACATGTGAACTAGAAAAAGTTGGCTTTAAGAGTGATGATGCCACGGAGAGCTCAGCTGCTGACAAAGTGCACAGTAGCGACAATAAAAATTTACAACCTGATGGCTCTACATCACCCATGCTTGTTGATCAGGTTGAGACTGAACTTGGTAGAAGTGAAGTTAATGAACAACTTCTCTCTAATCACGGCCTTGGAACTCGGTCTTATCTGTTGAGTATCAAGGTTGACACAAGCGGACCAAAAGTTAAAGAAACAATTGATAACAGTATTTTGTTGAAAACAGTGCAAGAAATGCACAAAGAAATGACTCACAAACATTTACCCATGATTAACAAGTGGTTGTCTGTGCTGAGCAAAGGGGAAGGAACACAGCAGAAAATTGAACATCTCATTGATCTCAAAAGGACTTTAGAAGCAGCAAGTGATAAATTTCATGAGCTAAAAATAACACCAATGACTGATACCAGACGTGAAAGAAAAGATGATGATGAAGACGATACTGATGATTTTGTAGAAGTGGCTGAGAAAGAGGGTCTTGAATTGATTATTCCCCCTGACAAGAGAGCAGAATACGGCCTTGAACCTTTATCCCCAACAGGTCAGTCTTTCATGGGTAAACGGATTAAAATATAACAAAATACTAAAAGTGCATTCCCTTTCCAGAAAAATGATAGTGAGTGGCTCAGACAACAAAAGGCATACATCCATGCATGTGCACTGAGGAAAACGTGTAATCAAGCAAAAAACCATTTAAGGGACTATGTCACCTTATAACAGGGGCACCCAACGACAATTTTTGGAAAATATCTGTTCAGAAGACAATTTGAGATCTAGAATTTTCGGAACAGTTGTTGATAAATTTCTTGCTTGCCTGCCTCTCCTAGGATTTTCAAACCCCCCAAAAATGGTATAATTGCCCATTTTTAACGAATTTTTACCCTAAAAAGGTCACCTGGAATTTTTGGGAGCCTTTTTTCTGGCTGAAATTTTCGAAAAGGTAAGTTTTGATCCCTATAATTTTCGGATCACTAGACTCTCAGCTAGGAAATCCGAACAGCTGAAAAATTTTTAGGGGATAAAAATATGCCTATATCTACCGTTTAAATACTAAAATACGTTCAACCACGCTATGTTTAAGTGGTTTTGAACTATATTCTCGTTGGATGCCCCTGTCATAAGCCTGTGCACTACAGTTACACATGTATTGGTCAAAATTCTATTATTTCTTGTACAATGTATCTGATCTGAAACAGAATGTGCAAGACTATTTTGCTATCACATTCAGTTCATCTCAAAAGTAAGTCACCACCATCTCACAAGATGCGAATCTTGTATTGCACCATGCATATCTCATTGCATGCTTTGTTCAGTGCAGGATGGCCAAGTTCTTGAAGTGCCTGATCATATTTAAACTTCTTGCAGAATGATTTTTAAGAATCCATCATAAAGCTTTAGGATCAAGCAATGCTGACTAACATGTGAACAATTTAATCAGTGTAACCCATAAACTGTTGAAAATAACAGCCGGTCAATGGAGAATGTCTGGCCTGATCGCGGACTTGACCGGTCAAACTCTCATCTTGCCGGTCATTTTGGCCGGTTATTTTTGGATACGAACATTTTATTTTCCATATAGTTGTCGCTTAATGCTCTATAACGCTGTAATGATTTCTTTTTCTTTGGCGTTTTTTGCTGCTTTGCACTAAAACCTTCTAAGAAAAAGAACGCGCGCAATAAATTAATTTCATGTTATAATGAAACGTAACAAAGCAAAACAATAACAAACTGAGTTGTGGAGTAACGCAACGTTGGTCGTACCGTACACCTGTACTCAGTAATGTGCTTTGGGAATTCGACAGAATTCAGGCAAATCAATCGCAATTCTCAAGGGGTCATCCTGTGGTTCTCCGGGAATAAATGTTAGCGCATTAATTAATAATAATTTCTTTATGTTGAACATGAATCTCGTTTGCGGACTCGATTCCAGAATAGTCTGATCAAAATTTAAGCTAATCGAGAAGGAACGTCGTCTATCTCTTTCTTGTAAACAACTTTATGCAAATTTCTGTTGACATTTGAGCCTATCACGATAAAGTGTTGCGCGATGACCGGAATGAAAGCTCTGCTGTATATTTATTGACTTCTGATAATAAACACGCTGTTTGTGGAACAGACTTTTCGCCAATGGAAATCAACTTCTTTGCCAAAAATATTACCGACGATTCTTCTTTGTGGTGGAGACTTTTGATCACGTGCCAGGCAAGGAAAATGATCAAGTTTCACCAATGTTCATTTTGGAACATCAAAGTAAAACAAATTGGGCAGATTTTGTTGTTTAAGAACCCAATTTTTTTTCGTAATTCCTGAAGTTTGTTGAACTGTATGTTTATTCCACTTCCTGAACCTTGAGAGTTTGAAAAGGATTTACGCTTCACTTTTTACCTTTAGAGACTTTAGACACTGCTGTGGGATGATACTCAAGACATTAAGACACGCAAAAACTGTGGAAAGGAACTCTCTCTACAACATGTGAATGCATTTTTCACCAAGTTGCTGTCAATATTATGTGAACGTCAATGTAGTAAAAACGATCTATTGCCAGTGTAATTCAGTATTCCTTAGGCAAAAAAACAATTATAGTATTCATTATTTGACCGGCCAGAATTGGGGTTTGTCTGGGCTAAAAAATATTTGGCCAGTCATCATGACCGGTGACCCGCTGTCCGTTATTTTCAGCCCTAATAATGAGTATTGGGTATCATTTGCCTTGTGAAGGATCAACATTGTTGGGATATTTTTTGTGTAACACATGCTTTTAGAGAGCCTCTAAACACTGTACTATCTTTAAAGCTGATAGAAGTTAGCTTTGCCTAGAATTCTGGCAATTTTTTCGCAGATGTGAAGATAAATATCAGAAACATTAAGGGGCATTGTTGGCTAAAATCTGAGAGGTGGTGAACAATGATCTTTCACCCTCTATCCATACTTTTGGAGTTGAAAATCAGTCATATTTTGGGGAAAAAAAATCAAACAATCATAAGTCAGTTGATCAAGTGTAAATCAGTTGAATCAAGTATACTTGATTCGTGCAATTTAATTACCTTGGAAAACGGTGATTTGTCAAAATCGCGAAATTTAAGGTGGCTCAATATAGTTTTTTAAGGTCAATACCTCCCAAGTTTGAGCGTAAACTACGTCGCCATAAACAAAGATTTGGAAAAATTGACACTACAGTTGTATTAGGTAAAGAAGAAAATTGGTTATGACCAGGGTTGCAATGACATCGGAGTTGTCATAGCAACGAAATGACGCCATTACCTATTTTACTTGCAGCAGTATTTCTCGGCACTGGGAACTGTTCTTCCAAAATCGTTTACTGGAGCATTTACCTACGATAGCTGCCTCGATGTTCGTGAAGTTTAAGCGAAATCTGTAAGAGCGTTATCGAGATATTTTGGGATGAAGTTTTTATGGTTAGAAATACGGTAAAAAATTGACAATCTTGATGTTCGACTATTATCTGTACTAAACGAAGCGCTTTTGACATGCAATTTCACCTCGTAGTAGTTTCAATCTTTATAAAAACGTGGGTGAAAGATCATGGAGATACCTTCAGCCGATTGCTAGAAAGGAGGATTTGATTAGTATGTATCAAGGCGCTCTTGTTAGCGGTAATATAAACATTTCGGTCTACTTTAACAAATTAGTGAATAATTTTTAAACCGCTCGATAAATTTTTTAGAAAGTTTAAGAATCTTGAGATCAACCCTCTTTTTATATGACCTCTTAGTTTCAAGATTATTGATATATTGTAAGGCAGTAAAATAAGGGCTTGAATTCGCTAACATTTTGTCAGAAATTTTGTGTTTACAAGTGAGAGCCTCTCATTATTCACGGGTATTGTCTCCAAGTTTCATATTTTCGTGCATGACGATAGCTAGCAGTTTTGCATATGTCAAATGCATTGTTAGTTACTGCTGTTCATGTGAAAATGAAACTTTGAGACAATACCCCTGAATAATGAGAGGCTCTCACTTGTAAACTGCCAAAATATTAGCGAATTGTAACCCTTATTTTACTACCTTACAATATATCAATAACCTTGAAACTATAAGGTCATATGAAAGGACGGTTTATCTCAACACTCTTAAATTTTTTAGAAAATTTATGGAGGGGTTTAAAAATTATTCGCTAATTTGTTAAAGTAGACCGAAATGTTTACATTACCGCTAACAAGAGCGCCCCGATACATACTAATCAAATCCTTCTTTCTAGCAATCGGCAGGAAGTATCTCCATGATCTTTCACACACGTTTTTAAAAATATTGAAACTACTATGAGGTGAAATTGCATGTCAAAAGCGCTTCGCAGTCAAACATCAAGATTGTCAATTTTTTACCATATTTCTAACCATAAAAAACTTCTTCCCAAAATATCTCGATAACGCTCTTACAGATTTCACTGAAACTTCACGAACATCAAGGCGGCTGTTGTAGGAAAAAGCTCCAGTAAACGATTTTGAAAGAACAGTTCCCAGTGCTGAGAAATATTGCTGCAAGTAAAATAGGTAATGGCGTCATTTCGTTGCTATGACAACTCCAATGTCATTGCAACCCTGATCATAACAAATTTTCATCTTTATCTAATACAACTGTCGTGTTAATTTTTTCAAATCTTTGTTTATGGCGACGTAGTTTACGCTCAAACTTGGGAGGTATTGACCCTGAAAAACTGTATCGAGCCACCTTAAGTCCTGCAAAATATTTCTATTCCAAATTCGCGTAATTAAAGTCACACAAAAATAAGTGATAGTAAGGTATGCCATCGATATGAAGATGAATTGACAGCTGTCAAAAGCAGGCATCCAGTGACAAATATCTCATGAATGTCTCCCAGGCTCAGGCTTTAAGACCGGTCGTTTTTCCTTACATGTAAGCCAATGTAAAATGTTACCGTCACTGACTTAGAAATGAAACTGCTCTTTCAGGGCTATTAGATCAGTGGTTTAAAGTCATAGTGGAGACTCCATTACTATAGAAAACCACCTAGACTTTCAGAGAGAAAAAACAACAACAAAACTGAGTCTTTTTCTCTACTTTATTTTACTGTCATCACTGAAATGAATAAAAGAGAAGGGCAAGAGCGAGAGATAAAAACCAGAGGAGACAAATTTCATTGGAAGAAAATCATGAAAATTTTATAGCGGCAGTGAGATGATTAGAAATGCTAGCAGCTAGCATGGTGAAAATGAGCAGCAGTGCAAAAAAAAAGAAGCTTACAGGAACACAAGTGACAAATTTTTTTGTGAGCGTATACGACATTTCCTCCATAAAACTGGAAAGTTTCACGTTGTAGTCGTGCAACAACAACAGCAAACAAATGTACAAAAAAGTGTGATGCACGTGCAAAGCTCTTTCTTTTTTTGCTTATTAGACCTTTTGACTGTTCTTATTGCCATCGCCGTTTAGCATGACACGATTTTACTTTTTGTTTGAGTAAATTCTAAGTGTATTAAGTATGTATGTGTCTAAGTGCTGCGTTTTCGGAGATATGTCCACAAAACCCCTGGCTAATTTTTGACATTTAAGGTATTTTGGCCAGATTCACTATTTTTGTCCAAATCGCCAATTTGAAGCACAGGTAGCCCAAGCTCGAAATATGAGCACTGGCATTGTTGCACAAAATTCAAAATATACCTCCAAGATATCTTTTTATATACACTGCCCAAATGAACACTTTCAAAGCATCTTGTGTAAGATGTCTTCATACACTTTTCCTTTGAACAAGCTAATGAACACACTGATGTTACTCTGTTCATAACAGACTGATGTTAACTTATCGTTAATCCAATTTTTGTTATTTTCTTACAGAGAAAAACTCCAAAGAAATTGATAAACAAACTGACTTCTTGAAACAATTTGGTGCAGACCCTAGAGACATTGGGGATCCTACGTCACGTGCAACAGCCCTCTATAATGTCAAAGACCACCTTCCAGTCCCCAGTAGCTCTTCAGCTACCATGGGAACCACAACAGAAGTGGCAGATAAAAGGAAAAAGAGCCTTTTTGAAAAAGCACCAGTTGTTCCATTTGATATGGATCTTTATTTCTGGGATGATCCTGCTGCCAATACTCATAGGATGGTTAAGATGTATCTTGACAACAACTGGGCATCTAAGGAGCATGAGGGTGAATACATCATAGGTAGTGAGAGGGAAGCCAGGCCCACCAGAATGATAACCTTTTCTGGTAGCTTTCAACCTGTCAAATGGTCTTGTCGTGCCCCTTTGCCAAGCGGCAAACTTTGCCCCAGGCGTGATAGAGTAAAATGTCCTTTTCATGGAAAGATTATCCCTCGAGATGAAACAGGTGCACCAGTAAATAACTTTGATATTACCTCATCCTCAGAAAGAAGAAGTGCATGCACAGATACAAAACTGAACACTGATTCAACAGCAACAGCAAGCTGGAAAGAGATTGGTGAAGAGATTGAAGCTGCCACAGGCTTAGATTTAGGAAGTCAAAATAAACAGAAGAGAAAAAGCCAGCCAAGTGGAAAAAATGAATCTAAACGCTGTGGACTGACAGATGTGAAAAAGGCAAATAATACAGCAAAAACTCGGCTAGAAAAGATTGTATTAAATAAGAAAGCAATGAAGCGTGTGGCAAACGAAATGGATGCTATTGCTACAAAACGTTGTTTCGACAAGTTTGCAAACCAGTTTAATTATTCCTTGCATTAACATGATTTTGAACAGAAATATTGTATATGATAACAAAAAGAAGACTGAGCTAATATGTACAGTCTGTATAATTACATAAACATTACACAAACTATAACACAGCTAAACTTAATTAAACCAATGAGTTTAACATTTTCATTAGCATTTTCGCCCATTTATCAGATTTATATCTTAGTATCCCTCGCGTGTGCCACAGAGATGCAGAATAGCAATGAAAATTGTTTTACTATCTTGTACTAAAGTCATGATAAGAAAATATATGTAGATAAATATCAACTATGTAAAAACAATAATGAATAATAATAATGAATCAAGAGTCATAGGCTGACTTAAACATTAAAGTATTTACTAAGGTTTTAAAATGGGTAAAATTCTTTTCATGTCTAATGTTTCAACGAAGGCCGGGCGTTGAAAAGAGATGGGGCCATCACTGCAAACAACCTGGTCCCCATTGTTTTCGATGTCTTTACATGGAATGGTTTAAGAAACAAAACATCATTTCCTCGAACAGAGTAAGTGCTCGGACACGTTGAAAATGGAATAGTCACCAGACTACAAATTCCACAGGTAGCAAGTGGAATGAGAACAACACAGGAGTGATATGGCTATTACGTTTATCGGAAGGTTAGGAGACGAGCGGCAGCATTCTCTGTACATGTTAGAGAATTTTCAGTAGATAGTTCGGTTAACCAAATATGAAAGTGAGTTACAATAGACAAGTATTGATGTAAAACGAAAGCGTGATAGGAACAGTAGTTGTTTCAAATGTATTAAACTGGCAAATCAAGCCTATGTTGCGCAAATGAAACTGAGAAGGATGATTTACAAGTGGGAGTCACGTGTCAGAAGAAATAACAAGTAAGAGACAATTCCTCATGCATTGTAATACAGGATTTGTACTTCCAATGCTCAATGTTCATAGACAATGTGAAGTTATTTAAAAATAAATGTTATCACATTTTAGTCATGTTACCGGGTTTTTTTAGTCCTTGCAAAACAATTGATATGTGTCATAAATTTTTTATAATCCTAGTATCCATTACAAGGCCAAATTCAACTAAAATCATGACTTGCAGCAACATCTGTGACTATCCTAAACAAATCATTTGTTCTCAGATACTGTCATATAAGACGGTTGTAAGTTCATTCACAGGCAGGTGCAAAAGTACAAGACAATCTCCTGGGCTTCCCTGGCGAAAGAGTTTCCCCTGCAAAGGTCGCGCAAGCATGCGTTGCCCGTCTTTGAGGAAAACAAATGTAGGGTTTCACAATCAACTATTTCCAGTTGGGAAATACCAAATATGTCCGGCGCAAAGAGCTCAACAAGGGGAGCTCCTCCCAGGGACCGGACAATGAGGCATGCTTTTTTTCTTCTGTTTTCACAAGCTTACGAGCTTCGTCTTTCCTACTTTTTTTCTCTGCTCTTTCCTTTTTCTTGCTCGAGATGTTATGGACTTGGTGCCAATTTGATATGTCGCCTTATATTTAGCCATCACTGTCCTCAACAAGATGCAACACATCCTTTTCAATGGCAGACTTGATATAATGTCGTTTCTCAATGCTGAACTTGTGAAGGCAATTTAGGCAGTCTTAAGTTTGCCACCCTCCGTAAGTTGGTTGTCATCATGTTAAGTTATTTTTTCTGTGATGGCGTGAAGCTTATCCAAGATGTAATTTGCCTCCCTCTTGCATCTCCTTATGTTGCTGTCATCATGGGGCTTTGGCTTGTACTCCTCTCGCAGTAACCATCCAGCACAAGCAGGATTGTCGGACAACAAATAGCGAAGACGATTTCAAGCTTTTCAAATTCCATAGCTACATTATATTTGGTGTGGGGGGAGGGGGGTAGTAATAATTCTCATGAGATCAAGAGAGGGGCTGAATTAATTCTGCTTTTGCGAACGGGGCGGGCACTATGAATCTTCCCTTTGAAGTTCATTTTTAGCCCCCCTAGTGATAATAATTGCACTGTCAATAAGACCAGGGTCGAGCTGAGAATCTATGATCCCTGATTATCAGTAGCAATAGGAATAGCAGAATTTCTCAATATCAGTTGTGGAAATGGATCAGTGCAGTCTCCGTACCATGAAATTCTCTGTAAGCAGATTAAAAAATCCTCAGTAAGGAAGTTAGCCTCAAGGTGCTTAATTACCTCAGTAGTATAGAGAGTGGAGGTTCTGTTACACCTTGTTCACAACTCGTAAGCCCCCCCCCCCCTACCCCACACACGCACACACACACACACACACACACAGAACGAGCCTGCTCGTTCGGTGTGTGGGGGGTGGCATACCAGTTGTGAACAAGGTGTAACAGAAGACCCCTACCCTCTTGTGTCAGAGGCGAAAGAAGCAAAAATAAAACCGAAACCGGCTGAAACCGGAACGCAAAAACGCGGTTATCGTTTCAGCAACCAAGAGCATGCACCATTGTCAAAGAAACCTCCAACCCTTGCAAGGTCGTTTTCAGAGAGGAGAAAACCAATTAGAGATGAGAATTGTCCCAGTATATATACACGATGGCGGCCGGACACTTTTAAAACGACGTTCTGGACCTGTTTTACGGCCTCCTTAAAGATGAAAACGTCCCCGATCCACTCTATTTTTGGCAGGCTAGAACAGATTTTAGAGATTGGCAGCATGTATAGAAAATGGATGCACCAAGGGGGGAAAATAGAGATATTATAGATTTTGCGGAAAAAACGAAAGCAAGTATGTTAATGTTGTGAAAAATGAAATGCAGTCGCTGGGCATGATAAAGGTAGAATTTTCAGTCCAAGTAAGAATGGCAAAAAGGAATGAAGATGGCGAGATGACCCATTTTCATAATTACATGAAAAATGAGGATCGGGTTATTCAAAACGAAAACGAAATCAGAGAAAAAGTGATAGAGTTCATGGACGAAGTCAACAACAGAATTGAGAATTATATCGAAAACGGACCGGAGATAATATTTGAAGAAGTTGAAACAGCCGAAGTAAACGAGTCAAATTATGAACCACTCAGTTGTTGGAACATACATGCCACTTCCCAAAAAGATCCGAGACAAGAAAGCAATCATCAACTTGCAGAATAAAAGAGATAATGAATGCCTGAAATGGTCAATCCGAGCGGGATTGTTCAATACACCAAAGGGAAAAAATCCATACAGAACGACTAGCTATCTCACATAAGATGGGATCAATTATTCAGGAATTGCTTTTTTAACCCTTTTAAGAGACCTTCACAAGCTTGAAGCGCAAAATTAAAATATTGCGCTCAATGTTTTTGGTTGGAACGGAAGAGTTACTGTGTACAGAACGAGTCAAAAATTCCCGGAAGGAGTTCCTTGGATCAACTTAATGATGACCACATCTGGAGATACTTAGCACTTTTCCTTCATGAAAAGCGCTTTGAGCTTTGCTTTGAGCGCCTTGTTGTACTACCAAACGAAGCATATAGGAAGAAAACACTTCTGCCTGCATGCGGTGCTTGTCAAGCTTCACAACACAAGAAATACTGCAAAAGCACGATTAGGTCTGCACAGGTCTAAACAGCAGGCCAACGCGAACAGAAATGCCCAGAGAGGGTGAAAACCACGTTTTCTTTCAAAACGTGGGCAACCAGCTCAAAGTCCCATTTATTATTTATGCCGACCTCGAGGCAATAATTGAGAAAATAAAAAGCTCCAAAGGAAACCTACAAAAGAGTTACACTGTGTAAACAAGCCAGCTCACCGCATGTAGTTATGCGTACAAGGTGGTGAAAAGCGATGGAGAAGCCTGGGAAACAAAATTCTACCGTGGGGTAAACGCTTTGGAAGAGTTTCTAAAGGCGCTTTTGCAGAAGTAGGAAAGGATCAGAGAAGAATTGAGAAACGTTGTTCCTACAAAAATGGAGCAAGATGATTGGAAAGATTACAACATTGCAACCAATTGCCGCATCTGTGAAAAGCCCCTGGTGGTTGAATCCTTTTTGGACTCCATATCTGTTTTCTACACGTCCAACACGGGGGAGTACAGCCAACAGGCACACACAAAAAAATGGCATTTCAAAGACACATTTATCGGGCACTAATTTCAACGCAAACCACTCGACAAAGTGGATAAGTGGATCAAAGACAATCAAGATCCATACTACTTCAAATCACCACACGCGAGAGAAGGCGACACGCGGCGGGGAAAGAGAAAAATGAGGGACTACAGACAAAGCCTAAGCTTTTGAACTAATGCGTTGCTCTCACAAAGCAAAACTCTGATTGGCTTGTCCATGGAAATCTGTCAACATCTGTCAAAAACGCGCCAGCCGCTATCAACAATCGACATAATCACAATTTACAGAACAAATAACTAGAGTGGCTCTTGTAGAAGCAACTAAGCAGAAAGCCATCCCGGCAACTGATGAAAAAGAGGTCAAAGAAAGTGCTCATGCATCAGAGGGCCAAAACAATAACCACAGAAAATTAATATGCGTGTCACGACCTCTCAGTATGAAATAAGCGGCGAAAATCACATTTGCTCAGTCAAAGCGTTTTCCTCCAGAGCATAATCTACCCGTCAGAGAAAAAAATTCATTGGAACAAGCAGCATTTTGGCATGAGTGAAAGTCGTGTGTTGCCTACACTATAAAGTTCTTCACGCGAAACAACCGTGGAGAAAATTAGTATCTGGGTTTTCTTTTGCTTGCAATAAATATCCCCCGCAGTCTACCGATGACAAGAGCAATGACAGCTCAATAAGGGAAGGAATTCCATTGGATGCGCTTAATTGATCTGGAAGGGGATACGAACTTCACACTCCAAAATCAGTCGGCCGTGAAGGGTCAAAAGCTTGGGCTTTGTCTGTAGTCCCTCATTTTTCTCTCTCCCCCGCCGCGTGTCGCCTTTTCTCGCGTTTCGCTCGCTCTACTATCCCTGAGGAAAAATGGGGGACTACTCGTAGTCTAAAAGGATGCTTTCATGCACACCGAAGAATTAGCAAGACATGAAGAACATCGAGACATGCTTCGTCAGAAGGGGTTTATCCGTACGAGTACATTGATAGTTGGGCAAGGTTGAAGAAACCCAACTGTCCCCACAATCTCAATTTACAGCTCGCTGAATGATGAGCACATCACGCAAGGACAAAACAAACATGTAAAGAAAGTGTGGAAAGCTTTTGGGTGTGAAATCCTGGGAGATTACCACGATCTTTACCTGAAAACGGACGCCTGCTCGTTGGCGGACGTTTTCGAAAACTTGACAAGCCTATGCTTGAAACAGTATGGGCTGGATCCGGATCTGGATCTGGAGCTGTTGACAGATGTGGACGTGCATCTGTTCATCGAGCAAGGTACACGAGGCGGAATCTCGATGGTGAGCAAGCGCTTTGCAAAAGCCAACAACGCGTATGTGAAAGATTATGACCCAAACAAACCAAACAATTACATTTCATATCTTGACGCAAATAACTACTGTTGGGCCATGAAGCCATGTGTAAACCACTTCGAAAGGATAATTTTGCATGGAACAAAGTGTTACCTAACGGAAAAGCCAATCCTCGCCATAAAGGAAGAAGCAAAGCGAGGATTGATTCTCGAGGTGGATTTGGAGTATCCATTGTGAGTTTTGTGATGCTCCGTCGGTTATCCACTCGCTCCAGAGAAAAAAAAAATCAAAAGAGAATGGTTGTCTGATTACCAAAAAACATGGTGGATGAGTTGAGGCTGAAACAGAATGAAAAAAAGCTTGTCTTGACACTGCAAGACACGAAAAACTATGTTTTGCACTACAAAAACCTTCAGTTTTGTCTCAACCAGGGTATAAAATTAAAGAAGGTCCACAGGGTGTTGGAATTCGAAAAAGAGTGTTGGATGGCATCGCACATCCACATGAATACAGAATCCGAAAGCAGGCACAAAACGAGTTTAAAAATAACTTTTACAAACTCATGAACGTCAGCGTATTTGGGAAAACGATAGAGAACGTGCGGAAGCGTGTTAACACCAAAATCGTCCGCAGTGATAAAAAAAGAGAAGATTCGCAAACTGATAGCGAGTCCTCTATTCACCGGGCGCCCGTTGTTTTCCAACCATCTTGCCGGTTTCAGAATGCACAAGGCGTGTGTGAAACTGAACAAACCTGTTTTTTTTTTCATTTATGATTTTTACTTTAATCATCTCAAGAGCGGCAGTACGGTTCTAAATGAGAGCTTTTCTATACCGACACAGAGAGCCTTCTGCTTGAGATACAGACCTAAGACATGGAAAATAACAAACACTTGTACGACACATGTGATTACCCCAAAGTCTCCTCCTCCATAGCACCGAAAGCAAAAACCTTTTGGGTAAGATGAAAGATGAAATGAACCGAACGCCCATCATTGAGTTTGTTGGTCTTCGACAAAAATGTAATCCATTCCGTCCGAGCAAAAAAAACATTAAAAAGTCGAACGTAAAAAATATGTGGTTAAAAGGAAGCAAGCATGAGCATTACAAAGAAGCGCTGTTTGGCAAAAAAAATCTTCAGGCATAAATTGAACATGCTCCAAAGCGAGGGGCATGGGAATTATGGGGTGAGGGTGAACAAAATCTCGCTGAGCCCATTTGATTCAAAGCGATACATCACAGAAAACGGCATTGACACACATGCGTACGGATACCGATTAACAGACGAAGAGTATGTCATGGAGGTGCTGGACTGGAAGAAAAGAGTAAGGGGCCACAACCAACAACTATGAACGAACGAAGCCTCGTTTTGGCCCATCCTGTACATAATACAATACCGGTTTACCTGGTTTGGTAACAGATTTTTCGATGTTGTAGATGGTGATCCAGATGGGATCAGTTGCACGTTTGCGACCGCCTTCCAGCTCACCCCGTTGGCAAAGATAACGCACGTAAACAAGACTGGGAATTTTTTTACGTTCATTCAGACAGGTCTGTGGTAAGAGGTCGAAGGCTTGAAATAAACGGCCTTTTTTTATGGCTTGTGCAGGTTTTTTGCCTGTGAGGAGAGTGACTTCGCCGTTTTTGAAGCCGAGACCGCGGCAGGAAGCCAAACAACCCATTCGGAAGATCTTTGACCCTTAGAAAGCCGCATTTCGACAGCATACTGGTGTCCGAACAGGCGCTCGGCAAGGGTGCGGTTAAATCTTTCCACGATCACCTGGTCCCGGTGAATATCCACCCGGCCACAGCGAATAAATGTCCCAATTTCTTTCATAAGCTTGGTAACAGCACCCATAAACTCGCCCGCCCGGGTCGACTTGTAAGAGTTCTGGTCACCGCTGTGGTCCACGAGCGTAAATTCTCAGAAAGGCGTCAGAAATCTCTGTAGCCTCTTTTGAAGACAGGGGTTCAGCTTCTTTGTAGCGGCTGGCATCGTCGACGACTGTTAACGTATATTTGTAAGTTCTTCGGCCCTACCCTCAGCCCAGAGAGTCGTGTGGTAAAAAAGTAAGTTAGCTTGGTGAACTTTGTTTGGCGTGGGCACGTGGAACTTGGGCCGAGGAATTTGTTTTGGCGCAGGAAGATATATTTGCCAAAGGGCTTGCCACATTAGCCATTTCTTCGCATTTTGTAGCGGTTGCAAGCTTTTTGATGGCAGCGATGCCTTACCAATAGCTTTGAGGGCTGAAGTAAATTTTCGAAAGTTTTTCGTCCATCCTATATTAATCTACGGTGCGGTTCGAACTTTTGATTGTTCCATCCGACTGCCAACAGCCAAGAAACGATGACTTGCGGCTTAAACGAGACAATCACCGCTGCAACTGCGGTCATCCAGCAGACCTAAAGCACCGTGAAGATATTCAGAGTAAAAAGATTTGCCATTCCTATATTATAATGCAAGAAAAAGTTTGTCATACTGTCTGCTTATCTGATTTAGAATTTCAATGCAGTGGTCGCTGACGAAGTCGTCAGTCATTTTCAGCTTGTCGAAGGGGTCCCTTCTGAGGTAAAACCGGATCAAGAATTTTTTTATACTCCGCACGTGCCAAGTTGGCTCTTTCGATTTTTTGTCGTATTTCGTTGCGCTTGCCACAATTTTGACGATTACGCCAAACGCCCTCAGAAAAGCGAGCACAGTGGGGTTCAAAGTTATATTTCCGGCAACCACTGCAGTTATCACAGCTTTGCCCGCAACAACGTGGCAAATCAGATTTTTGTCTTTGGTAGCTGCGGTACAGCTTTTCGTAGCCGTAATGTTTTTTGTAGTAGTGGGTGTAAAGGTTTTTCAACATGTCCCGCGTTCCTTTGGACAGGGTTGTGTCGATGTGGTTGAAGTCGAAAATGTTTTCTCGGTGAGTCAACCATTGGTGTTAGATAAAAAATTAGAAACATTAAGGGCCCCTAAGATTAAACATCAAACAAAACCGTAAAATCAGCGTTGGTTGTCAGTACTGGGAGGTTTTGGTTTTCATTTCTAAGCGAAATTTTCTTTACTTTTCCGGGAAGAGAAAACTAAATTTGTGTTAAAAACTTGAAATGCCCCCTTGTTTCCTGCCTAAGAGTATGATCTTGAGTGTTTTGTTCCTGGATCAACGCTATCTACGATCAAAGACAAAGTGTAACGAAACCTCAGTTCTTCCAAAAAATACGTATTTATCGTCAAACGCCGGTTGAGATACTTCCCGGTAAGAACAAAAATTTCTGGTTTCATGGAAGGGGTGTTTTGAATTTCTTCACCATTCATGTTCAAAGGAACGAACATGCTCATTTCGGCTTTAGTAATTCCATAAGCCTTGTATGTGTCGATGTGTCGTAGACCTCACTGTCAACGGTATCCACCAGGCCATCAACTCCATAAGCCACCATGTACACGTCGTCGGCAAAATTGTCAGGATAACTGTCAAGGTCACCATTCTTGCCCTCATAGTCCACCGAGAATTACAGGAACACAGACGGGCTGCCGGAGGTTTTCTTGAACTTTACCATTATCGATGCGTAATAGAGAAAATTTGTCCGGCCATACTTGTAAGTGAATTTTTTTGTTTCGTGCCCTTCAATCCACACTCCAGTCCGTTGAATGTATATTTTGCTTTTCCCGTAGGTCAGGGCGTCCTTGTTGTAGAACTCAATTGCGATGATGCTTTCATGGTTTGTCGCCATGCGATACATCTGCAGTCCAAGCCGGAACGTATAAGCGAAATTTGGCTTCTTGACTGATGTGATGAACAGAACTTTTTTGTCCCAGTAATGCAGTGAGATGCTCTGGTCGTCGATTTTCATGACATTTACACCATCCTCGGTGCTCCATTCATTGACATCTTTCATCAGGTATTGGAATAAATTTTTGGCTGTATGGGAGGGTTTGATAGCGCCACTCTTACCTTTTGGACCTGGAGGGCCCTTTGGTCCAGGCGGCCCCTGTGCACCTATAACCCTTTGGCCCTTGAGCGCCATGTGGGCCTTGTGCTCCTGTATCACCCCTAGGGCCCTACTGACCTGTATTACCCTTGGGGACTTGTGCACCCGTGTCACCTTTGGGGCCTTGTGCACCTGTGCCACCCTTAGGCCCTTCAGCACCTGTGTTGCCTTTTCAGCCTTGGACCCCCTGTGATCCTGCCTCACCTTTGGGACCCTGTGCCCCTTTATCTCCTTTTGGTCCTTGAAACCCCCATGGGCCTGTATCGCCTTTGGCCCCTTGTACCACCTGTGGGCCGTGTGGTCCTTCTGGTCCTCGGGGCATCTGGGCGCCTGGTGGGCCTTGTGACCCTGCGGGACCGGGTGGACCTGTCTTGCCGGTGGAACTCGACGTGTCATCAGTCGTGCTGTTGATGTACCCCATTATACATTTTTGTCGAAATTTTTTTCATTGTTTTTTTGTGGTTTGTCCATAGCAAAAATGAGTACTGTTTGTCTGTTGCTCTTTCCAAAATTTGTTTATCGTATCGATCCCCGACTCACCTGCAACTCGGTGGTTTTCTCTCGGAAGGAATTTAAAAATACAAAAATGACTGCAGTTGACACGGATGTTTTTTGGTGCCTTGAAGTAAGTTTGTGTGATATAAATTACGCAGCAGTTTCGGTGCCGACCGTTAATAAAATAGTTGATGATTGCATTTTGGTTGCTTTCACAAACCAATTCATCAGAGATGACAATCTTCTGGTTGTCCACCGAAAGCTCTTCAAGGGGGATTATTTCATCTTCCGGCTACAAAGTTTAATAAGATCTTTAGTTATTCATGGTGCTGTGAGTGTCATGTCGTTGACATTGTAGTTTTCAGGGTTTGTGAGTCTTGCCATTGTAATATGCAATGAACACACTTACCTGTAATGGGGTTTTCATATCTACCGCATGGAATTTATTACAATATTCACTGGTTCAGTCGAAAAAATGCATTCCAAAACACACTAATCAAGATCAAAACGGGATCCGGGGCAGGGCGCCTCCAGCTGTAGGAGAAAAATGTGCTCGACATTTGTGGCCACAAACCTTTATCAAAGAAAAAACCTCTCATTTATCAAAAACGTAAGTTGTGGTTTGCTTTGCTGGCTGACAGAACAACTGTTAATCAAACTTAGCACTGCAACATTATCGGCAACAGCGACCAGTAGTAAGCTATTCTCCTTTCCTCATTTTCAATAATAAACTTTTTTTGATCTTCGTTGTTCATAACCCATGCTATAGCTTTTTCTGCAGGAACCTTTGCAAGAATGGCCGTGCGGCCTCTACATGCCACCGTTAAAGCCTCCAGAGCTTTCATGTCGGAACACCAATGATTTTCATACATCTTAAGCGCTTCAGAGAAACTTAACTGATCGAAACGGTAAATTCCGTTATCAAAAAATCCTTCCAAAATCATGTTTTGCAAAAAGAGTGCGAATGCCTTACCGATGTTGTTTTTCCCCGCTGGTGGCGACCAATCCGGCAACGGGACTTTAAAATTTCAGTTTCGGCCGGTTTCTACCGTTGCGGTCTGGTGACCTCGAAAGTGATTTTATTTGGCAGTCGTTTCTTAAACGTTACAATCTGGTTGCCAAAGCTTAACCCTTTAGACATGCAAATATCAAAAGGGAAATGATGACACTCAGTATACCCTTGCGGAAATGCATATTTAAAATTTGGCGGGGTTCCCCCGATTACAAAATATTTTTTTCTTGGTTTTGTTAGGTGACGATAACATTCCTTCTGGCTTAACTTTTTAAGTTGATCCAAAAAAAATTTTGTAAACATGCAAATACCAAAGGGAGAAAGCCCCACCGCCGATCCTGAAAACACTTGAAAACTTGTTTTTCATCACGTTCTGGAGTTTTCGGGGTCGCTTTGGAATGTTACGCACGTCTTCGTTTCGTGACTGCTGTTGAGCTCACCGATGTTCGATGTAGCCCGTCTCGATAATTAAGGTGGCTCGACTGGATTTTTTTGAGGGGATACCTCCCAAATTTCAGCATTAACTACGTCGCCATGAGCAAAGATATGGGAAAAAGATTACCACAACTGTATCATATAAAGATGAAAATTTCTTATGATCTAGGTTTTATTGCAATCGGAGTCGCCATGGCAACGTAACGACGCCATTACGTTTTTTATTTATCTTTGTGTTTCTCTGTGCCAAGAGTTTTTTTAAGAAATCGCTTAAGGGAGTTTGTACATGCCATAATAGCCTCAATTATGACAGCGTTTTCGAGATATTTTGAAACGAAGGCTTTTAAATAGGGCCTCAAATGTAACCAATTTTCCCTCCATATTTTGTGTTTACAAGTGAGCGTCCTCATTATTCACTGGCATTGTTTCCAAGTTTCATATGCACGTGCCCATTTAGCAAAAAGATAGAATTTGCATAAAAAAAGAACCCTCGGTTAAATCTCCCGAATATGCTGATAACCGGGTAAAGAAATTAGTGATATATTATAACATCACAGCAACTCTTTGTAAAAGAGTTTCTGTGACATTATAACCCGAGTAGGATAATTATTGAAGTACTGGATCCTGCACGATGAGCTGTGACGTTCACCGTCTCGGCTCTCACTACTTTTTGTGACACAAGCCAATTATTAGCATATTCCGGATATTTCTTCCGAAAGTAATCGAGAGTTCTTTTTGATGCAAATTTATTTCTTTTTGCTAAATGTGCACGTGCATCTGAAACTTGGAAACAACGCCAGTGAATAATGAGGACTCTCACTTGTAAACACAAAACTTAGGGGGAAAATTGGTTATATTTGAGGCCCTATTTAAAAGCCTTCTCTGTTTTCAATGTTCTTGAAACTTGCAGAGTATATTTATTGGCAATTGATTCC